AGATTATCTGTTTCTTTTTGATTCAGCTTTGGGAGGTTGTAAGAGTCTAAGAATTTATCCATTTCTTCTAGATTGTCCATTTTGTTGGCATATAACTTTTCATAGTATTCTCTTATAATCTTCTGTATTTCTGTGGTATCTGTTGTAATTTCTCCTGTTTCATTTCTAATTTTTTTTGTTTGAGCTTTTTCTCTCTCTTTCTTTTTTTTTTTTGGTAGTCTGGATAGGGGTTGTCAATTTTGTTTATCTTCTCAGAGAACCAGCTGTTAGTTTCATTGATCCTTTCTATTGTCTTTTTTGTTTTAATTTCATTTATTTCTGCTCTGATTTTTATTTACCTCCTTCTGCTTACTTTGAGCTTTGTTCTTTTTCTAATTCTGTTAAGTGTGGTTTGATATTCCTTATTTGGGATTTTTCTTGTTTGTGAACATGAGCCTGTATTGCAATGAATTTCCGTCTTAGTACCACTTTGACTACATCCTATATGAGTTGGTATGGTGTGTTTTCATTTTCATTTGTCTCCAGATATTTTTTTATTTCACCTTTAATTTCTTCAGTGATCCATTGGTTGTTCAGTGGCATGTTGTTTAGTCTCCACATCTTTGTCCCTTTCTCAGCTTTTTTCTTGTAGTTAATTTCTAGCTTCGTAGCATTTGGTCAAGAAAGATGCTTGTTATTATTTCAATCTTCTTAAATTTATTGAGGCTTCCCTTGTTTCCCAACATATGGTCTGTCCATGAGAATGTTCTGTGTGTACTTGAGAAGAATGTGTAATTCTGCTGGTTTTGGGTGGAGTGTTCGATATATATCTATTAAGTCCATCTAGTCTAGTTTTTCATTTAATTCCACTGTTCTTTGGTGGCTTTCTGTCTGAGTTATCTACCCATGTGACTGGAGAGTTGAAGTCCCCTACTATTATTGTGTTGTTGTTAATGTCTCCTTTTAGGTTTGTTAATAGTTGCTTTATGTACTCTGGTGCTCATATGTTGAGTGCGTAGATATCTATAAGTGTTATTTCTTCCTGGTGACAGGTCCTTTTGATCGTTATATATTGCCCCTCTTTGTCTCTCTTTACTTGTTTTATCTTGAAGTATACTTTGTCTAATGTAAGTATTGTGACACCTGCTTTCTTTTGTTTGCCATTAGCTTGGAGTATCGTCTTCCATCCTTTTACTCTGAGGCTCTGATTGTTGTTGGAGCCAAGATGTGTTTCCTGGAAGCAGCATATTGTTGGGTCTTGTTTTTTAATCCGTCTCGCCACTCTGTGTCTTTTTATTGCAGAATTCAATACATTTACATTTAGAGTGATTATTGATATATGAGGACCTAATGCTGCCGTTTTATTGCTTGTTTTCCAGTTCTCCTGCATTTCCTTTGTTTCTCATCCTTTGTATTTCAGGCTGCCAGTTCAAGTAGTTAGTTTTCTCTGCTGGTTTTCTTAGTTTTTTCCTTACTTATTATTTTTGTCTCTCTTCTACTTATTTGTTTAGTGGTTACCATGTGGTTGTATGAAAAATCTTGAAGATGAGATAGTCCATTTTCTGATAATCTCTTATTTTCTTAGACTAAGTCAATTCAATCCCTTTCTTCTTCCCCTCCTAAGTTGTTTTTGTCACATCTTATTCCTTCTTGTGTTGTGAGTTTGTGGTTAAAATGACAAGATTATATTTGGGTTTGGTATTTTCTTTCCCTTCATTTTAGTGTTATACTTGAGTGTCTCCTAACCTGTTTTGATGGATAGCTACAGCTTTCTGATTTTTGTCTACCTATTTATCTCCTTATTCAGGACTTTGTAACCACTTTCGTCTTTTTTTTCATGTATGCAGGCCTGCCTGAGAATTTCTTGTGGGGGTCTTGTGGCAATGAACTCCCTTAGCTTTTGTTTATCTGAGAAAGTTTTAATTTCTTCATCATAGCTGAAAGATATTTTCACTGGATAGAGTATACTTGGTCAAGAGTTTTTGTCTTTCAAAGATTTCAATATATCATTCCACTCTCCTAGCCTGTAAGATTTCTGCTGTGAAATCCGCTGAAAGCCTGATAGAGGTTCCTTTGTAAGTTATTTTCTTCTGCCTTGCTGCCCTCAGTATTTTTTCTTTGTCATTGACTTTTGCCAGTTCATTACTATATGCCTTGCAAGTAGGTCTTTTTACACTGATAGTAGTTAGGAGATCTGTTGGACTCTTCCCTTGCACTTCCAGCTCCTTCCCAGGTTTGGGAAGTTCTCTGCTGTTATTTCTTTGAACAAGCTTTCTGCTCCATGTTCTTTCTCTTCTCCCTCTTGAATATCTATAGTCCTTATGTTGCATTTCCTAAAAGATTTGGATTTTTTCCGGAGAATTTCTTCATTCTCACCTTCTCCATCTGAAGCATTTCTATATTTCTGTCCTCAATATTGTTGATTTGTTCCTCCCTAATAGCAGCTCTGTTGTTCAGGGAATCCCTATTTGTCCTTATCCATTGTGTTTTTCATCTCCAATATTTGATTAGTTCTTCTTTACAGTTTCCATCTCTTACGAAGTAGGTCCTGAATTCATTTAGCTGTCTATCTGCATTTTCTTGTAACTCGTTGAGTTTTTTTTAATGGCTGTTTTGACGTCTCCATCATTTAGATTATACATTTCTGTGCCTTCAGGATTGCCTTCTGGGTACTTGTCATTTTCCTTCTGGTCTGGAGATTTAATGCTTTTTTTCTTGCTGCTAAGTGACATGGCTTTGTGTTTCCACACTGTGGTAGTATTTGATCATGACTTCCACCTGCCACCACTGGGTGGGGGTCAAGAGCTGTGTATTCTGAGCCCACCATGATTGGTGGTAGAGCTCCCAGGTGCTGAACTGGGGTGGGGGGGGACGGGTGCTTTCTTTCTCCTGAGCGATCTCGGGGGCTTCTCTCTCTGCCCTGGCTGTCTACTCTCTGGGGTGTTAACTTGATGTCTGCCCTGGCTGTCTACTCTCTGGGGTGTTAACTTGATGAAGACACCTCCACATTAGCTAGTCACCTCTGTGTGGGGTTTTCCTCCAGGCTGTAAGGGACCTAAGAGAACAATGTTGTTCCCCGTGGAGGGCTACCGTGCCCTCCCACCTTTCCTCTCAGAGCCATGTGCTCTGCCTGGGTTGCTGCCCTTCAGTCAGGAAGAGAACCTTTCTCCCACTTTATTCCACTTCCTCAGGTGGTGGTCCAGCACCTCCACCTTCTAACATGGCTACGTGGGTCTCTCAGATGTCTTTTATGTTGTGTGGATGTCCTCTGTTGGAATATGAGTGTTATTTTGATTGTATCTTAGAGTAGAGAGTTTACAGGGAGAGCTCACTTGGCCATGATGCTGATATCACTCCTCCCATTCATCTTTTTATCACACATAATCTAAAAGGTGAGAATAAGACTAGATTGAAATAGTCTGGGTCAGGGGATAAAAACCTGAGATTGAGATGATGACAGGGTGGTTTAAGAACCCAAATTTATAAGGTAGATTGTCCTTAAAAATTGATAAAATGGAAAAACGCTGTTCTGGAGGTGAGCTTCTGTATTATGAAAAATTAAGTTAACTTGTGTAGAAATACTGCTTTAGTGTTTTTTACACTTGTTTCTTGGATTAAAATCATTGTATGTAAAGAAATTAGGTTTTTGGAAAAGTCACTTTAGCATGTACACATATTTAAATTAAAACTGCTTACTTTTGAAAAGAGATTTTAAGCTGCTAACCAGTTTGTGGTTCCAAAGATGTATTCAGAAATGCACTCCACTTAACCCCTAAAGTTCTGTAGCCACAAAACTCAGGAGAGCATACTAGTCATGAGATAGGATTGCCCCTTGTGATCCTTAAGAGCCACCTTGTCTAATCTTAAAGATCTCAAATTGGGTATTTAAAATCTGGTTTGTTAGCTAGCTGTTAGTTTAAAGCGCTTATTTATTATTGTGAAGTTTCTGTATGTTCAAGTCACATTTTTCTGTAACTGCTTCAATATTCATGCTTTTTTATGTATAATATGAGTTAAATGGGTATAATATTTAGAAATATTTCCTAATAATCCACTTTTAGGACAGTTTTATTTCCTGAAAGATATCATTATTTTCTGTGAATGGCATTTGAGTTTACAGTTTTTTAAAAATCTACTAGTTCCTTTGCAAGTATTTGAGACTAATATGTTTCCAAAGTTGAGGTGGTAAGCATAAGTTTATTTTAAAGCTTGGTTAGAGTAATCTCAGCTGTTCTTTGCACACTGTTAGATTCAACAGTAAGGTATTAGGAAGTGATGAGTATTTGTTCCGTCCTTAATTGGCCTATTTTAGTACTTTTCAGTACTATTTGCTTGTTTTGTACTTCTGTTTTTGATTTACATTATTGCCTACCCTACTGATCTCTAAACTTCTGTCTTGAAAAAAATCACTTGTTTACAAGATCTGGCATAGACTAGTAGGTCCTCACAAAATGGTGTTGATAAACTTTCTCTTTCCTGAACTTCATGTTTTAGGAAATGTGCTCTTTTTTTTTTTTTTTCTTTTTTGCTGAGGAAGATTTGTCCTGAGCTAACATCTATGCCAATCCTCCTCCAGTTTTTTGTAGGTGTGACACCTCCACACTGTGGCTGATGAGGGAAGTAGGTCTGTACTTGGGATCCGAATCTGCAAACCCAGGCCACTGAAGCAGAGTGCACAGAACCTTAACCACTCAGCCACAGGGTTGGATGCAGAAATGTTGTGCTTTTGAGAAATAAAAGTGTTGGAAAACAGGTGTTAATACATTTAGTGATGTTTGAATCTCATCATTTTATACTTACTGGCTCGGATTTATTACCTAGATCTCACATGTGGAATGATGAGCCTGTATTTTGGGCAGAGAGAAACCTTTTATAAATAAATATCATGTGGTTTTTGATACAGAATACAGCATTGCCTAATTCTTTATGATATTTGGGAAGGAGGGATAGTTTTGATTAATTCAGACTGTGACATAATTTTTATAACATGAAATGTAAGTGATCAAGATTTCTTTCTATAGGCTACAGAAAGTGAGGTAGGAGATGTAGATTTAACACGTCTTCCAGAAGGACCTGTTGATTCTGAAGACGAAGAAGAGGAAGATGAAGAGATTGATCGAACAGATCCTCTGCAGGGGCGAGATCTTGTTCGAGAATGCCTTGAAAAAGAACCTGCAGACAAAACTGATGATGACATTGGTAAGAAATACATCTGTTCACAATAAGAATTTTATAGTTTTAATTTATATATAGTTCCTAATCTTGCATAACAGATTGCCCCAAAACTTAGTAACTTAAAACAATGGACATTTATTTTCTCATAGTTTTTGTGGGTCTGGAATTCAGGAGTGGCCTAGCTGAGTGATTGTGGCTCAGTGTCTCTCATGAGGCTATAATCAGAATGTTGGCAAGGGTTATAATCATCTGAAGTTTTGCTGGGCTGAGCTAGAGGATTACCTCCAAGGTGGCTACTCACGTGGCTTTTGGCATGACCTCAGTTCATTGCCAGGTGGGCCTCTCCAGAGGTTGCTGAAATGTCCTCCTAGCATGGCTGTTGTCTTCCCCTAAAGCAGGTAATCCTAAAGAGAGTAAGGCAGATGCCACAATGTCTTTTAATATCTGGCCTTAGAAATGACATCATCACTTCTTCCAAATTCTGTTTGTCACACAGAGCAACCCCAGTACAATATGGGCAGGTACTGCACGAGGACGTGAATATCAAGAGGCAGGGATCATTTAGGGCCATCTTTGAGGCTGACTGCCCCTATTTGTGAGCTTGTTTGGAGGTTCTAGCAGGGATGCACAGCCACTGGTATACTCTTGACTGAACGGTCGTCCTCAGTATACAGCCTCAAGAGTGACACACATAGAGTGATGAGAGAGCAAGGGGACGCCCACCTCGCCAGCCAGATCAGCTAACTCAACCCTGGCGATCAATGGAGTGACAGATGTTGCAGCCAGATCACCCTCACATCCTGGCCGCCCCAATTTATAAAACAAAAGCTTTGATTGCATTGAAATGATTTCCCCCTTCATGTCCATAAGACTTTTAAAACACTACATCAGTGTCCAATGTTTATGAATTAGCTTTTTAAAAAAATTTCAAACTTTATCAAAAATCATACTTCTCTACCTTGAAGAAATATGTGTGTGTGTATATATATAAATATAAATTTGGTTAAAACTTTATGAATTTTCCTTCATGTAGTTACTTAGAAAACTAGTTACTATACTTTGATTGGGTGGTTGAATGATACTAAAGATCTAATGTTATCTTTAAGGACAAAGATTGCTTAGTGTCATTATATATTGTTATGATTCAATTAAGAATTTGTCCTAGATTTCTCTTTTATAGTAGTCATATTGCTGTCATTCAAATCAGAAGATACTGCTATTACTACTAATAATAATCTCTGTGAGTAAAGATCAATAAATTTGACCATTGCTTGCCATTTTAAGGACATATAGTTAAGTAAGCTGTGATTTAGACTCATGTTGTGAACGTTATCGGGACAGGAACTGAAAGTACATTTTTAATGATAAAAAGTTATATACTATGCTATTTTCACAGAGCTTTTTTAAAGACTTAAATATAATTAACTCCCAATTACCTGTGGGTAGATAGCACCTTATAGTTATTTCTATTTCAGCCTTTAGCTGACTGCTTATATGTTTCTCTTTTATATTTATCTTTATTACTTATGTATCTATACCAGGGAATGACCTAAGGCAGACACTCATAAACGTCTCTTGGTTAAATTAAAGAGTTAGCCTGTAGTTGCTTCGACAAATCTTGAACCTAGAATTCACTAGAATTTGTTACCCCTAATTTAATTTCTTATTGACATTTATTAATAACATTTTTTTTAAACTCTAGCCCAATGAGAACTACATGAAAGGCCTTTTCACTAATCTGTTAGATCAAAGGATATCACTAAACTTAACCACCATGGAGTTGGCGCCTTGGGCTAGGAAAATTAGATAAACTTTCCAGCCTCAGCTGAATCTGTCTGGTTTCCTGGTTCTCTCTGGAGCTTGTGATTTTGGTATCTTCCAGTATGCCTGTATTTTTGTGTGTGTCTGAATATATCTATTAACCAAAAGTGATTTTTTTAACCGACAGTAATCTTGTATGTTGGTTTATCTACTTTAGCAGCATAAATTCATAAGTTTATTAGAAAATTGGGTTATGAAGAATTCTGGATTTTATTGTATCTTTAACGGGTAGTTCTTGATGGCCTCTATACTAGAATTTCTGTTTTTTTATAGAACAATTACTGGAGTTTATGCACCAGCTCCCTGCTTTTGCAAACATGACCATGTCTGTGAGGAGAGAACTCTGCTCAGTGATGATTTTTGAAGTGGTAGAGCAGGCTGGAGCTATTATTCTTGAAGATGGGCAAGAGGTAAGTTAGCAAATATATGTTACATGTTATTTAATACAGGAGCTAATCTTTAGAATGATTTCCATAAACTTGTGTAAATCCCGACTTTGGAAATTTATACAGTTTTTTTTAAAATGCATGCTGAGTTTGGGGTAGTTTACATTTCTGAAGAGATAAGTTTTTATTTTTGTTTTTGCTTTACTTTGTCTTAATTTTGATTTCTTAGCAGCGGACCTTGCACAGAATAGATGTTCAATAAATAACATTCGTTGAAGCAAATTTGTTTTTACTTCTCAAATTGTTATAAGACTTTTTAAAAACTTCTGTATTCCATTTGTATATTTATATCATTATTGTTTCAAGTGTTTATCAAGTATTTATTCTTCTATCCCTTTTCTGTATTATACGTTAAAAAAAAAAAAGAATGAGAGAAATTTATTGGTACATATGCCTCCTAGTGGACTGCTGTCAGTTGAGGCATTTATGTTCAGAATGCCCAGATGACAACTTGTGGATGAATGGAGGGAGGATGCAGTGGAATTGAAAGGTATTACTGCTGTTAGAAAGTACTTCACTATTTTTCTTATCAAACTGATGAAAATTAATGCTGAGGTGTCAGTCAATGAACATTGTCATATACTGCCAGTAGAAATATAAACAGTATTTCTAGAAAGTCCTTTAGAAATTTTTAACATAAGCCTCAAAGTATTTAACAATCTCTAACATTATTATTCCACTTCTGAGTGTCTTTCCTCAGGTCATAATATAAAACTCAGAGTTATACCAAAAAATATTCACTGTAGCATATTTATAATAGTAGAAATTAGAAATGACCAAAATATGATTCAGTAATAAACAGTGGTTAACTAAATTATTATACAGCCACAGAATATAATATTATGTAGATATTCAAGTTATTTTAAAATTTGATGGAAATTCTTTGAGGGCAAGGGCCTTGTCTCTGTCTTTGTTTACATGTTTTCTCCGCATATCCTAGAAAATGTCTGGCACAGAGGATATGCTCATAAAGAGAGTTGGGTGAGCAATGAATTTAGTATTAAAATTTTTTAAAGGCAGGATAGTCTAAATATTTCAACAATATAAAATAATATAAACATAGGAGAGAAACTAAACTTAACAACAACTGTGTGAACAGTGGGATTTTCAATAACTTTTCTTTTCTACAGATTCTTGTATTCTCTTAATTTTCCACAGTTCTGTCGGCAAAAATCTGTAGTGTGCTTACTTTGTGCCAGGTACTGTTCTAGACACAGGGAGTATGGTGGTAGAAAAACCAGATGCAGTCCCTGTCCTCAAGTAATTTATGTAACCACAGATTCCACAACAAATGCATTTTATATTTGAACTAATCAAAAAAAAGCACACTTTTGAAAAAATATTTATTGTTGCCACTGATTCTCCTTCAGAAATGATAATCCAGATTTCCTTTAAATCACATTAAAACTGTTCAAAGTTTAAACTAATAGCAGGGACACTAAAGAAGAAGAAGTGGTCTTTCATTGGTACACAGTAGGCCTTTTGAATATATCTTCTTAGAGCATTAAATGCTTTCATATAAATGAAGGCCGTGTTTTCTTAACATTAGGAGAAACTTTGAATATTTTGTCAGATATGCCTTAAAATTCAGGCTTTTAGTAAGTAGTCTTTCTGAATTAATCACTAGCTACTTTTTCTCTTCTTTTGAGCGTTTGCTATGTTCAGTCACTATTCTAAGCACTTAGTATGTATAAACTCATTTAATTAACACAAAAGTCTTATGAGATAGGTACTGTTGTTACGCCCATTTTAGCATTAGAGAAACTCAGGCCCAGAGAGGTTAATAACTTGCCCAGAGTCACTCAGCTAGTCAGTGGCAGGGTGTGGATTCAAATTCCAAGAGTATTTGGTCAATTATGAAAGTTCCTGATTTCATTTGGTGACTAAAAGAAGAAAGAGTAAAATAAGCTTTAGTGGTTTGCATAGACAGGCATAGGGTGTTCCTAACAGAGTATTTAGTAATACAATCAGATCTTCCTTTTTCTTTTTTAGATTATACAAGTTCTATATATAGCTTGATTATTTTTTAAAGTTAGCATATAACTGTCTTTTTAAAAAGATTCTTAAAATCTGTCTTTTTCTCTATAGCTTGACTCATGGTATGTTATTTTAAACGGCACCGTGGAAATCATTCATCCAGATGGAAAAGTTGAAAATCTCTTTATGGGAAATAGTTTTGGAATTACTCCCACTCTGGATAAGCAGTACATGCATGGAGTTGTTAGGACTAAAGTAGATGATTGTCAGGTAAGTTTCTCTCTTTGGTTGTGTATTCTTGATTGTTGATTTAAAATGGCTAAGCCTGTTTTTCCTTCCTCAAAATAAAATAGCTTGATTTAAATTGAGAGTTTCAAAAGATCACAATTAATGAAGGTAACTAGATTTTATATCTGACTTAAATATTTGTGAAATTGAACAAATTATAGATTTTTAAAAGAGACTATACCAAGTAAATGTTGGTTTTGGTTTATTAAATTTCTATCTGATATTAGCCAGTTCAGTCTTTTTTTTTTAATAAAGGAAAGAAATAGGAACTTCTCAGTTGTGTGTTTCTGACTTAGTCCTGCTTCATGTTTTCTTTTCATAGTGTCAGTTTTGAGAGAAGTAGATGTTCACTTCTCCTTTTAGAGCAGATTCAAAGAGATTTAACTTCTTTAGTCTCTTTGTGCGGGAATTATTTATTTCGTCTTGCTTTTTCTTAAGGGTTAAAGGGATAAAATAAAAAAGAACTGATGCCACTTGATTTCTTAACTTTGTGCTCTGCCTTGGTGCGTAGTGATATATTTATGTACTATAGGTTTATTAATTGTCCCCATGTTGTTCTCGGACAGTTTGTCTGCATAGCCCAGCAGGATTATTGGAGAATTTTAAATCATGTGGAAAAGAATACCCATAAAGTTGAAGAAGAGGGAGAAATTGTTATGGTTCATGAGCACCGTGAACTTGATCGGAGTGGAACCAGGAAAGGACACATCGTAATCAAGGTGGGTGATTTTGCTTATTGTTCTAGTCACTGATAGAATAAAGCTTTCATCTTGTTTAAAAGGCTTCGAACCACTTTTTGAGTAGTGCAAAATAATTCACTAACTTTAGAAGCTAATTTAAATAAATGTGTTGGTTCTTTTACCTTTTTCTAAGTTGGTTTTTACACATTTTAATGATGAAGGGTGATATTACCATTTAGTATCAGTATGGATATTATTTTAGAATATACTGCTCAAAGTTTTCCTTCTCAAATTTATTTTGTGATCCATTGATAATGGGAGTTAATTTCATCAAAGACAGCAGTATTTAGACACAAAACAGAAAATGAAAGGACCAACTGTAAAGGTATAAGGAATTCTAAGTGAAGATGCAGAGTGCTTTACAGAATCTCTGGCACTGAAAGAGGCATTAACTTCTCTGGAGTTAACTTCTCTCGGGATGATGTGACAGGGCTTTGTTAGGGGTAAGTCAAAAGCCTTAGCACATTGTAGGGTCTGAGTATTAATCCCCATACTGTTTTCCCTTCTCTAACTCCTTTCTCCTCTACCCCTAAGCCCCCTTGCCTCCCCAAACCCCCCGACCCCCCTGTTTCTTTAAAGAACTCCAGATGTAAAATAGAGTTATTACAGTTGAAAGAGAGGAAATAAATACATGACCATTTCTCTTTTCAAGCTAGTCTTGGTTGCAAAATAAGTAAATGTGTTATTATTCATTAAAAATGCAGCAGCTTATTTAATAATAAGGGACTGATGTGAGATTTGTTCTTCCTCAGGAGTCAAGCTGTTCTTCACTGCTGTCTTTCTTTTTCTAAACTGATAAACGTAAGCCTTGTACATAGAAAAGATGAACATGTGGGTGGACTGCCATAGGCTTTCTTTTTATGGGGCCTCATGATTTTCAATACTTCATTTTTAAATAATTTCAAACTTACAGAAAAGTTGCAAAAACAGTATAAAGAGCTCCCTGACTCAGATTCCCCGGCTGTTAACATTTCACTGATTTTTCTCCATTATCATCAGTCTTTTTCTGAACCACTTGAGAGCAGTCTGCAAATCTGATGTCCATCACTTTTTTTTTTTTTTTTTTTTTTTTTTTAGATTTTTTTTTTTTTATTTTTTTTTTCCTTTTTCTCCCCAAAGCCCCCCCAGTACATAGTTGTGTATTCTTCGTTGTGGGTTCCTCTAGTTGTGGCATGTGGGACGCTGCCTCAGCGTGGTCTGACGAGCTGTGCCATGTCCGCGCCCAGGATTCGAACCGACGAAACACTGGGCCGCCTGCAGCGGAGCGCGCGAACTTAACCACTCGGCCACGGGGCCAGCCCCAAGATGTCCATCACTTTTAAATATTCCATTGTTTCCTAAAAACAAGAACATTCTCCTACATAAATACCATAGAACCCTTCAAGTTAGGAAATGAACACTGATAAAGTAAAACCATTCAGCCCACAGACCCTATTTAGATTTTCACCAACTATCCCGTCAATGGCACTTTTTCCTTTCTGCTCCAGGATCTCATCTGGGAACACAGTTGTGTTTAGTTGTCATGTCACTTCAGTCTACTCCAGGAATAGTCTTTTCCTGTTCATATTCTTAGCAGTTTTAAAGAATACAGACATTATATTCTGTATTATAACCCTCAGCCTGGATCTCTCCATTGTTTCCCCGTGACCAGGCTCAAGTCATGGTTTTTGGCAGGAATTCCACGGAAATGATGTTGTGCTCTTCTCAGTGCATCATGTCAGGGAATACAAAATGTCAACCTGTCCCAGCACTGGTGAAGTTAACCCTAATTCCTGGTCATTTGGTGTCTGTTTGCCAAGCTTCCTCACTGTAAAGTCAGAATTTTACCCTTTATGATTGATAAGCATTTGGAGGAGAAATGGTCTGGGATAGTGTCACTGTGTCCTGCAAAGCTCTGTGTACCTTTACTTCCATTGACTACTCCTGCCTGAAATGGTGATTTTCTATTTCCATTATTTCGTCTACATTTATTGGTATTCTACTGTAAGGATAAGCATTCTCGTTTCTTACATTAATTTCATTATATTGGTATGGGCTTTTGTGTTGTATTCCCTTACCATCAGTGTCGTTCCTGTGATCAGATTGTCCCAGATTTGTCCAGTGGTACCCTCTGAAGGCTGACTCCTGTATCCTTTTGACATATCCCCATCATTTTTTGAGAACTTCCTTATTATCTGGCAAAACAATATGTTCCAGGATTATCTTGTACTTTTCCTGCTTCGGCTTTGGAATCAGCCATTTCATCAGAAAGCCCTGGATCTTTCTAGTGGAGAATAGCATCTAAAAACCAAGATCTGGGCACTCACTCAGTTCATTGCTACTGAAGTGTCAGTGCTTCTGGAGTCTCTCATCAAACAGAGCTAGGAAATATATGTATTTACTATAAATTCATACACATCTATAACTTTCTATATCTATCCATCTGTCAATCTATAACAATCATAAGTTTATACCAATACTCCTAGTTCCAGTACTGTATACCACAGAGCTTTTTTCTAGCCTTTTCCTTTCCATATTTGTAAATACTTTCTCCAATAGTGGTTCCTGTTATGCTCTGTATATTTCCTTATTTCCTCATCCTTACCAGTTTCTACCATGCCAGTGTAACCATGCCAGCCTTTTCCTTCACCTGCCACCTCTTTACGCTCTGTCTTACAGTATCTCACCTTGTTGGATGCTAGTGAGCACCTTGGTGACATGCTTCTGCATGACTGTGGGACTCACCTTTAAATAAAGTTTTGTGTCTATGGTCTAGTCTCCACAGTTTCCTGCCTCAGTGATTTAGCCAATCAGAATAATGGCCTTCTTTAACATGTTGATCCCTTCCACCACTGACTTAGCTATACATGATCTAAGAACTAGAATTAAGTGACCTCAAATCGTGGTTGGCCTGAGTGATAAACCCAGTTTGGTACTCTTAGACTTAGAATGCCTCGAAGAGTGAGAAAAGAATAGGAATGACCTGTGGTTGTGTTGTCTGTTGAATAGGTTATCTGAAGAACCTTACTTCTGACCTTCTTCTAAAGAAATTATTTACATACCTTGTTAGCAGTGTCTACCTTTTTTAAAATAAATTCTTAGATAAAGACATTGTTAGTATTAATGTATGTTTACCATACAGTTACTATGACCAATGAAATTATTTGGATGCGTGCAACAAATGGAAATTTGAGGTTATGGACAACAGTTGGTTTTTATATTTGGCTTAACTTCTGGTTTATTTCTACATTTGTTCTGTGTACCCACTTTTGAAAAGGCTCCAAAGGTGATAAATTTTAACATTGATTCAGAAGCTTGAAGAGTAGATACTGTTTACATTCTTTTTTATGTAAGCAAGCAGTTGAAACTTGGATTAATGTAAAAACTATCTATAGAACTTCTGGTTCCTCTCAAGATGGTGAACTAGCATGGAGAAATTATAGAAGAGGAAACTTCTATTCTAGGAAGTAACAACAACAATAAAACTCTATCTTGGACTGGTATGTTGTTCCTATAGCCTGGGGCAGAAGAGAATTTGAGGATGATTAAATTTGGAGGAAATCTTGCTCTTTTTTTTAATAAAAACTTTTTATTTGAATAAAACTTTTTTTTTTTAACTCTCACCTCTTCCATCTGTTGCCTTGAGACAGTCATTACATCCCCACCATTGCAGGATAAGTGGCAGTAACAGTCCACACCAGGGGTAAATCAGTGAAGTTCAAAAGCCCTGCTTTGATGAAATGCCAGTGAAAACAGCAACGGAGTAAATGCTGTGGGTATTTTTATTCCTCTGCCTTTTCTCTCTCTAAATCTCTGGGTGCTGGTGGATTACAATCTATAGAGACTACCTTCTCCCAGTGCTGAGGATTTTCAAGGTGAAACTCTACTTTGTGGACGTATCTAATGGAGTGGCTACAAAGGGAGGTAATCAACAGGAGTTCTTTGGTTTCTGAGCTGTTTGTTTATTTTCTAATCCTTTCTGTCCTTGGATTTTTAGGCAACACCTGAGCGTCTCATCATGCATTTAATAGAAGAGCATTCCATTGTGGACCCAACTTATATAGAAGATTTCCTATTAACTTACAGGACATTTCTTGAAAGTCCGTTGGATGTTGGGGTCAAACTATTGGAATGGTTTAAAATTGACAGCTTAAGGGATAAGGTTGGTTTTATAAATATAAAGGGCATGAAAGTGATTTTAAACTTTATTTATAAAACCTTTTATAGTTGGTAAATGTTTATTTTGATAACAAGATGTAATTCCCCTAAAAAATTAGTCAATGTAGACGTGTTTCTGCTTAGTTACTTTTATGACAAAATAATATGTCAAAAGTGGATATGAACCTTAGCAGGCAAAAACTGAAATAAGACTGTCGTGTAGCTGTAAATTCAGAAAACGTGATAGCTTCATGACAGTATTTTTGAACTTTATCAGAATATTTGGTTGTTTCTGAGGGAGATCAATAAAACATTTAAAAGCTGATTAATAGTTTAGAAAGAATATTTACCAAGTAAATTTTTTCCAAGAGAGCTTAAATTGTTAGTCCCAAAATACAAATATATTGATTTTTCTGAGTTATAGACCTTAATAATCATTTGAAAATAATTTATCTTTTTGACCTGAGTTTATCTCTGCTGTGACTTACTTAAATCTACCTTTGAATAATTTTTGCATTAAACATTGTTTGCTATTTTAAATAGATGATTTTACCTTATTTCATCAAGTGTTTGTACCTTTAATGGAAGGACTTGTAATACCTCAGCAAATAGGTAGGATTAGTTATTTTAAGAAAAATAAAAGAAGGGCCATAATTGCCTGGTGTGTCTTTCTGAGTTATATTTTAAAGGAAATAGATATAGCTGGACTGTCGAATTCTGTTGTTTAGGAATGAAAATTTCTAAAACTACAGGCTTGCTCCCACCCCTTTTAGAATTATATGTAGTCACTTCAGTAGCTGGGGAAATAAAGGCCTGCTAGAGAATGAACAAAAATATAATTTAGAGACAACTAGATATTCACATGCAAAAGAATGAAGTTGAACCCTTACACTATATACAAAATTAACTAAAAGTGGATCAGACACCTAAATTTAAGAGCTAAAACTATAAAACTTTTAGAAGGAAATATGGGTAAAAAATCATAACCTTGGATTTGTCAGTGATTTCTTAGATATGCAAAGCACAAGCAACAAAGGAAAAAACTAGATAAATTGAACTTCATCAAAATTAAAACCTTTTCTACATCAAAGGATATTATCAAGAAAGATAGGACAACACATAGAATAGGAGAATATATTTGCAAATTGTGTGTCTGATAAGGGTCTAGTATCCAGAATATACAAAGAACTTTTATAATTCAACAACAAAAGGCAGCACAATTTGAAAATGGACAAAGAACTTGAACAGACATTTCTCCAAAGAAGATACATAAGTGGTCAACAAACACATGAAAAAGATGTTCAAAACCACAATAAGGTTCTGCTTTACACCCACTAGGATGGCTTTAAAAAAGGAAAGGAGTTAACAAATGTTGCTATGGATGTGAATGTGGAGAAGATGGAATTGTTGGTGTGGAAAACGGTTTGGTGGTTCTTCAAAAAGTTAAATAGAGAACCGCATAACCCAGCAATTTTTCTCCTAGGTATATTTATCCAAGAGAACTAAAAACAGATGTCCAAATAAAAGCTTGTATACAAGTGTTAATAGCAGCACCACTGACAATACCCAAAAGGTGGAAACAATCCAAATGTCCATCAGCTGATGAATGGATAAACAGAATGTGGTATAACCATAATGAAAATTTGTTCAGCCATAAAAGGGAATGAAACACTGACACATGCTGCAACATGGATGAACCTTGAAAACATTTTGCTAATTAAAAGAAGCCAGACACAAATGGTCACATATTATGTGAAATATCCAAAATAGGCAAATACACAAAGACAGAAAAGCAAATTTTAGGGTCTAAAGAGAGGGCAGAAGGAGAGGTGACTGCTTAATGGGAAGGGGTTTTCTTTTGGGGTGATGAACATATTCTGGAACTAAGTAGTAGTGGTGGTTGCACACCATTGTGAATGTGCTAAATGCCACTGAATTGTACACTTTAAAGTGGTTAAAATGGTGAATTTTGTCTGTATTCTACCACAATTTTGAAAAAATATGACGTAAGTTACATTGTTAGTTAGGTACATTAGTCAATTAGATTTGCATTCATTAGTTTTTAAACTTTTCTTTTACTCTGTGGCACAAAGTAAACAAATCAGTTCACAGCTTTGAAAATTCACAGTATTGACAAGAAGGAAGTTTCAGGTTTGTTTTTGTTATAACTTTGGTTAAATACGTTCTTGGTTATAGAAACACTTTTTTTTTTTTTAAGATTTTTTTCTTTTTCCTTTTTCTACCCAAACCCCCCTGGTACACAGTTGTATATTCTTAGTTGTGGGTCCTTCTAGTTGTGGCATGTGGGATGCCACCTCAGCATGGCTCGACGAGCAGTGCCGTGTCCGCGCCCAGGATTCGAACTGACGAAACACTGGGCCTGCAGCAGAGCGCGCAAACTTAACCATTCGGCCATGGGCCCGGCGCCGGTTATAGAAACACTTTTGATATGATTGCCTGCCCTTGGAAGCTTGCATTTAAGATGCTCACTGAAATATACATCCCATATACTTCCTACCTCTTAGCATACAGGCTTGTGTTTTCTGAGGGCACAGTGTCTTGGCTCTGTCTATTACTAGTGTACCCAAGGAAGCAGACGCTCAAACTAAACCATGCCTCTCTGTTAGGATGAACCTTTTGTGTGCAAGAAAGAGGGATCAAAGGAGTTAGCCATAAAGCTCAGTTCCCCCTCAGTTTTGAGTATGCTTTTGGAATCTACTTTTGCAGAAAGAGTGCCTGTCCTAACTATATGCTTGCTGCCTCTTCCATGTTTCCACAGGTAACACGGATTGTATTATTATGGGTAAATAATCATTTTAATGATTTTGAAGGTGATCCTGCTATGACTCGATTTCTGGAGGAATTTGAAAAAAATCTGGAAGATACAGTAAGGCTCAAAAGAATTTATCTTCTTCAGAGTTTAGGAATCCCACCCCCTTCCACCCACTACCTCCCCACCCCCCCACCTCCCACTCCTCCACTGCCATAACAGCAACTCAAAACAGCTTTCGTCTTTTCTTGTGTCTTGAATGTCTGTTCTGAGAACTTCCAAATCTTTATTCTAGACGTCTGCTCATCGTCTGCCACTCCAGCGTACACAAAAATCATCCTTCTTCCTGATTCTTCTGTTTTAAGACTAATGATAATGTTATCTCCCAGTCACCCAGACTTATAAACTCTGGTGTATATGTGGGCCCCCTCTCTCTTTTCCTTGAATTCCCTGGCCAAGATGTCCACTCATTTGCTAAAGTCCTTTGGGTCATTGATTTAGGCATACACATACACATATTTCCTCTGGTCTTTCTCTCTCAACCGTTTTTTTTTTCACTCCCCAGTTTAGGGCCTCATTTCATTATGCCTGATATGTTATAATAGCCTGCTAGTTTTTGTTAACAGTCTCTCTTCCTTCTAGTCCATTCTTTGTGGCCAAGAAATTGTTTTTAAACCATAAATAAGATGACTGTTATCTGTTCATCAATAAACCAAAATATTTCCTCCCAAAGTCATTCCTCACCTGTATATTCAGATTTCTCATCTACGTTTTCAGCCATTTTTCTGTACACCCTAGATTATAGCCAACTACATTATTTTATATTCTTTGACACTTCTCTCAAGCTGAAATTCTCTTCTCCCAGTCTTGTTATTTGAAACTCTATGCAGCCTTCAAGGCCTGTCTTACATATCAGATCTACATTAGACTTTCTAAGTCTCCCTTCTGCATGTGATTTCACTTGTTCTAACTATATGACACTTAAGATAATCCCCTTAGGTTCTCTTAACTTTCACAGTAGCTATTTATAAATCCATTTTATTCTGTCAGATATAAAGCTTTGAACTGCAAGTAGGATTGTCTGCTCCAAGCAGCTTGAAATTTTAGGAAGTAAATAGTAATGCAGCCCAGAAGACAGATTGCCTTAATTAACATCCAGACTCCACCACTTGCTAGATATATTGACTTGGACAAGTTGCCCAACTTGTTATGCCTCAGTTGTCTTATTTTACAGATAGTAGTCCCTTGTTTATTGGGATTTTTATGAGGATTATAGTGAGCTATTGAAGGTAATAATCTGAGAACAAAACCTGGCACATCAAATGCTCAAGAACCATTGTTTTTACTCATATTCTATAAGTGGATTGAGTTGAATAAAGGGGGAAATTGGCAGATTTTTGTCTTTTCTTTACCCCTTGGTTCCTCTAGCCTTCTCAGCGGCACATCTGCTCTGTGCAAAATGGGAGGAATGAACAGAGAGAGGGGAACTTGATTAAGAGACTGTAGAGGCTCACAACCATCGTTTGGATCTTCCAGTGCTGGCTGTATAGTTATTCAAAGGGCTAATGGAAAGCAGAAACTGCCTTACGATCATACAATTTTTTTTTTAATAATCAGTTGTCAAGTATTTACTGAATTCTACTTTAAACTGCAAGGTGTTATATAGGATCAAAACAGGTGTGAGACTTGGTCCCTGCCCTGAAAAAACTTTAGCTGCTTATTATGGACGTGAGATTTACACATACTACATTGTTTGAGAATAGTTGAATATTAAGCTGGTATAAGAACCTGGAAGTTAGAATATTACTGAGTTTAAGGAAGATCTAAAATAATATAGGAACAACATTCCTGGAAGAGGTGGAGGCTTGAATGTGTCTTTGAATATTAGTATTTGGAAAGTTGGTTCAAGTCCTTTAAGGTTTTAAATAAAGGTTTAAATAGATTCCTGTTTTATATAACATCCAAGAGATAAGCAAGATGATAGTAGAGTATATAATTTTTGTCCCCTCTGTAAATGAGACATCCCTTTGAAATATTTTACAGCCCGTAATTACCTAGAAGTTTTGAAGAAATAAGAGATCTTATTCTTGAGAATGCTCTGGGTTGGAAGTTTTCCCTCCTTCAGTTTTATTTACCCCAGCTTTCATGTTCTTTACTCTTATATTTCCAACATAACTCTAATTCTGATAATTTTAGGTGATTTTTAAAAAGTCTGTAGGAACAGATACATTTATATACATTTTACCCTTTTCTACTTCCTAGAAAATGAATGGTCATCTCCGTTTGTTGAATATTGCCTGTGCTGCAAAGGCTAAGTGGAGACAAGTTGTGCTGCAGAAGGCTTCCCGGGAGTCCCCTCTGCATTTCAGCCTTAGTGGAGGAAGTGAGAAGGGATTTGGTATTTTTGTTGAAGGAGTGGAACCCAGCAGCAAAGCTGCTGATGCAGGACTGAAACGTGGTGATCAGGTAAGTAAAATAAGCAACCACTTAGATGAAAGCCTTATAAGTAATATATCTGCTACTTTTTTTCTCATCTGGCATTTTTTTCAAGTAAGCATGATCAATTTGAGGAAGTATTTTTTCGAGCCTTTTTTTAGAGGTAGTATTTGGAAATGGTTTATTTCAAAACTTTATTTGTTGTATATCCATTACTTTTAATGGAAAACGTGATATAGTATGGTCAGCATGATCGTCTGGGCACTATCAGTATGACCTTTTTTGAATGATGCTGCCCATCCTCCAAGGATTAGGAAGCTGTAACAACAGGCAACTTCAGAATGTTCCAGAAAGATCAATATGTGAATTAACACTTGCAAACTTTGAAGGAGCAAGCACTTTTCGCTCATAGCACTCTAAAATGTAAGTGGCTAAAGATTACCATAAACAATGGTTTCAGCTTAAATAACGTTTGTATGGTAACACAACTGCATCCGTAAGTAGAGTGAGCTAGTAAGGGACTAGGAAAAAGGAGAGACTGGGAGGAATTCGATGGGGAATTATTCTCTCCATATAAGTGTTGGGAAACTCTAGAGCAATATATTTCAGAATGTGACTACTGACAACCTTATGTCCACCTCAGTCCTATTAATCATATTAATCACATTCACTGCAGATAAGGACTGGTAATCTTTTTTTTTTTAATTTTTTTTTATCGAGTTCCTAACAGTTTACATCAATGTGAGATTTCAGGTGAACATTATTTCTTGACTGTCACCACATAAGTACTCCCCTTCACCCCCTGTGCCCACCCCCCACCTCCCCTTCCCCTGGTAACCACTGAACTGTTTTCTTTGTCCATGTACTTGTTTATATGGGAATCTATATTTTTAACAAAACTCTCTAGATGATTCTCATGCACACCAAAGAGTGGTTTCCCAAATCTAGCTGAATCACTTGGGGAGCTTACTTCTTCCCATTTAAAATTTTTTGTTTGTTGGTTTATTCATGAAGAATGTGGCTTTATTTTACTTTAAACTGAACCATACTATTATTTTTTTTAATTTTGAGGGCATTCACGTTATAAAAAGTTCTACACTCCAGAATAATGGTTATTAACTGGCCCCCAGGAGACATTTGGCAATGTCTGGAGATACTTTTGATTGTCGTGGACACTTGGAGATTACTCTTGGCATCGAGTGAATGGAGGCCAGCGATGCTGCTAAACAGCCTACAACACCCCAAATATCAATAGTGCAAGGGGTTAAGAAACTCTGATATGAAGTTTTAAGTCTCGCCTTCTTTCTCTAAGGGAGCTTTTTAAAGATAGAAATTTCTGGACTTTACCCCAGACTACTCATTAAGAATATCTAGGAGCTAGGATCCTGGAGTCAGTGTGTATATTCCAGTATTTTATTGTAAACACATTTAAGAATCTCATTCTTCACAGACAAAAACAATGACATTCAATGATTTCATTCCTAAAAGAGGAGAGAAATTTATGCTTTTACTTCTTCTCTCAGTATTCCCAAGTATCATTGAAGTTATCTATTTTAGATCTAAATTATTGACATTTTTTAACATGTATTTTCCCTTTTAAAAATGCTTTTGATATTTGCATGAAGTTTCCTAAGCTTATTACTAACAATCATTTAGACATTTATACCTGCCTTATTGATTTCAGTGATCGCCTCCATCTATTGCCATATGTCTCCATTATTTTGATTCATCTCACAGTTGACTTCTGGTTCTTCTACTCCCTTGTCTAGTACTTTTTTCAAAAAGGGCAGTAGATTTCAAAAAGGGCAGTAGATACTATGGGTTTACATGTCCTTGCAATGTTTACGATGCTTTTGTTCAGTGGAGTGTTTTTCTTTTCTAGGTACCTTTGGTTCCCCTACACACACACCTACCGTTGCTTATAGATTCTTCTCTGTCCGTGGAATTCAAAATTTTCATTGGGATATGTTAAAAAATAGATCTCTTTATTTTCTTTGCATGGTACTAGATGATCCATTTCAGGATGTAGACTCAAGACTTTTTCAACTCTGGGAATTTTATTTGTGTGATTTTTTTCCTTTTCCTAATATTTTGTTTCTAAATGAATTACTTCTTTTTTAAATGTAATAAATTTGGGTTTAGAATATTGCACTAAAATTTGTACATACACAGGCAATAATTTTTATGATCTGACATGATTAAAATTTTTTCCTTAATATATAAACCATGCTGTGTTAAAAAATTTTCTTAATATGATCCCAGAGGGAATGAACTTTTAAAAAATGCTAATAGTAGATATTTGGGGAAGTACAACAATAGAGAGAAAAAAACTAAACAGTAATTCCCATTTCTCACAGAGATAACCATTGGTCACATATGGGTACATTTTATTCAAGTTTCGTTTTATTTTTTCACCATTATACTTCAAGCTGCAGAAGTAACTAATACTGTTTTTGTCTTAATTTGTATTTTTCTAATACTTTTCTCAAGATAATGGAAGTAAATGGACAAAACTTTGAGAATATTACATTTGTGAAGGCCCTTGAAATTTTGAGGAATAATACTCATCTTGCGCTTACTGTAAAGACCAACATTTTTGGTGAGTTTTGTTGTAAAAACTAGCTCAGCCTTTTTGCTTTTTTTTTTTTTTTTGCTAATAGAAAAGGGAAAAGTCATTACAATGGAAAAAGAGGGGATAGTAAAATATAAACATGTTTTATCTAAATTATTTGAACATTTTTTGGATCTTTCGTGTTGAAATATAGTATTGTGTATTACAGAATTTTTGTTTTTCATTATTTATACTTATTGTTTTGAATTTTAAAATAGCTGTACAACTACATTCAGTCAGTCGTTTATGAAATGTCTCCTGAGCATCTTGTTATGTATATACTTTGCTGGAAGATACTGAGTGAAACTTAGAATGGCATGAATCAGACTAAAAAGTCATGATCAGGCTTTCACCCCCTGCTAATGTGTCAGTCTACTTCTAATGTTTTAGCTAGCTTTCTGAAATAATACTATGAATGCCAGGTTAGCTATTTCATGGAAATAAATTGAGTAATACATCAAATTAATTAGTGAATTATAGATTTTTAATAACATACTCTGTCTTTCTATGTAAAAATATTGATTACCATGCCAATAGTGTGTTTTGATCATGTTTATATTTGAATGAAACAAGGACTAAGTGTGTACTTTTAACTTAGTTTACTATTTTTTCTTTTAGGAAAGACTTACTGTAATTTGGTTTCGTTAGATACCATAGGATTTTCTCTGAAATTCTGAGAAGAGCAACAGTAAAAACAGTATAACAGTTGAAAATTATCAAAGAAAATATGAGTCTTTATGAAGGAGGGAGGAAAAAATTCCTTTAGATCATTTAGGTTACAATTTGAGAAATAAGTTGAATTTTAAAGCTCTGCCTGTGGAAAAGGAAGTGTTTATTTATTTTCTCTTTTTTTCATTTTGGCTCCTCAGTATACTGCACTTAGTCATAATGAAAAGGGAAACATTTGGTATTTTTCCTCTTTTCACTTGAGTCCCGTTTGTTGAATTACATTATATTAAATCTGATATATAACTGTCTGTTAACAACTTCTTAATATTATAATAGTTTAGCATAGAATAAATAAGCCTGCACAGTTTTTGGATTTCTTGGAGTTTGGGTTCACATCTAGAAACGTCAACTTTTGGGTTAAACTAAATGGAGTCTGATTTTGAAAACTATGAAAGCAGAGCTTGCTCTGTCACCTAGAACAACTTACATCGTCTCTCCAAGCTTCACTTTCTCTTTCTCCAGTTCTATTTCATAAGATTCTTATAAGGATCAAATACTCTTAAACTTTTTGTGCCTGGCACATAATAATTACTAACTATTATCAAATATTATTATGTATAAAAATATAGAGATAGTATAATATAGTGGTTCACAACATGAATGGAGCCTTGGAGACAGAAAAACTAGATCTGAAAGATACAAAAGTCAGAGAAGCCACAATCTCATAATTCTTTGAGTGATTAGAAACAATTGCCCAGCAGAACCCTGGATTAGATGTGGCAGAGGATGGAAGTTACGTGGTGCTGCAAAAGGGGACCCATACCCTCAATACTTTCTTTTTTACCCCAGGCAGAGTGTAGTCAGCCAACCTCAAGCCAAACACCAAAGAGTATCTCAAAGAGATGTTAGTAAAACATTTGTAGAAATGGAACATTTTAGTTTGGATGAGGTACCTGGGATAAAGTCCTTGTAACTCTGGCACTACCATGAAACAAAATTGAGCAGTTAGGTCTTCCTTCATGGAACTCAAAGTCAGAACACCTACAAAAAGGAAAGCTGTGACCAGAAAATGAATTCGTGTAGATGATACCAAAGCAAACCATACTTGGTCATTTTGAACTGATTAAAACTGACAGCCAGAGATCACCAGCCATAGGAGAATTAGTACTATTTAAGGGGCATGGTAAGTAACCTAGTAAGTGAGCTTACAGATTCTAGAGAAAATAGTTAATTTAAGGAAGAAAAAGAAAACATTTCTAGAACTCTGCTCAAAGAGATTTAAAAATTCATCCCTTAAGAACAGGATGTTAAGAAAAGAGAAACAAGTCATTGAGAAAGAAATAACATGCAGAGTGACTTAAAATATAGTAGCAAAGAAAAAACATTTAATAGAAGGAATAAATAATAAGGTTGAGGCAATCTCCCAGACTATAAAACAAAAAAAAACAAAATAGGGGCCAGCCTGGTAGCATAGCAGTTAAGTTTGCGTGCTTTGCTTCAGCGGCCTGGGGTTTGCCAGTTCAGAACCCAGGTGTGGACCTACACTGCTTATCAAGCCAAGCTGTGGCAGACATTCCGCATATAAAGTAGAGGAAGCTGGGCACAGATGTTAGCTCATGGCCAGTCTTCCTCAACAAAAAGAGGAGAATTGGTAGTGGATGTTAGCTGAGGACTAATCTTCCTAAAAACAAAAAAAAACGGAATTGAGCACTAGTCCAGGAGATCTAAAAGAAAATGTGAAGAACAAAGTATTTAGGAAACAGCAGATTATCCCAGAGTGAAAGAAGGATGTTACTCTTGTAATTCAAAAGGCCACCTATAATCTGAGCAAAATAAATTTTAAAAACTCATGTCAACCTTCTCTTTCCAGTATTGACTGAGAACAACTAAAAGAGCTAGACTAAATATAAAAAGTAGTTACAAACAATCATAAAAATCCAAAAAGATAGTAAACTACCACCTGACATAGAACAGAGAGGAAGTTAGATCTTAAAAAGATGGACTAGAGCTGTATCTGTCCTCGAGCATTTACCAGAACAAGAAGACAACTGAGAGATTGAGCCTCTTGGTAACAGACTCCCAGGAAAAGGTGAAAGAGTTGGAAGCCTGCAGTTGCCAGGAGCACAAACTCTGGGTGTGTCAAATCCCTTCCTCCTTCCTGAGACTGTACCCCAAAACGATGTCTCTTTTTTTCCAGGGCCGTTTTCTCATTCATAGAATGTATCTGAGAGAAGGAGCTGCTGGATAAACTCACATGTTTATAGTTTAGACCCCACCAAAGGCCAGAACACTCTAGCATAACAACTTTTGTTCAGATTGGGACCTTGAATGCCCACCTCTGAAGTGGATGTGGACTGTACTATAGGCAACTCAGAGAATCTCAAGTTTTGGCCCCAGCCTTGGCCCTCAGATGCCTGGCAAAAGAAAATGAGAATCCTCTTTAGAGGATGCTAGCAGCAACCTATTATTTGTAAAAATAATTTTTCAAATACAGAGTCAAGCAAACAATCAAAGATTGTGAGACTCTTTTAACAGTCAGTATAAACCAGAACCAACAGAAACCTATCCTGGAGCTCCAACCGTAGGAGCTCCAGAATATCAAACGTAGACTGTAAGGTAACTGTCTTATGTCTATGATCATAAAAACCAAATTAAGGATTCCAGTTCTGGGTAAGATGGAGTAAACACATGCCACCCCTCATCTCCCATTCAACTCAATAATAAAACCTGCACAGAATCATGACCTACCGCTTTGAGAACTCAGAAAATTCAAAGTACCACCACCATCAGTGAGTTTGCCATGTTTTTCACTCCAATATCCCCTGGGCTGGACTCAAGGCAATGTGAAACCTGGATGTGAGTATTGTGGTATAGATCAAGAAAGATCTGGGAGAAGCCTGGCTTGCGAAATGGGAAAGGGAACTCCTAAAGCTCAGACAGAGTTAAGGAATTCCCAGGTTTTTTCCTGCTCTCTTTCTCTCAGGCCCCAGCCTCCAAGCAATCCAGTGGCATTGACAATGGCCTGTAATAGAAGGCTGCACACGCCAGAATTCTGAGGGAGAGGGACCTTCCTCCCCCTGCAGTGGACCTATGCCCCCAAGAAGGCAAGGGCAACTTCATTGCTTTGCCCCATCCTCCTGTTACTTCGCCCCTAAGGCACTGCAGTGCCTTACAATTACAAAGTCCTATACATTTTCTTTCTATAGGACTGAAAAATGAAGCCTGAGGAACTGGAAAGTATCAGATTGATGACTGAGATGAAAGAGACAACTCCATAAAGTTATTTATGAAATCCTGGTCTCACCCCTGTTTTGCACATGCATGGATCTGATCCTAGTTAGCATACCATAGACTGAGAACTGATGTCACAGGTAGACCTCTGCTCAGGTCCCAGACTAACCACTAGGTGGCACAAAGTGGGCAAATCTATTTAGCATTGCAAAAGCTTTGAAAACTGAACCTTGGAACCACACCCCACAGAAGGCTAAGCAAAAATATCAACATTGTCCATAGGATATAAACAGGACTCAGCAATTTTCAGTGTAAAAAGGATCCCTTGTTACAATTTTCTTTGTATTTACTTCATTTGGGATTTGGTGATCTTTTGAATTTGTGCATTGATAACTCTCATCAATTTTAGAAATTTTATGGGCATTATCAGTTCAAATACTGCCTTTGCCCCTCTCCCTGTATTCTTTCCATGTGGAAGATCAGTTACTTGTATGTTAGAAGATTTATTTTCCATGTACCTCTTACAATCTATTCTTTCCATTTTTTTCCCTCTTTCTGCTTCAGTTTGGGTCTTTTCTAATGACCTGTGTTTAAGTCTAGTTACCCTGTTTTCTGCTGTATCCATTCTGCTGTTAAACACACACAATAGGTTTAATTTTAGATATTAAATTTTCTCTTCCAGAATATCCATATGAATCTCTTTTATAAACTCTACCTCTCTTGCACTTCACTATTTTTTCATCCATTTTATCTTTCCTCTATTTTTAAGATATGTTATTAGGGGCCGGCTCGCTGGCGCATCAGTTAAGTTTGCACATTCCACTTCTTGGCGGCCCGGGGTTCGCTGGTTCAGATCCTGGGTGCAGACATGGCACCGCTTGGCAAAAGCCATGCTGTGGTAGGCGTCCCATATATAAAAAAGTAAAGGAAAATGGGTATGGATTTTAGCTCAGAGCCAGTCTTTCTCAGCAAAAACAGGAGGATTGACTGCAGTTAGCTCAGGGCTAATCTTCCTCAAAAAAGAAAAAAAAGATACATTTATAATACTTATAAAATCCTTGTGTCTTAACTCCAACATTTGGATTATCTTCTGTCCTGTTTTCTCCCTCTGGTTATCAGTCATATTTTCTTACTTTGTGTGTCTTATAATTTGTTATTGTATGCTGTAGTTTATATATAAAGGAACCTTAGAGGATAATGAAATTAATATTTTCTCACAGGGAGGATTTGCCATTTCCTCTGTTTAAGCAGGTAGGGTAAAGGGAATTGAGCCAGGTCATGCTGGGTTGCAGAATTACGTAGACTTTGTCCAGTGGTTTCAAGTTGAGAGTAAGACTTGTCGTGTGCTTGATGCAGGCCCCTTGTCTAATGGAACTTTGTCTCTGAACACCGAGAGAGATTGTGGGAAATTTCACTCTGCTTTTTCACCCTTGTCCTCCTACCCCTACCCCCAGTCTCTACCTCAGGCGTGGTTTTTGATTCAGTCTGGTAGCTTTCTGTCTCCTTTTTTAATCTGAGTTCAAAAAATCTTCAAAGATTTTGAGCTTAGGTCTTTAGCCTCCCACCCCAAGCAGGTAAGTCAGTCATGTGTTTGTTGCAAGTCCCTCCCTGTTGTGTGACTTTGTCCCTTAAGTACCATGAGACTGTAAGAAATTTCCAGCCAATCCCCAGCCTCCTGAATTGTCCTGCTATTCAAGATATCCCATGGAGAAAAGTGACCCTGCTTTGGGGCTTCTCTGTATTCCAGTTTTCATGCCAGTACTCAAGGCCGTCAAACATTCTCTCTCTAGTAGAGTCCCTCTACTTGATCTGCATCTCATGTTTAAACTTGGCAAATGTCCCCAGAGAAGACGACAGCTGGCAATCTCAGTTTACCCTCTTCCTGCTCTGGAATTTTATTCCATCTATTCCTCTTGGCTTTCACAACTTTTTAAAAAGTCTTTAAAAATCCCACCACTCATAAGTTATTGTTAGCATTTTAATTTTTTAATAAAAGTAATACATATGTTTTGAAAATTAAAATACTACCCACATGATGGAGCCATAGTGTGTACAGTATTCTGTACCTTTCTACATCAGTTCAAACCAATATTTACTTCTTGTATAATTGTTTCCACATAGAATTCCATTGAGCTGATAGCATTTTAAAGGATGTTTTAGTTTGTTGACAGTTTTTGCTGTTAACAATGGTGTAATAAAAACCCTTTGTACTTATCTTTTATGCTTGTGTAGATATACCTGTAAGATAAATTTCTTAAAGTGGAATACTTTTGACAATTACTGCACAGTTTTACTTTCTAAAAGTTTACCCCGATCTACATAGACTTCATTCATCAGTGTATAAGAATGCCTCTGCAGTGGGTATAATCAACTTTTGGTTATTGATATATATTCTTTAATAATGAGGGAGGTCGAGCACCTTTTTTATGTTAACATTTCTTTTTTTTAAACAGTTTTCTCATTGTCCATTTTTATATTGAGTTATCTTTTATTGATTTGTTTGAGTTTCTTATAAATACAGTACCTTTTATCTTAAGGGTTGCAAATACTTTCCCCAAGTTATTTGTTTTTTGACTTTCCTTGTTTGTGTTTTTTTCTTTGTATGTGTGTAAACACTCATACACACATACTTATATGTGGAGAGTGAGAAATTTTTAATCTTTAGCCAAATTTATTAAACTTTTATTGATTCTTGACCACTTTCATTTCTGATTCACATATCTGATATTGTTTAATGGCATTGTAATTACATTTGCTCACAATCATTAATTTTTGTCTTTAATTTTTTTAATTAACAGTAATTTCTTTTTCTATAAATCAAGCTTCACAAATTTTTGCTTATGATTGTATTCACAAGTACAATGAAGATATAAACCACTGTGTACACTGTTGAGTCCCCCTACATACACACCACAGCCAGGGATATCTGCTGCCCATTCAGAGATTGCCTGTTGCTCTTAACAGAGAAATCAGACACTTTACCGTTATCAGGCCCCTTTTCTACCTTGTTCTCTAGTCATCTTCATTTTCTTGAACTTTCCTTCTGCCACAGGGACTTTGGACTTGAGATTTCCTCTGCCTAGCATCATTCCCCCTTCCCCTCCCTTGGCCTAGTTAAAATCTGCTAACCTTAATGATCTCTTCTTACACAGTGACTTAATTAGGGAAGATTTTCCCTTTCCTGCTATCTTAATTAGTTTGTCTCATTGTGTTCTCTCAGCACCGTGTTTCTTTGACTATATATTCCACAGCAGGAGGAATCTACAAGCATATAGTAGTGTAGTACCTGACTTGTGTTCATAGGTCAGTAAATATTTTCTGAATGGATGAATACAGTAACTTGGTTTTAACTCAGAAAAGCATTTTTACCTTTACCACGTGGCTTAAAATAAAGTGAAGTTTTAAAAATAGAAACTGAAAGGAATTTACTGTATTTTAATCAAGGAGAGTATCTTTGAAAAGTGACTCCTAAAGATTTCCATTATTTTGAAGACAGAAAATGTGCTTTTTTTTTTTAAGCTGTATGTCTTGTCTTTTTTAAGATTGGCACCTGAGCTAACAACTATTGCCAATCTTTTTTTTTTTTCTTCTCCTCCTCCCTAAAGCTCCCCAGTACATAGTTGTATATTCTAGTTGTGAGTGCCTCTGATTATGCTATGTGGGATGCCGCCTCTGCATGGCCTGATATGAGGTGCCATTTCTGCGCCCAGGATCCAAACCGGCGAAACCCTGGGTCGCCAAAGCGGAGTACGCAGACTTAACCACTCAGCCATGGGGCCGGCCCCAGAAAATGTGCTTTTAATAAACTTGCAATGTGCTTAGGTAATTTGATATCATCCTGGTTGAAACTTTAAAAATGATCCAGTTTTACAACTGAATATCAAACTATGTTGTAATGCATCAATTCTTAAGGCTCTATCCATTTGAATCTTACTTGTAAGTCCTTTGGTATTGTTGGAAACTGTTGATTTATCCCAAAAACAACAGAAAAGATTGCAGTTATCTTTGTTTTGGGTTTCAGTGGGCACATTTGTACAATTTACAGCTTTTCTTCTCTAAACATACAGAGTAATACTGCTCAAAGCTACACCTGCTGATAAGTTGTAGTTCTGTATCTCATGTGGCAGAAGACCTGCATATTCAAGAATATGCGGCCACTATTTTTTGTGTATGTGCGGACTCCCCCAGGCACCATGAGTTTTTAGGAAAGTTAGCTTCTACTTTAGCATTTGTCTTTTTAGTACTTTTTTCCTCTAGCAGCTTGTCTTATTTTTTAAAGCAACCACCAAAAAAACTTTTTATGACGTTACTGAATGAGAAATAGGTGATACAGACTTTCCTAAATGAAAAATGACACACTAATAGGTTCTCGATATATAGTCTTACACAGATTGATCTTTCTTTCGCCTTATCCCAGGGAGATATCACCCCTCTCACAAGGTGAAAAATCGAATCTAGGCAAAGAGATTGCTAGACAGCACGTCCCTCACTGTGCTTGCAACCCTCCTTAAGGATGAAGTAACTCACTAGACTTAGGGTTGACAGCAAGTTATCTAAGAATAATTGGTGGTTTGCTTCAGACCACTATAGCGAATGTTTATTAGCTGCTTTACTGAGTGACATAAGTCTCATACATGTGACTTTGAGGAAACTGTCATATATCACCAAATTTAGTAGTGTTTATTTCTGGTAAAATCAGGCCCAGTGAAGCACTTCCCAGTTTTTTAATGGCTAAGTTTTACAAATCTGAGCCTGACTGTAGTACTTATATCTCATCTCAAATATATTATGATAAGGAATAATGTATAACTAATAGAATCTAAAGGTCTGTTTCTATAAAATCTGAGTTGATTAGCAATTGTATTGCTTATTACCTACATAGGAACCCCTGGACTTTTCAAACACGGTGCATCCTGCCCTCTTCCTTTCCATTTTCCCAAGAGACTTTGTTTTATCACTAGTAGACAACATTAGAAGTATAGTCAGGTATAAAAGATGAAGAGGAAAGTGGGTATAGCTGATAAATAACGGATGGGTATAAATTCCGTAATGTTTAATGAATGGGACTGTGAAAGGCCAAGTAATACAAAGCAACTGTTTATCCTTAAACTTTGTTGTTGATATGAAAACTTTCTAATGAGAAGGAAAGAAATGACAAGTCTATTTATTTCTTTCCACAGTGTTCAAAGAATTACTTAGTAGGACTGAACAAGAGAAATCTGGTGTTCCTCATATTCCCAAAATTGCTGAAAAAAAAAGTAATCGCCATTCAATCCAAGATGTACCAGGAGATATTGAACAGACATCACAAGAGAAAGGAAATAAGAAAGTAAAAGCAAATACGGTTTCAGGTGGAAGAAACAAAATCAGGAAAATTTTGGATAAAACACGATTTAGTATCTTGCCTCCAAAACTGTTTAGGTAGGTAATGCTGATCTCAGTCATGTGTAGGCATTTTCCTATTGACTGTGCAGTTTTTATTTCGGGGAAGGGAAGTTTGGGTTAGTTTTGTTTTTTATACAACTAATGTATCATAAAATCTACAAGCAATCTATAAATAAGAAAGAATAAATTTTGAATGTTTCCCCATCACTTCTATGAAGTTACCACTGCTAGATTATATATTCTTCCATATTCTTCCATTAGCCTTGTTTTGAATATTAGAAAAGACTGACTGTTTTATGAAATCTTTTTTTGTATATTTTTGATCCCATTTCAGTACCTTTATCTACAAATTTGAACACCTTAAATCTTGGGACATATTCAGTGATACTAGTTTTTGGTCTTTTAAATCATCTTTCTTTTATTGCACTATTTATTCCCTCCTAAAATCCTAAAGCTGACCTTTTTAATCAAATCTGTTTCAGTTTCCAAAGTGAGATGTCGCAAAAACTGCATAAAACTTTAACATTTTAAATGTAATTTAAGGTCTGCAAGATACTGATGAAATCAAGCTACTGCAGTGTCATGGTTGAGAATGACTCTAGTATATATTATATCTGTGTATGTTATACATCATCTACTTCCTAAAGCAATCACAAAAGTTCTAATCAAATGCAGTACTTATACTTAGTGCACAGTAGGCACTCAGTATTTGTTGAGTAAGTTAGGGCAATGAATTGACCAGTGAAAGAAAGCATATTCAAACAAAATATATTCACAAAAATACTTAATTGGTTCCTGGTAGTTCCTGGCACTGTGCCAGGTGACAGTTACAGAGCTGGAACATGGTAGTCCCTACCTCTAAGGAATTCGTATTAGGAACCCTTTATTCTCCACACATTTGTTATACGGTAGGCACAATATCCGGAGATAGAAATACAGAAAGATAAGTAAAGCAAGTTTTTTGTCCTCTAAGAGTTGATCTCCTAAAAGAGAAGGCAGGGAAATGGGTGCATTACAGGATGATAAGTGTTTTGACCTGTACAAAGTCAGAAAAGGCTTGGTAGGTTTGAGTAGACTGTTTGTGAGTGCACACCTCGATATGAAGCAAGAGAGGATAGGTAAGTGCTAGGTTGTGAAGGACTTTGAATGTTATGCTACGGATAGTGATTTCATCATGTCATAATAGGGAGCCACAGAAGGCATATGATGTGATAAGATTTGCTATTTTAGGACGATCTCTGTTAGCTGTGGTAGTGGTCTGGAGTTGAAGGTGCCGCACAACGTAGCAGTAATAGCAAGGAGACCAATTAGGAGGCAACTTGGAACTAGGTAAATGTTTGCTCTCATCTGTTACCTAGTTAAAGATCTCAAAGATTTCCTGATCAGAAAATGCTCTTCTTGAGTTGTTTCCAGTCAGGGAAACGCATTTACTCTTCATTTAATTTGGGCCTCACAGAGGACTGAAACATCCTGAGCTCTGTCCTTAATGTCGCTCATTTCTAGAAAGTTTATTACTCATTCCTTTCTGAGTGACTGCTATCCTTGAGGTGAGTGGTTTGTATAAATCATAATTTTAAGATAGCAAAATTCTTTTAATATTGAGCATACTGTAGTATGACAGCAGCACAGCAAACACTATAAGACAAGTTTTATTCTCACAAATGAGAATTGAGTAAGGAGAATGTAAGGGGAGCCAGCCCAAACTGAAGAGACTGGGGACAATTTTGGATGGCCAGAAGTCTGCATGAATGCACTGAGCAAAGGGGAAAAGAATGGAGGGTCAGAAGGCAGTAAAGAATTCACAAGGGGAGTTCCTCAGGAGCTAATAGCCTGAGTTCCATTTCCAGAAACCCTGGTGGGTTAGGTCTGGAATACATATATCTCTTTTAACTGGTTCTCATTTTGAACAGTAGCACAGTTGTGACATGTGTCGTCTAAAACCAGAGAACATTGTGATTGTAACTGACTAGCTTGTTAGTGTCACATTCCCACTGGTTATATTCAAGTTTCAGGTAGCTAAATCACTGTCGCCTTTCCACAGTATCTCCTTCAGGGAGTGAGAATTGGTTGCTCCACCTGTATTCTCTCTTTGGTTATAGCAAGAGGCATGGAAATTGAGGTGACCAGGAACAATCATTTGAGTATTCGCCAGCATTCTTTCTTTATATTGGTACCCCAAGAAATGAAAGATATAGTAGAAATAGTTTTACTTAAACTCAGAAGGGATTTTGGGTTTTTTCCACTTCAGTCTGCAAGTATTTGTTGAGTCTTTTGCTTTGTGCCAACAGGATGCTATGGGCTATAAATACAAACGTGAGTAAAATGCTGCCCTTCAGGAATTAATATTAAACTGACTATCTCTTCTAACATGTTTCAGTGAAGTAAAATGCCAATAATTTCAGCCTTAAAAATGCCAAAAAGGGGCCAGCCTAGTGGCACAGCGGTTAAGTTCGCATGTTCCGCTTTGGTGGCCCGAGGTTCTTCACTTCAGATCCCGGGTGTAGACCTATGCACTTCTTGTCAGGTAACACTGTGGCAGGCATCCCACATATAGAGTAGAGGAAGATGGGCACAGATGTTAGCTTAGGGCTAGTCTTCCTCCGGGGGGGGAAAAGCCAAAGAACAGATTATTTTAGTAGAAATCATAAGTGTTTTCTACTGGAGCATATTTTGCAGAGAGAACCCATTTGTCTTTTTACCTTTCAGACTAGTCACTTTGCATTTTTGAGAACATATGTCGCATTTCTTGGCACTTAATTATTACAGATAAATTCAGACAACCCATTTTGCTACACACACACAAAATTGCTAAAACTTAGTAGAAAAATAGGCAGAGAACGTGAATCAGATGTTCTGTTAATAAATCAAAGATACACAATTTAAAACAGGATACTGTTTGTTTCATCAAAGGTTGACAGAGATAATTATTAGGACCACAATTAATAACGTAGGATAGATAATAAGTTCAGACTACTGTTGGAATATAAAATGATGCAAGCTTTCTATAAGGCAGTTGGGCAGTTTTTTTATTAAGGGCTTAAAAAAATGTTCATACCTTTGATTCAGTAATTCCATTTCTAATAATTCGATGAAGATTTATATACAGATGATCTTAGAAATATTATCTATGAAAAAACAAAATTGGAAATACCCTAAATGTCCAACTTTAGGGGTTGGTTAAATAAATTGTGCTCTATACCTTAAAAATGACTAGAAGGAAAAATGTTGATTGTGGTTTTCTCTAGAGTGTGGTTTTATAGGTAATTTTTTCCCGTTCTTCCTTGCTTGCTTGTTTTCTATATTTTTAAAATTTCCTACTTTGATTGAAAAAGAATTTGATTCCACAATTTCTGGACATCTCCTATGTGCCAGGGTTCTTTGGAAGGGGCACTTGCTCTCTATCTTTGCAGCACTCCCTTCTCTGAGAGGAGAGGATGCATTGTCACAGAAGTACTTTAAGAAAGGATGTCTACATCTGGGAGAGGAGCAAAGAAAACGAACATAAGGAAGGAACAAATAGTCGAGGCAGGAATAGATAATTCCCTAAATCCCTAACCATGACAAATTTTCAAATGAAAGAATGCTGCTGAAAGTTAGAATTAAAAAAATTTATTGATATTGAATAACATCTGTAAATTAAGACATAGTGTGGTTTTTATTGACGTGAGAATATTTCACAATTCAGGAAACGTGATCTCCTGTTTTTTAATCACTCCGCTTTTGTTTTGTTTTCTTTAATCACAAATTAGCTAAGTAACATCTTTGTATTATTCATTGTTAACAGCCCCAGAAGTAGACTACCGTGTTTGCTTATCAGAAGTTATTTTTCTCCCCATTTCTTGTCAGCATACTTTCTTTGTTTGCTTTTAATATTGGGATTTTTTTTATTTGCATATTGATGATATTTATGCAGCCTTTTTAGTTTCATATTATGAAGTCAGTTTAGTGTCAGGGAATTACTGAGGAATTTTTCAAAACTATCTTGTTTTTGTTACTGCATCACCTTCTCAGGAGACTGTTTTGGTAAGAAATGACATGGCTATTTGCAAATGGGCTTTATCAATTCAGCTTCCAAACAAGCATGGATATTTTTCCAATTAGATTCTATTTCATTCATGTCATAGCATGAGTTGTCCATAACATTAATATAGTTTCATTTATACGTGCTCACAGCTTACCATAAATTTGTAACCAGCTTTACATTATTATAACTGAACAGTGTCATATCTGTTGCTTATTAAAAAGCAAAAGTAATGTTAAATAACGGCAGTAAGAGAGAGAAAGACTTTTAGTATTTCATGCCCTTCTCTCACTGTAGTAAATTCCAACTTACTGCAACTGATGCAGCCACTTCTCTTTAAAAGAAAATTAACTTCTTAACATTGTTAAATTTGCTCCTACATTGATTATTAGTAGTACCAGCTAATCTCCTTAACAATTTGCTTTGTTGAATTCAGTTATCTGATCCTTTGTCTCTAAAAATTGTCAGATTTGTTTTCAAAAATCAATTAAAGAAACACTGTTGTATTAAAATATATATTTTTTCTACATAATTTAAATTGTTGCCAGATTACTTAAAAAACTATGAATAAAATATCTGTGAAAGCCCTCCTTTTTTTCTCTTACCTAACCTTACAGCATTTAGCTCTAATCTTTAGGAATATACACATAATTATAAAGAGCCAATTTAGGATAAATACAAATTACTTATCAAATTAAGATATTTCCTTCCTTTATCTTTATCTCTCAGATTAGATTGCCTTCTCTCCCCAGGAAAACATTTCCTGTTTCTATAGTGCCTTTGCCTGTTGTACCCAACGTACCCCGCACTGTTTCTCAATATGAATTGTTTATTCTTCCTAGGTTTGTCCTGTCTATTTTAGTTTTGGTAAGAGTATTTCACTATTTTCCAATGTGCCAAAATGTTACCCACATGACCTAATTTAATCCTCACAGTAGTCTTGAGGGATAGATAGTATTATTCACATTTTTAGATGAGGAAACCAATGTCCAAAAACAGAAAGAAATTTCCCTGAGGTTGCACAGCTAATAACCCAGGTCTGTCTGGCATAGCTTGCTCTTGAAATACTTATCTTTGCTCTCTTCCATGTCTTCATGCTCTTCCTGACTCATCTGCTCTTTCTCATCCTAGCTCTGTCTTCCTTGTCTGGCTGTTAACGGTTCTTTAGCTGTTTATTTAACTGTCCTCTGCACACCATCTTGCGTAGTTTCCTAATCTGCCTAAATCCTATTTTTTACTCCTAACATAGTCTAGATGTATCCCATATCACTCATTTTTAAGATAAACCTCAATCTATTTTATGATAATAGGTAAGTATTCTGTGATACCTCTGTTTGTGTAGCTAGTACTGGGTAGAATGCAGCATTGAATAAAAAATAGATGAGAATTAATATTAACGTAAAGCATTAGTTTTAAATAAGCACAACCCTTAGAAGTAAGTGGTGTTTTGGTTGTTGATGCTGATGGAAATCTCTTTTTCATTGCTATCCTGTGTTTGTGTAGGAGCGTTTCACTTATTCTATGTTTTATAGGACTTGGGGGGGGCGGTATCTAAAACTTAAGTGAGAGAGTTTCTGTTTCTTTGTTTTTGTCTTTACTCTTAGATGGATTTAGAGTTGCCTGTGTAACACCACTAAAATATTTAAAGGAAGGATGTACTGTTTGCTTAAATATGGCCATTTAATTGACACTCGTTTTTGAAACCTTTAAAGGGAATTAACTATAGACGACTTGCTTTCTGCTCTGGTTTTGATGTTTTCATCTAGGGAACAGCCAAATAATTAGGCTTGAGAGATGACAGAAGAAATAATGTGCCTTTAGAATCAACTTTAGAGACTATAAAATTCTTTTTCTTCTATTTTCATTTCTGGTCCTCTTTTTCCTTCTCTTTTTTATTTGTCACATATTCCCATTGTTGTTTGTTGCTATTCTCTATGCCATGTTCCTGTTATCTCTTCCCTGTTCTTGCTGGTTTGGGCAGTTCTCAGGTTGTTCTTAAATTTAAAGGCCTCTCTTATTTTGTCACTCAAGCTTGGCTCCATTGTTTTCTACACCCTGCCATATTTTTGGTTTGGATTTAGACCCAGCTCCCTCCTTTGCCTAGAAGGTCACCAGGCTTTTCTGTTGAGAGAGAGAAGCTTGCTGTGGTGTAGCTATGCATTGTTGGATACATATATTAGTGTGCACTGAAAGTGGAGGATCTCAAGGGCTCCCTAAACACTCAGGTTCACTTTCTCTACCAAAACCAGCACTAACTAAATATGACTATTTCTCTATGATGTAGTAGAATTACTTAGATGTATAAGTTAAATTTTGAGTGTAATTGTTAAAAATATATTTTATTACCATTTTCATTATTAGTTGTCCTTAATTTTTAAATTGCTGTAATATTTCAATCTAATTTTTAAAATCACCACTTTGAATTGGTTCTATTATGCCTTAGTGCAGAGAACAGAAATGTTTACTATTTAGAACCCTCAAATACTTCAAAGTGATATATGGCTTTTTTTGAAGTGATGGAGGCCTGAGCCAGTCACAAGACGACAGCATTGTGGGAACGAGACACTGTAGGCACAGTTTGGCTATAATGCCTATTCCTGGAACACTGTCATCCAGCAGCCCTGATCTCCTGCAGCCTACCACCAGCATGTTGGATTTTTCCAATCCTTCAGGTAATTTTTGTTTGTGATTTTTATGTAGCCATATTGGTACCATGTGGACAAATAGGTGGTTGAGCCCTGTGCAACAAATACTAAATTTGCTTGCAGCCCTCTTATCTCACCTCCAGCTTATGACTTCATGCAAAAGCTAAGGAGAAGATTATGTCTTTTTGTCTAAGCTGGAGTGATTCTTCCTCCAATATGAAATAAAAGTACACAGAAAAGAGATCATATTTACGTATCTCTTGGTAACCCTAATCCGAGCAGTGGAATGAAAGCAGAAATACTTTTTTTTAATCTAAGTGGCCTCATTTATCTTCCTCTGTGATGTACAGAAATGTGTTAGTAATTCTCTAGAAACATTGATTTCCCCCTCAACGCCTGAAGCTAAAGTTTTTTTTGTCATATATTATGAACTAAAGTACTATAGTGTCTTTTTCATTGGTGTTAATACTTTCAATTTGGGACATCAAGTTAATTTTTCTACATCTGCAGAGCCAGAAATTGTCATTTAGCTGTGTAATCTAAAATTTCATTACAAGGAAGAACAGCTTAGACTTTGAAGAATTGTTTATATATCCATCACTTGAGAGGATTTAAGATGACTTTCAATAAAAAACACATACAATTAAGAACTGAAATATATAATTGGGTCCAAGCAGGGGAGGGAAACAAATAACTCTACAAAGATCAGCGTAGTTGTAATTCAGTTTTAGTTTTGAATCTGAAGTTCCCAGCAGCTGGCATAAAAAGGGAGGAAACTTGATTACGTAAATCTCAGTATTAGAAAGGAGTAAATATAAGTGTAGTGGTAAAGTTTATGTTTTATTATAGTAACTTAAATAAAAACTCTAGGATATAGGATAAGAATGCAGTTTAACGAAAGTCTCTCTGCACATTGTTTCTTTCTTTTTGTTTCAATTGCCTCTTAACACTAGAGAGATTAACTACACACAGTAATCCGTCTTTGACACATCTTACTCTCTATGTGACTACCAGTGTTCTTTCTAGAACAAAGATTTTAGTGAGTCATTGCTTTGCTTAGAAATTTCTAGTGGTTTCTGTGTTAGTCAGGATTCAGTCATGAGATAGAAACCACTCCAGATATTTGATCAGAAGTTAGTATAAGTTATTGTCACCAAGGTATAAATTAACTACCATTTTTAAAGGGTCAAAAAGCAAGCATTGAGGTATCACAGAGGTAGGAAAACTGCAGGTTGGATTCAGCATCTGGTACATGAAAGAAATGCCACTACCAGGCTGAAGAAAGTTTTCCTGGAGTGATACAGAAATAAAAAGCTCTTACGAAAAAACAGAGCAGCAAGTCTCTTCATCTAACCTTGCGGTTTACCTCTGGTGCCCTCTTTTGGCAGAGCCTAAGAGAGAGTCATTTGGCAAAGAAGAAATGTGGTTTGCAGAGTTTCAGCCCCATCATGACAAGGCCAAGTGGGTCAGGAGCCTAAAGACAATAACTTAATAATTGCCAGTGTCCAGTTTTCAAGGCATAATTATAAACCTCTTCTAGCCTCTTGTTCTGCCATTCTCCCCATTGTCACCTCATCCATCTTTCCTGAGTGTAGCATGTACCTTCAGAACTCTTTCTTTGTCCATACTGTTTGCCTCCTGTGTTGTCCTCTCCCTGCGTATGTCATGAAATTTTTCTTACTCCTCAGTGCTGAATTCAAATGTTACCTCATCTGGGAAACCCAGGTCCCTCTGCTGCAGAATCAGTCCCTCTTTTTCCAGAAAACTCTAGCACATTTTCGTTGTCTCTCTGTTGCTTGTCATGTAAGCACCATGGGAATTTATTTCCATGTCTGTATGTATGTGTTCCACAGCGATCCTTCTTACACTATACTCACAAATAAAATATTTTCACTCTACCAAAAGCACAAACTAAATATGCATCCTTTCGTGACTAGTGTTTAGGGACATGATTTATAGATTGACTGATTTCTATGTCTGTCCTTTTGCCATAGGTATATGCAGAAGTGGGGCTGAGGGAGTAAGGGGTAGGTTTTAAGGAGAGGAGAGAGAGAAGTAAACTGGGGATTTTGCTGGGGGAACAAGGGGAAGAGGTTGGAATCATTGAAATTTAGACACTGGAAGCCCCGTGGCACTTAAAGTCAGATCTCTGGAGAGGAGGTGCTGCTCAGCTTGATTTCAGATTGATTGCATAATTCTCTCATTGAAAACATGTTTAAAGAGCTGAAGATGCACTTTTAAAATCTATTCAGAGAATATCAGTCTGCAGCCTGTGTCCATACCAGCAATATAAGTGAACACATGTAAGATAGGTATTTAACTTATATGTTATAGTTTTAAACCCCAAAATGTGCAACTTTATGAAAGACTTTTTATAGTGCCATTTTATGTTGAATAAGATATTCATTACCAATTCCCAATTCAGCTCCTTAAATTATATATGACAGCACTGAATTTTAGGTTAGCTGTGTATGTCACGTATGTATATTGCAATACATATATAACATCAACTGGGTTTGATTAACATATTAATGTTGATCTCAGCCATGTTTATACTGCATGTTTAAGTTATTAGAAAGTGGGGACAAAGCTACAGACCTGTTAGTTTGCTTTTGATTACTGACTTTTTTATGGTTTTGCTTTGTTTTTGCTGCGTACAGCTGTTGGTTTTTACTGTAAGTATCTTGATTGTATTCATTCTAGTGCTTAGATTTGTTTGCAGCATTTTATTAGTTTTTGAAAGTCAAATGATATAGAATTCAATGAAGTAGGAAGCAGAACTTTTCTATTCACTTATAAGGTTGCCGGTATAAACTGGTGTGTACTCTTTTAGTCATTTTCTTTGAATATATGTTTTTATACTCATAGAATCAGAGTATACATACTATTCTATAACTTCTGAAAAGTTTTTTGGAATTTTTGACCTAATACGAGATGAAGCCTAGAAGAATTTGGAGTGTGGCTAAAAGGATTTTGAAATTGAAGTTTTCTGAGTCTGCGTGTGGAACTTTTGGCTTACTCTTTTTCATTTTAAAGGCACAAGCCTTTTATTTGATTTCTTTTTCTTTTTTTTTTTTTTCTTTCTTTGAGAAAGATTAGCCCTGAGCTAACTGCTGCCAGTCCTCCTCTTTTTTCTGAGGAAGACTGACCCTGAACTAACATCCGTGCCCATCTTCCTCTGCTTTATAGCGTCCCACGTATAGAGGCAGTGCCATGTCCGCACCCAGGATCCAAACCGACGAACCCTGGGCTGCCAAAGCGGAACATGCGCACTTAACTGCTCCGCCACCGGACCAACCCTGATTTCTTAAACTTTGAGTAAACTTTAAATTTTTTTCTGCATTGCAAGTCTGAGTTATTTTACTCCATTTCTTAGAATTAACAGTTGTTCATTTAATTGTATATTCTTCCAGAAGTTTCTGTGTAGGAAAGAAAATGTCTATACCATTCCCTTCACCCCAAATGATATGCTGTACTTCTCCTCCACTTAGCCCATTTTGCTTAGCAATATACCTTGAGTACTTTTCTGTATCGAGATGTATTGTTCTACCAAAATTTTTTAAGCAGCTGATAGTGTTAACATTTAACCAGTCCCCTTTCAATGGACATTTACAGTGTTGCCTACACCTCTGTGTTTACCTATCTTTACATGTTTTATGTTTGCATTATTATTATATTTTAAATTTTGTTAAAAATTTTATGGAAATTTGTTTCCCCTCCTGATATATAAGTACCTACAAAATATCGTCTGTTTTGCCTCTTGGCCTACAAACTTAAAATATTTACTGTCGGACTCTCTATGTAACAAGTTCGCCAATCCTTGATCTGTACTGTTATACAACTACCCTGTGTTTTCTTTATGACGCTTTTCGCTATACGGGTTGTCTTATTTACTTACTTTTCTGTCTTTCCTTGTACCACCCGTTACTCTCTTGAATATAAGCAAATCCCTGAGAGCAGAGACTTTGTCCATCTCATTTATTACTGTATCTTCATCACCTCAACACTGTTGACACATAACAAGCACTCCATAAATATTTGTTCATCAGTTAACAATTTAAAGCAGAATGAAAAGGTAGTCTTTGGGGATTTTTTTAGGATTGTCTTAAATACCTAAAATATTCTCCCATTGTTAGTGTAATCTTAGGGTCAATACCTGCATCCTTCAGGTATTTCATTATTTAATTTTACTCATGCAAGATTATAGTTGGCACTCTAGAAATTTTGCCTTTGGGTTGAAAGTCCAGATATCTGAGATTCCTGTTCATGAATTCATTTACCTTTTATATAAGAATTTTATTAATAAAGTATGAATCATAAAACTAATAAATGCTGTACTCCTCCAAGATTCTTTTTAAATGTCTGTTTTGCCCTATGGGATTATATTTTTATGTGCATTCTACCTCCTTACCTAAAATTTGAAATGATTAGATCATTTTTCCTTCTTGATTCAACTTTCTACTAACCTTATATTTACCATTCATCTAATCAATTAACATTTGAGTGTCTGCCATGTGCCAAGTATTATGTTTGGCATATATGATATTCTCCCTCTAGCAACAAACATATTTGTAAAGAATATGTATGTATTATGTATGTAGCAATTCTAAAATAAAAAAGGAGGTTTACACTGATATTAGTGCAGAGAAATTTTTTCCTCTGATGTCTCTCAAATGGATTTCCAAATTGGCACTTATTACCTTGGCAGACTCATCAGGGTTTGGGTTATGGAGTGCCCTTTGGATAATCTCATGTGTGGATCTGATCTAGAGGTACCCTTTTATGATGCCTGAATCCCTCTGATGTTACTTTATAGCAGTTTGTCCTTTGCATGGGACATAATGGCTTTAACAGAGTATCACTTTTTTACACTGTTTAGCAAGATACACAACTCTGTTCCTTCCCAGATGATGTTATATTATGTATGTTGGCAGCAAGAGAAGAGAAAATGAAATGTGTGCAAATTCTCAGTCTATCTTTGTGAATAAATTTCTCTGAAGAAATTAATAAAAGGGATCAGAACATCTCCCTATTCCTTCAAGATCAGCGAGGCCTGCTGGCTGAGGCTCAGCCTCCAAAGTTCCAGTAAACAGATCCAATTCTAGAGCTCCAGACCACTAAGACCTAATTTTGTAAAGAGGGTAGAAACAGTAGAGGTAACAATGTGTTGTTTAAACTTTTGTAGAGTTAAAAGAGATAATGAAACCCTTTTGTCCAGTATCTCTCTTGGCAAACTGAAATTTTCGTCTGCTTGCAGTCATTTTCTAGCCTAGGGTAGAGAAGCCTCTCTGATTTTGGTGAATCATAAAACAGTCTCACCTTAAGCCTTGTAGATTTAGAAACCTGATGATGATAGCAGCACCCTAAGAATTGACTCATTGCAGAGAACTATGAACAAGAGGCATTTGGTGGCTCAAATATTTGCATGCATCAAGAAAAGAGAATTTGGTGCATACATCTTACAAAAGGGGCTTGACTAGATGAAGCATTCTGCTTGCAACTTGACAGTGGACCTGCAACATTCAACATCTGTTGACTAAGACAACTCCTCCCTGGAATTGTTTTCACATATATTCAGTTGAATCTTCCAGTCCTGGGAGTCAATCAGCCTCAAGGGTGAGACCAGAGTGAGGGGGTGGGGGAGTGTACCTTATTCTGTGAAATTATTTCCAACCACATCAATTTCATTACTGTCTTCTTTCCTTTAGCCAGAATTATACCACAGATGGTTTTGAGACAAATTTTTAATTTTTCTTTTTCTATAAAAGTTAACAATTTATAAATGGTAAGAAGGTAATGCTAGACAAACGGTATACAATTACTTGAGCCACCAAACTCTCCCCAATCCACCCCAACTTCAGTCATCACACACAAAAAAGTCTACAGTAGTACATTTTCCTAATTTTAAAAAAGAGAAAAAATTTTGTAATGAAAAATTCATGCTGCCAGATCACTTTTCACTTACATTTAATTCTATTAAAAATTAGCCCACTGTCATCATATTGAACATTGTTCTGAAAGTTTTAGAACAATGCTGTATGACAAGAAAATGAAATAGAAGAAGGGGAGAAAATATCATTATCTATATGTGCTTATCTTGAGGTGGAATTTATCTACTAATAGCAGAAACCACAGAGGCCAAGTCTGAAATTTAACCACATGAATATTTAAAATTTTCCTGCATTAAAATAAGTAAATAGAATATAAAAACTGAAAACACATGGCACTTTATAGTAGACTAAGTGTTGGTAATTAGTATAATTCAGTAGGAAAAAGCACAAAGAATACTAAAAGATAGTTTTGAAAAGAAGGATATTGATGGTTCATTAAACTAGTGCATCTCACTAGTAGCCAAAGAAGTGAAATATAAAATAATGACATGGTTTTGGAGGAAGGAAAAGCATAGGGCTTTCAAAATGGAAAAAAAAAATTTAACATTTAATGCACAGTTTTGATAAGAGTATGACTAAAATTGCTCTTTTACACTGGGATTATAAAATATTATAACCTCTCTGGAGAACAGTTTGGGATTGTATTTCAAAAACCTAAAAATATGCATGCCATCTACCTCAGCATTTCTCTTTTGGATTTTCTCCAATGCAGAAATAATCAGATTGCCTGCAAAAATTTATCTAGTGGGGAGGTCGGGGATTGTTTATTATAATGATATTTATGATAAAAGAAAATGGTATGCAGCCTAAATGTCCATCATTAAGGATTTGGATAATTAAAAAATATAAGGTACATATTATCGAGTCCTTTGCCTCCGTTAAAAATTATTTTGGGGGCTGGCCCCGTGGCCGAGTGGTTAAGTTAGCGCGCTCTGCTGCAGGCGGCCCAGTGTTTTGTTGGTTCAAATCCTGGGCGCGGACATGGCACTTCTCATCAAACCACGCTGAGGCAGGGTCCCACATGCCACAACTAGAAGGACCCACAACAAAGAATATATAACTATGTACTGGGGGGCTTTGGGGAGAAAAAGAAAAAAAATTAAATCTTTATAAAAAAAACTATAACAATATTTTTTAAAAAATTATGTTGTAGAAAAAAATTTTTTTAAAGATTTTATTTTTCCTTTTTCTCCCCAAAGCCCCCTGGTACATAATTGCATACTTGTAGTTGTGGTTCCTTCTAGTCGTGGCATGTAGGATGCTACACGTCAGCATGGCTTAATGAGTGGTGCCATGTCCTGGCCCAGGATCCCAACCGGAGAATCCCCAGGCCACCAAAGCAGAGCACTCAAACTTAACCACTTGGCCACGGGGCTGGCCCCTGTAGGAAAATTTTTAATGACATCAAAATGTTTATAGTAAATGAAAAAAACTGTGGATTCCAAATTGTATGGATGTATCTGACCCTAATTTTTATCATTTTGTTTGTGTTTTTCTGTGAACATGTATTAGTATTTTGTCACCTGAAAAGATAAGATAAATTTATTTATCAATAAATGCAACAGTTGATGTGTGTTAACCTCCTTAAATAGAAATTTATTTTTCACTGTTTAGAGGGATCATTGTGTTCCAAATTACTTTTTGAAGAGTTTAAAAGTAATTTTCTCAAAAATAACAAGGCACATTTTTGTATTTATATAGATATTCCTGATCAAGTTATAAGAGTTTTCAAAGCAGATCAACAGAGTTGCTACATTATCATCAGTAAAGACACCACAGCTAAAGAAGTTGTTTGTCATGCTGTTCATGAATTTGGTTTGTCTGGTGCATCTGACACATATTCTCTCTGTGAAGTTTCTGTTACTCCTGAGGGTGTTATAAAACAGCGAAGACTTCCGGACCAGTTCTCCAAATTGGCTGATAGAATTCAGCTCAATGGAAGGTGAATGTGCTTATTAGTGAATGTACTTACTTCTAGATGCGTTTTTGAAGATTCTGTGTTAAAACAGATATTTTGAGTAGAAACATGTTTTAGGACCACTGAGTTCTCTCTAAAATTAAAGTAGGATTTCTCTTTTATCAGCTTTTTTGTCTCCATAACCATGTAAATGTAATCTTGGAGTGTTAGCACTCCAAGGGCTGCCCAAAAGTGGGAGAAGGAAAGGGAGGACAACTGGTAAAATATTTTAGCCCTCCTGCTAAAATAAAGCCATAGAACCACTCATGTAGTCAGATCCCTGTTTTAAGTTTTCCTTTTATGAATATGCAGGAAAATGTTTAAATTTTTGTGCTCTGAAAATTGATCAAGTAGAACATTTTTTGAGTGGTACATTTGTTCTTTACTCTGGTGATTTTCTCTGAGAATAGTGTAATCTTTTTAGTGAGCCTAGATTCACACAGAGAAGGAGATCCTTGGAAACCTTAAAATGACTGCCCATCACAGTAGCCATTAAGAGAGAGAGGCTTATCTCTGCTTTGCTGGCTATACATAGTGATTAAGAGCATAGACCACAGAGCCAGACTACCCAAAATCAAATCCCAACTCTGGCTTTGTGGCCTTAGGCATGTTATTTAGTTTCTCTGTGCCTGAATTTCCTCATCAGTAAAATGAGGGTAGTGATAATAGAACCTACCTTACGGGAATGTTGTAAATATTAAGTGAGTTGTTAAATATAACACAGTCTATAAATGTTAGATATAATTTTATCATCTATAGTATAATGAGTCTCAAAAGTATTATTTATGGTATTCTCTTGGGCACGTGGACAGTAAAAAGGCTGAAGAAGAAGAGATGTAGTTCCTTGACAGTAAAAAATAGATGGAGACAAACTTAGGCTTAGATCAAGCTGTATATTAGAAAAGAATGAATTAAAAGCTACATGTGATATATTACCTTTTCTCCCTAGCGACAACCCTGTGCAAGATATTTCATAATTGTGAAACCTGTCTCTTAGCTTTTAAGAGCTGTAGAATTGTCGATCTAAAAAGAAGAAAGAAAAATGGTCTTTTTTATGATTGCTGATCCATGCAGTTTGCTGGAACAAGGTTTTTGTATTTAACAAGGGAGAAATCATTAGTGGAAGAGTTTCCCGTCCTTTATGGCTTTTATTCTTCTTTGCTTCTCTTAGAAATTTAGAATTAAAGAAGGAAATGAGTTCAGTAACAAGTCCTGAATAGAGATGTAAACAGTCTTGATTCAGGTGTTTATTCATGCTGTCCGTGAACAAATATTTATATAGCACCTACTCTGTGTCAGATACCCTCATAGAGCCATCAGACAGCTTTTATCCTCAAGAATATATGCACGATTGTTGACACATTGTGTGAGTAGTTTAATAAAATGATTAAGTTCATAGCATAATCAACATTATTTTTACTCTTTAAAATAATAGATGTCACATAGCAGAATAATGGACAACATCTTTAAAGTCGTCTTGTTTAAAATGGTAATTTTCCATATCATCTGTAAGTGAATATTCTAACATCTTGGCAACGTTATTACCAATATAATGATATTTTGACAACAATAACAAAGAGCAAAAGTGCTCTTATAAATGTGAATCACTTACAAAACAATTTTTTTCCTTTTAGGTATTATTTAAAAAATAACATGGAGACAGAAACCTTATGTTCAGATGAAGATGCTCAAGAACTAGTTAAGGAAAGCCAATTATCCATGCTTCAGCTAAGTACCATTGAGGTGGCCACTCAGCTGTCAATGAGGGACTTTGATTTGTTTCGTAATATTGAGCCTACTGAATACATTGATGACCTTTTTAAGTTAGATTCCAAAACAGGAAATACTCATTTGAAAGAGTTTGAGGACATTGTAAACCAAGAGACATTCTGGGTTGCCACAGAGATTTTAACTGAATCAAATCAACTCAAACGAATGAAGCTTATTAAGCATTTTATTAAAATTGCACTTCATTGTCGAGAATGTAAGAACTTCAATTCCATGTTTGCAGTAATCAGGTAAGTTTGTACAAATATTTGTGTATGGCTTTGTCATGATATTAGACCTGATATTAGATGTTCTGCTTAGGTATTAAATGACTAGGAGAAGAAAAGTTCAGTTAATATATTTTTATTAAAGTATTGTTAGAGTTAACATTTTCCATTCTGGTGATACTACCTTTTCCTCTTTTTTGTTTCTTCCATCTTTTTATCAGTTAGACTTTTTTTTGGTGAATATGAGTTATTGCCTTCCCATTTTTCTTCCTTTCTCCCTCTTTGATGGATGTGCCCTCTTTTGATGTGTGCCCAACAGCTGGTCTTTATCATAAGACTTCTGTACTCTGCATCTTTCAGAACCTGCCTCACTGTGATTTGGCGCTGAAAAATCTGTAGAGGAGTATTGAATAGAGATTAACAGAGTTACCTTTAGAATCAGCTGCACCTGTGTTTGAATCCTGCCTCTCCTGTGTAGTAGCAGTGTGTCAATAGAAAATTAAAGACTAAATTTCTCATCTGTAAAATGCAGGAATTACACCACCTACCTCACAGTTTTTAACAGCTGGGTCTAAAATGGGTAATAAAGATGCCATTGATGAACACTTGGAAGGCTAGAAATTGAAACTATTTGTACAGGAAGTATGGAGTACAGAATTCGAAAATAGGGTCAATTTTGGAGTAGTCCATGAAGAAAATTGATTGACACCAAGAGGGATCTCTGTATGAAAAGAGAGTGTAGAAAGAAAATGGTAGAGGGCTAAAAACCTTACCTAGGGACCATTCTCATTGTGGGGGTAAAGAAGAGAGTCTCTAGCCAGAGAGATGGAGGATCAATACAAGAAATGGTAGAACATCACGGTTATAATATTGTCATTAAAGCCAAGGAGAGAGAGTGATTTGAGAGAAGGTGGTGGACAGTAGCCCCAAGACACGGTTATAAGGATGGCCTGGGATTTGGTTAAGAAGCTTTGCTTTTGTTAAGAGGTTTGTTTTGTTATAAGGAACAGTTTATTATACACATTTTCAGTACTTTGTGTAAAGTTAATTGCTTGGTATTCATATCTTAAATTTTATATTAAAATATGTCAAAGAATATAAAGGACATTTTAACTTTTCAGCAGAGATGACACAGATGAATCAGTTCTGCCTGGAATTAAATAGTGTATTTTATTTTGTTGAGTTCTCTTTTTCTCTTAGTTTAGCTAAAGGTTTGTCAATCTGTTTATCATTTCAAAAAGCCAGTTCTTAGTTTCATAGACCTTCTCTGTAGTTCTTCTGGCATCTATTTTGTTTATTTCTGCTCTGATCTTTGTTACTTTTTTTTTTTTCTCCTAACTTTGGGCTGAGTTTCTTCTTTTTCCAGTTCTTTGATGTGTAAAATTAGGTAACTTATTTGAGATCTGTTTCTTAATGTAGGCATTTATTACTTCAAACATCCATCATGGAACTGCTTTTGCAGCATCCCATGGGTTTTGGTATGTTGCAGATCCATTTTCCTTTATTTAGAGATTTTTTTATTTCCCTTTTGATTTTTTCTTTGACTCATTGGTTATTCAGGGATGTGTTGTTTAATTTGCACATATTTGTAGATTTTCTAGTTTTCCTCTTGTTAATTCCTAGTTTCACATCATTGTGGTCAGAAGAGATACTTGGTATGATTTCAGTCATCTTAAATTTGCTAAGACTTGTTTTGTGGCTTGTCTTATGATCTGTCCTGGAGAATGTTCATGCGTGCTTGAGAAGAATGTGTATTCTACTGATGTTGGATGAGATGACCTGTATATGTCTATTAGGTCCGTTGGTTCTAAAGTATGGGTTTAAGTTCAACATTTCCTTGTTGACTTTCTGTCTGGATGATCTGTCCATTGCTGACAGTGGGATCTTGAAGTCCCCTACTATTGTGTTGCTGTCTACTTCTCCCTTCAGGTCTGTTAAGTATTTGCTTAATATATTTAGGTGCTCCAATGTTGGGTGCATTTATTTATGATTGTTACATCTTCTTGATGAATTGACCTCTTTATAATGACCTTCTTTGTTTCTTATTGCCGTTTTTGGCTTAAAGTCTATTTCTGTCTGATATAAATATAGTTCCTCCTCCTCTCTTTTGGTTTCCACTTGCATGGAATATCTTTTTCCATTGCTTAACTTTGAGCCTAGGTGTGTCCTTTCAGCTGAAATGAGTCTCTTGTAGGCAGCATATAATTGGGTCTTGGTTTTCTTATCCATTCAGCCACTCTGTGCAGAATGATTGGAGAATTTGTTGCATTGACATTGGGTAATTATTGATGTGTAAGGACTTACTAGTACTGTCTTATTAATTGTTTTCTGGCTGCTTTGCAATTCTCTGGTTCCCTTTATACTCTCGTGCTGCGTTCCTTTATGAATTGGTGATTTTCCGTGATGGTCTGCTCTGATTCCCTTTTCTTTATCTTTTGTGAGTCTACTATAGGTTTTTGCTTTGTGGTTATCATGAGACTTACATGAAATATCTTATAACAATCTATTGGATGCTGATGACAACTACAATCATGTACAAAACTCTACCCTTTGCTCCCCCTCTTTTATGTTTTTAAAGTCACCGTTTGCCTTTTTTTATATTGCGTATTCATTTACAAATTATAGCAGCTATGGTTATTTTTGATACTCTTGTCCTTTAACCTTTATACTCTAAGTGATTAACCCACCATCATATTACAGTATTGAGAGTTTTCTAATTTTAATTATGTATTTACCTTTATCAGAATGTTACGTATTTTCATATGTCTTCATGTTACTATTAGCATCATTTCATTTCAGTTTGAAAAATTATTTTCAGTATTTCTTTTAAGTCAGGTCTAGTGGTGATGGATTCCCTCAACTTTTGTTTTTCTGGGAAAGTTCTCCATCATTTCTCTAGGATAACTGCCAGATAGAATATTCTTGATTGGCAATTTTTTTTCTCTCAACGCTTTGAATATATCATCCCACTCTCTCCTGGCTTTCTGCTGAGAAATCTGCTGATAGTTTGATGGGGGTTACTTTGTAGGTTATAGTCTTTTTTTCTCTTGGTGCTTTTAGAATGCTCTCATTTTTGACAGTTTTATTATAATGTGTCTTGGAGAAAATTGTTTGTGACTGAAATAATGCAGTGATCTATTAGCTTCATGAACTTGGATGTCCAGATATCTTTCCAGGTTTGGAAAGTTCTCAGCCATATTTCTTTTTTTATTTTAAGGATTGGCACCTGAGCTAACAACTGTTGCCTATCTTTTTTTTTTTTTCTTTTTCTCCCCAAATCCCTCCAGTACATAGTTGTATATATTTTTTTTAGTTGCAGGTCCTTCTTCTTGTGGGTCCTTCTAGTTGTGGCACGTGGGATGCTGCCTCAGCATGGCCTGATGAGCAGTGCCATGTCTGTGCCCAGGATCCGAACCAGTGAATCCCTGGGCCACCAAGGCAGAGCATGTGAACTTAACCACTCAGCCATGGGGCCAGCCCCTCAACTGTATTTCTTTAAACAGGCTTTCTGCCCCCTTCTCCCTCTCTTGTTCTTCTAGAACTCCAGTGATTCAGATATTGGGGGTTTTTTTTTATGGTTTCCATAGATCACATAGGCTTTTTCACTCTTTTTCATTCTTTTTCTCTTCCTCCTTAGACTGGGTTATTTCAAAGTTCCTATCCTCTATTCCACTGATTCTTTCCTGTCTTTGGTCTACTCTGATGTTGATGCTCTCTCTTATAATTTTCATTTCATTCATTGACTTCTTCAGCTCCAGAGTATCTGTTGGGTTCTTTTTTGTGATTTCTGTATCTTTGTTACATTTCTCATGTTTATCATTATTTTCCCAATTTCACTGAATTGTCTTACTGTGGTTTTTTGTAACTCATTGAGTTTCCTTAAAACACCTATGTTGAATTCTTTATTCAGGTAAATCGTCAATCTCCATGTCTTGGGTTTGGTTACTGAAAGATTATTATGAACTTTTGGTGATGTCATGTTCCTTGATTTTTCATGCTACTTGGAGTTTTGCATTGCCTCTTTCTGCGTTTGAAGTAGCAATCACCTCCAGTTTTTACTAGCTGCCTTCAGGGTAAAACCAAAAAAACCTTTCAATAGTTTCACTTTAGATTCTGAGACTTTCTCAAGCATTGTATGGATACACCTACTCCATGATTCTCATTCCTTCTTGTGGGAGAATTCTGAAGCTTGTATGTCTTCTCTTGATGCTACAGTGCACCATGTCAGCAGCTGATAGCCTCTTTTGTTTTCCTGAAGGTGATGCTGCAGCTCAAGTTTGTGGTTTCTCCTTTGTCCACAGACTCTGGCCTGTTTTCTGTGCATTCTCCCTCTCTACCAGAGCTTGCTCTTGGGACCTCACACAGAGAGCCCAGCAGCAGAGTTTGGGGAGGTATGGGTTTGGTACATGGTGTACCACAGGTGCCCATGGGACAGTAGGGGTATCTCTGGGTGAGATTTTCCCCATGGCTCCTGGGTGGGCTTCCTCTTGGAGTCCAGAGCAGTCAGCAGGAACTGTGCCCCTTTAATGCCCTCCAGATATTTTACATGCCACTCTCCTGATCTGGTTCCTCTTCCTAATCCTGGAGCTCCCACTTTAATGCTCTAGATGCTGTGAGCGAGAAAGGAGTGTTTTTGGCAGTGTCCCACACAGCTGGGAAAACCAGGCATTCACTTACCCACTTTCCTTTTCCTCTGTGGGAGAGAAATCACAGACTGTCTAGTTTAGCCCTGAGCTGTACCACCTTGGGGGAGGGGTAATGCCAGCAAAATCAAGGTGTTCCTTTTATCTACTCTAGTGTATCCAAACTTTTTTTTTTGTTTTATTTCACTCCAGTGGAGTGTTGGAACTTCTCTAGAAACCTGGACTTCCACAAAGCCTCTCTTGTTTGTAGGTGACCACCCAAGTCAGCATTCTGCAGGCATTCCCAGACCACAGCTGAGAGGGGTTAGAACAACTTCATAGCCTCCTGTAGGCTCCACAGCCAGTTCCGAAGTCTGTCTGCCTATTACCCACTACACTGGTGGGCAAGGCTCCTCCCAGGTTCCTTGGCATGTGGTGGTTGGTCCCACAACTCCTGCAGAGGCACTTCTGTTCATGGATAGGTGCCAAATTTTTGTTGATGGTGTGGGAGGATAAAACAAGGGACTTCTTATGCTGCCATGATGCTGACATCACTCTCCAGTCATTTCTTAATTGAAGTTTGTTTTCTAGTCATTTCTTAAAGAAGGGCTTGTGGGAATTATATTTCCTGAGCATATTCATAGTGTCTTACTGTTGCCTTCATACTTCAGTGACAGTTTGTCTGTCTTTAAAATTCTTGTCTCATGTGTTATTTCTTGGGCACTTCATAGGCAGTGGCTCCACAATTAACATTTTCTGTAGCTGTTCAAGTTTCTGAGATTACTCCTCAGATTCTTTCCTTATCTCTGTAGTCATCTATCTTTGCCTGGATGTTTCTACATTCTTTTAGTTGTGTATCAGATTCTCTGGAACTTTGGTGGGTGCCTGTTCAATCTGTAGACTCAATCTCTTTTTGGAAAGTTTTCTTAAATTGTACCTTTGAATATTTTTTCAGTTCTATTATTTTTGTTTCCTTCTTCAAGGATACCAATTACACAGATTTTAGATCTCCTTGTCTTTCGTACCCATTATTTTTTCTCTAGTCCTTTTCAACTCTGTCCATTTCCATTGATTGCTTTTTTTAATCTTTTCTTCCATGTCACTTGCACAAGCTTTTAGCAGTATCTTTATTTTCTTTATGTAGATTCCAGTGTGGACTTCATTTTTGTGTTGGTTTTTTCTTCCATTTCTTTTCTGAACTTTACTAGTTTTTTTTTCTAAACTTCTCTTACCATATTTTCCCTAATCTCTTATATTACTGCTTTAAGCTCTTTATTTACTTTATTGACTCATTTGAAATCATGGTTATGTAGTTGGTTACTCCTAGTTTTTATTTGATTGTTGGCAATATTTTTCTGCTTTATGTTCTTCACCTATTTGTTTTTCCTTGTAGCAGCTTGTTATAGATCCTGTGTTCATTCCTTCTTTTTGAATGAGAGGAGTTTCTCTGTTCCAACTATTTGCAGGAGGTACGTGTGGAAGAGGAGCCAAGGCAATATTCCAGGCTAGCAGGAATTGAGCTTCTGTGTGAATTGTTTCACCTTTTCCTCTTTTCAACAAATGGAGATTGACAGCTCTAGGGCTGCTTACAATTCAGTTTCCCCCTTCTATCCTGTCTCATTGTTAAACTGCTTCTCACCAAGATGTTATATCACTGTGTGTACTGTTTTAATCTTACTTTCCCTATGGACTCTGTTGTGGTGTTCCACATAGGGGATTGCTGTTTTTGCCTTCAGGGTGAGTAACCTGCTTTGGAGAACTGTGCTTTACCAGCTTTCATTGAGATCTTCAGCTGCAGACATCCTTTTTCAGCATTTTGCGTACTCCTGTTTGACCTTGGCTACTTTTTGGCAGCCTTTCTGATGTGTTTAGGAGTTACAGATATCTCTTGGTTTCAGCGGAGATGAAATTTGCATTTCTTTTATTCATCCTTGTAGTTGTTTGGGATGATTTCTGAGAAGCAAAGGGAACAAAGATACCTTAACTCCACATCTTGAAATTAGAAGTCAAGAGAAAATTAAATACAGTGGTGTAGGTAAAAATCAGGTGGCTGAGAATAAAAGAGGGATTAACTGGTAAGAAAACTGAGGCACTGTATATGCCCTCCTCTAATCTGACAGCCTGCCTATGGGTGCTAGTGTAGAAGGAAAGAGGAGTTGCAGCCTAATTGGCATAGATTATTTTTCAAGTTAGGGCTGAATTGTTTAAAATCCTGTGGAAAGGAGACATTGTATATATAGAGGCCTGAGGGACAAGATTAGAACCTGGGCATATGGAAGGTTTGGAATCAGGGACATGAGTGGACAAAATCTCAGAGGAAGAGGCTGGTTCAGTCCCAGAACGTGCCTCGGTTGTTATATAACAGTTGTGCTCAGCATTACTGAAATAGCTTTTAAACAGATACTGTCCCATGAAGCTATTTCTAAGTAAAACGAATAAAAACACTATGATACTTGAAGGGTTTTTTTTTTTAAAGTTAAATGTCTATTTTATGGAATTATTATATTTGTCACTTACATGCAAACTATAAAATAAAGACCATGGGTGTACAAGTAATGCAGTTCCTCTGAAGGAAGTTTTCCTTGTTTTAAGATCAAGAAGTCCCTTTTATTTATTTATTTATTTATTTCATGGTTATCTTCTGTTTATTTCAACACATTGAAATGTGTCCTTGCTTATTTTAGCTTTATTAGAGAAATTTGGTGTATACCGATTTACTGACCTGAATCCTCTCTTTTCCTTACTTCCCTTTTTAATATTTTCATTCTAATCTATGGCAGTGGCTTGAACCTGTCTTCTGTTGCACGACTCAGAGGTACTTGGGAAAAGTTACCTAGCAAATATGAGAAACACCTTCAAGATCTGCAAGACCTTTTTGATCCATCTAGAAACATGGCAAAGTACAGAAATGTTCTAAGTAGTCAAAGCATGCAGCCTCCAATTATTCCACTCTACCCTGTGGTCAAGAAAGATATGACATTTCTACATGAAGGTATTTAAAAGTTACTTGAAAATCAGCCTATTTAGCTTCAGCTAATTCTATAAAATTGTGATTTATTAGATGTAATATATTTTTCAGCTTAATGATTATGTCACTTTACCCAGTTAAACGCAGCAAGTTTTAGGAATCCAAAACCCACATTGACAAGAAGATATTTAGGCATTTACCATATGCATTCAAACATAAACTTGACTACACCAGGATCAGACTGTTTGATCGTATTTGTTGTTTTATTTAGTAATATTTTTCATTCCAGCTTTTTTTTACTGAATTACTTAACATATACAGAAAAGTGCCCCAAAAATGTGAATAAATTAATGAATTATGACAAAGCAAATACCCACGTAACCAACATCCAGGCCAAAAATAAAACATTACCAGGTTCCCAGGAGCCCCACTCATGCCCCTTCCAAATTACCACCCTCGTTCTCTTCCCCAAAGGTAACTTCTGTCCTGAATTCTAAGACTGTAGTTTAGTTTTACCCATTCTTGAACTTTCTATAAATAGAATCACAGAGTTTGTTTGTTTTGTTATGTTTTGGTTTGGCTTTTGGCTTTAGTCAACATTACATTTGTGAGATTCTTCCATGTTTTTGAGTGTAGCTATACTTCATTTCAAAACTATTTAGTATTCTGTTACATGAATGCAATTCAATAGATTTATCCATTCTCTTGATGAACATTTGATAGTTTGCACTGTTCACCTATTGTGAGTAAAGCTGCTGTGAGTATTCTTGCACATACCTCTTTTGGTGCAGGTACATTTTTGTTCCATATAATTCGGGGTGGAATTTATGGGTCCTTATATTCGTATAATCAACTTTAGAAAACAATTTGGCATTATCTACTAAGCAGTGGAACACTGGCAGTGTTATCAGAGTTCTCATTGTTCCTCGTCCTCACCAATACCTGGTAAATTCATTCTTTCTATTTTTACCCATTCCAGTAGTGGTGTGGTTTAATCTGCATTTACCTGATTACTAATGAAATGGAGCACCTTTTATATATTTGTTCTCTTTTGTCAATTATCAGTTTGAGTTTCTTGCCTTTTCTTATTGTTAGTTTGTCTCTTTAATAGATATACATATATTTTTTTAATTTGTTTATTTTATTTTTTATTTTTTTTGCTGAGGAAGATTAGCCCTGAGCTAACATCTGTGCCAGTCTTCTTCCACTTTATATGTGGGATGCCACCACAGCACGGCTGACGAGTGATAGAGGTCTGCACCCAGGATCTAAACCCACAAATCTGGGCCGCCAAAGCAAAGTATGCCAAACTTAACCACTACAACATGGGCTCAACCCCTCATGTTCATTCTTAAGGCATAATTTGATTGGCATTTATCTTCTTTCAACATTTTTAGATAACATTTCATTGTCTCCTGGCTTCCATTGTTAATGCTGAAAAGTTCACTGTCAGCCTTAATTGCCATTCCTTTGACTATATTCTACCCTTTTTCTGAGAGCTACTTTATAATTTTCTCTTTATCTCTGTTTTTCTCTAGTTTTGCTATGATGTCATTAGGTGTGACAGTTTGGTTTTTGTTTTAATTATGACGTGTTTATAGGAATTATTGAAACCTGTGTTTTGATATTTTTCATGAGTTTTGTAAAATTCTCAGTCATTCTGTCTTCAAGTGTTTTATCTGACCTCATCTGACCTCTCCTGTAGGGATTTTCTTTTCACTTCTGTTAGACCTGATCACTGCCCCTATTGTCTCTTTTTTGTGTTTCTCTTTTCTGTGTTTCTCACCTTTTTGTCTCACCATGCTTTAGTCTGAGTATTTTCTTCCAACCTATTGCCCAATTCATTAGTTCTCTCTTCAACTATGTCTAATTTACTGTTAAATTTATCAGTGAATTCCTAATTTCACTTGTGTTTTTTCAGTTTTACAGTTTACATTTGTTTATCTTTTTATCTTTGTCTTCTCTGACAGGGTTCTCAGTGCTGTTTTTTATATCTTGGCACATACTCAACATAGTTATTATAAGGTCTCTCTCTTATAACTCCATAATCTAGATCCTTTGTGGGTCCCTTTCTGTTGTCTTTTTTCTTTTTCTCTTGCATTTCAATCATGTCGTCTTTTCTCCTGATAGCCCTAGTTATTTTTGACCAAATGGATATTGTATATAGAAAATTACAGAAACAGGAGCTGGCCCAGTGGCATACTGGTTAAGATCGCATGCTCCACTTTGGCAGCCTGGGGTCTGAGGTTTCAGATCCTGGGTGCAGACCTACACACCGCTCATTAACCCATGCTGTGGCAGCATCCTACGTACAAAATAGAGGAAGATTGGCACGGATGTTAGCTCAGGGCCAATATTCCTCACCCAAAAAAAAAATTACAGAAATATTCAGAGGTTTCAGATGATGTTCCATTCCTCCAGAGAGAATTAAAGCTTGCTTCTACCAGGCAGCTAGGAGTGCTAACAATCCAAAATCACCTTAATCCATTTTCACATTTTGAAATAATTTAACACTGAGCTTTTATCCCAGTCCACATTCAGTTCATCCTTAGTCCTAGGATACAGCCCTTTAGGGTACCAACCCAAAGCACTGGAGGTTTACCTAGACTTTAGTTGTTTTCCTCTAACCTCTGAAGTCAGGGTGGCACTATTCAGTTTTTCTGTTCATCATCCCTCTTTTCTGAAATCAGCAGTTGTCCCTAGGGCCAAGCACTGGGAAATGCTAACTCTAACCCTAACCTGCCCCAGATCTTCATTCTTCCAGATTTTCACTGCCTTGATAGCTTTTTGATGCCTTAGAACATTTTTTCTATTTTTGTCCAACTTTCTATTTGTTCTCAGCAAGGTTGTTCTAAGTAGCTAGTCTTATTGCCCCCTCTTTCATTATCACTTCTTTTTCATAAGGAAATGTTATGATAGGCTTCAAAGATATTTTTCTGACATGCTCCTTCAAAACATGTTTATGTGATTTGAAAATATTTTTAGTGATTGTTTTGTTTCCAGCTCTTGTCGAGACCCTGAATAATTCATATGTTCAATGTATAGGTGCTGTTTACTATGAGAAGGGAGACCACCATATGTTCCAGGCCCATATGGTTCTAAAATTTGTCTTCAGGGACTCGGAGTTCTACAGAGGCATCTTAACAGTTACCATGAGAGAGAAATGGGGTCACACTATTTGTTAAAGACAGTTGTGGGAAAAAAACACAACACTACTACAGACAATCAGATAGCCCTTTGAATATAATTTTTTACCTTGTGGTTTGAACTGGGTAAGGCAACAAATGGGCTAAGTCTGGTCTCATACCTACTCTCTTCAGAGTAGACCATTTCAAAAGTTGTGAAAATTTTCCAACAGAGAACTACTTAACAAAGCAGCAATAAAAATTATAGAACTTATAAACAAGAAAATTTGTGTTAATGATTAAAGTCATGATTGTAAATTCAGAAGGTGAATGGCAGGCAAGAAAGTGTCTACCCCAGTTGAGCCATCCACCTCTTAATTTTAACTACTTATTGCCATTTGGGAAAATAGACCTACTACTATTTAATCCCTCACCTAATCCCTACCTTTTTTTCTTCAAGAGAAGTCAGAAATTCTTGTTTTCATGGGATATCTTCTACTTCTTAAATGTTGACAACTCATTTAACAATTTTTTAAGTATTGTAAACTGAAGAAAACCTAACTGGGTTAAGCTCAAAAGTCATTGTTTGTAACCTCTGGCTAAAACCTAAGTTTTCAAGTGTTGTAACCTGCTGCCCAAAGGAACAGATGCAGCTACCTGCCTGAGAGTGGGCTGAGCATCTGGAGAGTTCAATTTGAGGAGCTGCATTTTTTAGGTGTGCCTATAACATAGTGAAATTGGTTTTAGAAGTTATGCAGTTTATCACTTTTCAGTATTCATAATCATTACTCCCATAGGAATAGAGTTCCTCCTGGTAGCTCATTCCCTGGGGGCAGAGCTGAACCATCTGTGGGTTTATCAATTCTTAAAAACAAAAGTGGCGGTTTGATGAAGAAGGTCTGATTTGTGCCTCTCAGGAGTAAAATCTTAACTTCTGCTACCTGTATATAGATATTTTAATTCTGAAAATTAAAAAATTACTTTTATTCCATAGGAAATGACTCCAAAGTAGATGGTTTAGTAAACTTTGAGAAGCTAAGAATGATTGCCAGGGAGATCCGTCAGGTTGTTCGAATGACTTCTGCTAACATGGACCCAGCTATGATGTTCCGACAGAGGTATGACATTGAAGTGTATAAAAGTGTTAGAGAGTGGCATCGAAAATGATATAATTATAATCATAATATTTATCATTTATTAACCATCTACCATTTGTTAGTGCTGTATGAAGTGCTTTACACATGTCAATTGTTGTGCTTTACAGAGTAATCCTTAAAGATAGGTGGTATTGGCCTTCCTTTTACATATGAAGAAACTGAAACTCAGACCAGTTAGGTAATGCGCCCAGGATTACATAATTTGCTGAGATTTGAACCCTAGTTCTGTATTACTTTTTTGAGTACATGGATAGTTGTGTATTGTTATTGTTACTGAGAATATCAGCTAATTTAAATGTAAGAAAATTGCTGATCTTTACTGAAGTTCTCACAGAGGACAAGTGCTTTCATCTGATTTCTCAAGTATTAGTCTGAATATTGTCTTTTATTTTTACTGAATATGTTTAAAGTTCTGTTTCTGTCTAAGTCATGCTTCATTCTTCTAAAATTCAGTCATGCATCACTTAACGAGAGGGATACATTTTGGGAAATGTGATGTTAGGTGATTTTGTCATCATGTGAACATCGTAGAGTGAACTTACACAGACCTGGATGGTATAGTCTACTACACACCTAGGCTGTGTGGTACTAATCTTATGGGACCACTGTTGTATATGCGGTTTGTCCTTGACCAAAACATCATTATGTGGTGCATGACTGTATGTAACAGAGACTTCCTCAAGTTATATAAAACTTATAGGAAGTATGTTGTCAAGCTGTTCCCAGTGATTTTTGTAGTTTTCAGGGCAAATAGCGATGAGAGTTTTAATTTTTGGTCTGATTTTCTTCTGGGCCTATATGTATAGCTTCAGTATACACAAGCTTTAAAATAATGAAATATTTATAGAGGCAGACACAATTTCTGTGGCTTAAAAAACTATAGTCTTCTAAGGAAACAAAAATATTTGGCTCTTTAAAAATCAGAGATGGAGTTTTCGTAACCAAACAGAATCAGTGTGTGTCAGGGTTGGGTTTTTGTTTTTGTTTTGGTGTGGTTAAATCACTGTTCAGGAGTCTTTGTTTTTCTAAGTAGTGGATCTGATGGTTGCTCTAGTTTAGAAATTCTCAAAGACTGGAGGAAGGAGTGTATCAGCACTCTTCTTGCCTACCCATCCTACTTCTTTCCCTGAGAATCACTCCATGTAATGAGAGATGTCATTGCTCAACAGTGTGAAAGCAGAAAACAGTAAGAACCAGGAACCAAAGCAAACCTGGAGGAGGGTTTGTTTGTTTGTTTTTTAAGTTTTTTGTTGCTGCATGTCCCTGTACAGTGGCCTCACCACTCCCTTTTGTCTTACATGGACCTCCATTTACTCATATGTGTTATCACCCTAGTTCCTGAAGACGTCATGAATTTGTGATCCTGCTAGACCAGTTAATAATATACCAAGTACCAGCTATGATTCAGAAATGAGCAAAGGAGGAAGAAACTGAGGAGGAAATTAATAAACTTGGCTGTTTTCTTGGGAATGGTCTAGGCTAAGTAGAATAAGGTATAGGGGAAAATAAAACATTTATAATTAGATTGGACTGAGCTTTTCCTGAATCAGTTTTATTTGTCAGCAAGTACTGAAATGTGCTATCTTTCTTTAAGCAAGTAATTGTCCGTTTTGGTGTTGTATATTATCTAGTGTGAACAAAGTAACCTGTTTTATTTCAACAGTAATCAGTTTGCTGACTGAAAAACAATCTTGGGCTACCCACGGCTGGAGCTTAGTGGGTGCAGGCCTGGAGTGTACTTAGGCCAGCCAGGGGGCTGGGGGAACCAGAACAAAATAAATAAATATAAATAAACAATATTTAGTCCAATTGTAGTATAAGGATATATACTACATCATAAAGATTTTGATAATATATTTTAAATTACGTTTTAAGTTGGATTTGCTGGTCAAAATTTCTTGTAAAATACGTTGTCAGAGAAATTTCTACACTTAAAATTGAAATTATAAATCTTTGTTTCTTGTAATTTCATCCTGTCACTTAAATGAGTGGCTCAAAAATCTTTCAAAAACAATGTTCAAAAGTTCTATTCCTTAATTTAAGTTTTCCTTCCTGGAAACTTTGAGTTCAGAATTCATAGTAAGTAAATGTTTTTCTTAAGCTTCTTATTAACATAAGCCTCTAGATGAGTTAGGTGTTATAAATTAAATTGGTTTAAAAGCATATTGTAGGAAATATTGGGAGAGTTTTTTCTCCTTAAGTACATATCGTAATTCATTTTACCCCTCTGCATTCTATTAATGTTGTTTTACTGTTAAGCCATCAGTTTTTCCTAGTAAAGTTTTTCTGTTCTGTCTCCATAGTTTCTCTGACTCTCAACTGTTGTCTTTTTTCTGTGCTTTCCTATTCAAACACATGCTTCAATGTTTGTGGCTCTTGCTTACAGGAAGAAGAGGTGGCGGAGTCTGGGGTAAGTGTAGAGATAAATGCAACTGGAATGAAGGTTGTGCAACTCTTAACATATACTGCATCCTTTTCATTAATGCACGCACATAAAATAGCATGCGTTCTATTAACCCTGTCAACCTACATTCCTGAAAAATGCCTTTGCTAACAAGGTGAAAGTAGTGATAGAACTAGCTTTTTTTTTTCTTTACTTTTCCATTATTGAGTCCCATAAGTCCCTTTTAGATTTTAATTTAGCAGCGTCAGTTAAATGATGACGATAATAGCAGATATTTGCTGTGTGCTTGCTATGTGCCATACACTGTTCTAAGCACTTTATGTGAATTATTTTCCACCCACCCTGTGAGATGAATACTGTTGTTCCCATGGTACAGATAGGCAAGATGGAGTCATGCAGATTCTTACAGCTCACTAATGGTGCATCCAAACCTAGGTAGTCTGATTCCAGAGTCCACGCAATTTTCTTTGATTTAAATGCCATATTTTATAAAAACAAATATATAGGTGTATAAATATGAATGAGATTTGTTTATAAAGGTTACATTTTCCAAAAAGAGGCAGCCATTATCCAAACTATACTGTAAAATTGAGTTAGTAAATAATTGAAATTGAAGGTGATTTTAATTCCTCAGATCTACTAATACCATAGGACTTAGAGCGTTGATTGATTTTTTTTCCTTTTCTGATATGAAAGATTTGCTCTAAGCTAACATCTGTTGCCACTTTTCTTTTTTTGCTTGGGGAAGATTAGCCCTGAGCTACTAACATCTGTGCCAGTCTACCTCCATTTTGTATGTATGTTGCCGCCACAGTGTGACTTTGATGAGTGGTGTAGGTCTGCGCACCTTGGATCCGAACCCACGAACCTTGGCTGCGAAAGTAGAGTGCACTTGACCCAACCACTATGCCGCGTGGCTGGCCCCCCAACACTGAGTCAATTTTGTTTTAAATTCCTACCATTTTTAATTAAAGACTCCCTTATCTCTCTTAAAACCATAATAGAATCAGAAACTGCCACCTTTTGTTGTTCAGGTAGGTTCAGATATCTGCTTATACATAACTAGATACCTATTTAGAATCATAGAATATTTAGGATCTTATAAACCTTCTTTGTAAGTCCTTTCGTTCTTAGGTGAAGAAAGAGATGGTTCTTGTAGATGGATTGCGTAAGAAAAATTTTGTTATTTTAGGACTATAGCAAATCATGAAGTTAGTTGCTTTTATTACATGTAAGAAGAATTTTTTGTGAGCCACTTTAACTTGAGTCTTGTCTTATTTGTGGTCTTGTTTTCTGTTGGAACTTGATAAACTTCAATTTCCTTCTACTTTCTTCCTCCCTGCTCTGTGTGTTTCTCATGTGTTTTCTTCTATATTATACATTTGTGTCTTGGTCTTTTCCGGTTCTTCTCACTAAAAATAGAAATTGATTCCTGTCATTATTATGAAGAAGAATATTTGGTCAGTATATCTTAGTGGAAATTTGGGGTGTTTGAGTGACTTATGTAACACATTTACTGTTAATTCAGCTTTAGGGTTGTATTGTATGATGTTTGCAGACACTACATACTTTCGTTTTTACATCAGAGTGTTTTCTGCTTTGGAAGTAGCTTAGAAGATGTTTTATTGTCATTTCTCACAATGTTTTCATTTATCAGAATTTTGTATGTGTCCTAGATTGTGGATACTTCTCTTTTTTTTTCCTTTGTATGTCATCTAAGATAAAGTTATTAAATATTTCTATTAAAAAGCTCCTCAACATTGGGACTTGGTTTTGCTGCATTTCTCTGAATCCAAGTCATCATCAGTTGTTGGACACGCCAATATTTCACGTACCTGTAAGAAAAATCCCTGCAGTGCCTTCTTGCCACTGAGAATTTTTTACTTTATACTTGTTGAAAGAGCTCTTATATAAACTTAGGTATATAGTTCAATCACATAACACCCGTTTGTATTCATAAAAAGGAAAATATACATCAATTAAATTGGTTTAGGTGTTTGTAAAACTTCATACTCAGAATATGAATCTTCTGAATCACTTTTAGAGTTATTAGTTTATGGGGTTTTTTTTTTGATACACTATTGCCTTGTGTGCCATCAAATGTGTTGGTAATGCAACATTTCTTAAACCATTTTTAAAAGCAATAAAAGCTGCTGGTGCTGGTCTGTTAGGCTGGCTTTGCAAGTATTTAGAGCCAGCCTCCTTTTGACACCTGCTTTAGGAATTTTGTTGGACTTGTCAGATTCACTACCTCCTTATAATCATTTGATTCCTGGAGGTTAAAAGAGTAATTCACTGATGTAATTGGAGTTTCTTCCAAACCATTCTACATGTGTAAGCAGTGACAGCCATGTCAGTTTCTGCCTGACCAATAGCAATCGAAAGTTGCCATCAAATGTAGGACACACCCTATTTCAAAGATCTTAAAATTATGAAAGAAATAGCATAACACTTTTCCTACTTTGTTTCACTTAATTTACAATGAAAATATTAGGATTTTAGTGTCTGTTTTAAACTGGGTATGTGAGCACTAAAGAATAAATTGTTCTATGGTTGTGGTCTATGTATTTAGAATATTTTTGTGTAAATATGAGACTAATTTAGAAAACCTATAGGTACCTTTATTATTTTGGAATGACAACTGCCTGTAAAATAAAAATCATCTAAGAACCTTGTGTTTGGTAGCCTTGTTAGGAAGGACAAATAGCATTGCATTTCCTGTTTTTCATTGGTTCTAGATGTAGCCATTGTAGAAGGAGGTTTGCCAAAAAGAGTAGAGTTGGGTGAAGCTATAGCTTGTTTGAATTGTGATTATTTCTATCCAGCTTGCAGTTCCATCACATTCAAAGGCATTGCAGAAGAAAGGTCCCAGATCCCAGATCCCAGATCCCCAGTCCTAGAACCCACATATTGCCTGACCATTATGTATGTGAGTGGAATTTTTCTTACTGGTTCTCTTTGGATTTTGGCCAAAATCTGGTTACTGGCAAAATCGGTCAGCATGCGCAGAGTGGGCCTGCTATAGACAGGAGTTATGATGGCAGTAGCATGTTCAAAGCAGCACAGACAAGCAAAGCTGCTCCAGAAACTTCCTTGCTGAAGAACCATGGTGCAGAGATGTGGCTGAGAATGAACTTGTCCTGACCCAGGCTCTTGCCATATCTTTAGAGTGTGGATGGACACCAGGGCCAGAGGAATGCTTTTACTTGTCACATTGTGCCATGGTTTGCATAGGCACATACACAGGTCTGATGGGATTTGTTGCTCAGGGGGGAATTGTTATCTTATTCTTTTGAATTCTGCACTTTGCCAAATTTGAAAACTGAGAACATTGCCGTGTGTGCCTTATTACTTTGCATTAATGCTCTTCATCTTTTAACTCATTTGCATCAGCATGCAATAGCATTAACAGAAGAAAATTCTTTTATCTTCAGTCTGCCATGCTTAATTCTCGTCTTTACAGCCCCCTATTGTGATGTCCATCTTCTTACAGGTCACTGAGTCAAGGCAGCACAAACTCAAACATGCTGGATGTTCAGGGAGGTGCTCACAAAAAAAGGGCACGGCGCAGCTCTCTGCTTAACGCCAAGAAGCTATACGAAGATGCCCAAATGGCACGGAAAGTAAAGCAGTATCTTTCCAGTCTAGATGTAGAGACAGATGAGGAGAAGTTTCAGATGATGTCATTGCAGTGCGAGCCTGCATATAGTACCTGTGAGTACAGATTTTCACTCGTGACTCTAAATAAAATAGCACAACAAAACAAATTTATTTCTTTAGAGTTATGCTGAAGTCCCAAGAAAATTAACTTTCACTCACAAAAGATTACTGACATAACCCGAGCGTCATGTGATCCTGTTAATCAGATACTGAATCCCATTCATTCCTGGTGATATCCTATGCAAGAAATAGAGGAATAAATAGATTCTTTGAAAAGCGTTATAAGGTCTTCTTGTAAACACTGGAACATTAGAGAGGAGCCCTTCTGTTTGAAAACATTTTTACCTTCATCCCTACATGAAGAGTAAAAATAAGTGAAACTTTTCCCTTTTTTTAATTTTCGTGGATAATATCACTTACCAACTAGAAGCTACAAGAGATTTAGTTGAAACACTTTTAGAGAAACACTTTTAGAGATAATAAGTGTCAGCAAATAAGGTAAAACAAGAAAAATCAGACATTCTGATATTGTTAACGTATAGAAAATAGGATGGACAAAAGAGAGCCTGTTCTCAGTATTGGTGGGTTTTTTTTTAATTAAGTACAAACAATAGAATGCACGTGTCTCTGGGTCGAGGAAACTCATGAGTCGTAAAGGAAATTAAAGATGGTAAAATAGGGGCCAGCCCTGTGGTGCAGCCGTTAAGTGCGCATGTTCCGCTTCGGCGGCCCGAGGTTCGCTGGTTCGGATCTTGGGTGTGGACGGGGCACCACTTGGCAAGCCATGCTGTGGTAGGCGTCCCGCATATGAAGTAGAGGAAAATGGGCACAGATGTTAGCTCAGGGCCAGTCTTCCTCAGCAAAAAGAGGAGGATTGGCAGCAGATGTTAACTCAGAGCTGATCTTCCTCAAAAAAAAAAGATGGTAAAATATACTCTGTTGTAACAACCAAAAAAGACGGTTAAATTACAAGTGAATGGGGTAAAGGGGCACATATGTATGGTGATGGATAAAACCTAGACTGTTGGTGGTGAACACAGTGTAGTCTGTACAGAAGCTAAAATGTAATAGTGTACACCTGAAATTTATACAATGTTATACGCTACTATGACCTTAAAAAAAATTTTTTTTAAATAACCAATGTATATAAACTTGGAAGATATCTAGGAAAATCTCTTACTAAACATGGGCTATTAAGAAAAGTGTCAGCCATGTGAAAGTGGTAAAGACTGAAAAAGTGTATAGAATCTTTAAAATTTATTCTTATTTTAAAGTTCAAAGCCATACGTGTATTTAATTTATTAAAGCACTCTGGCCCTGCTTGGAATGATCATCAAAATTATTTTTTCCCTAACTCAATATAGACGTTTATCATCTTATAGTTATGGAACACAGTTTATTATTCCTGCTTTTGTCTTGATAAAAGGTTATTTGTTTTATCTTTTGTTTTTGCTATCTGCTTTTCTTTGTTCCCTATATCTGATTTGGGGTATTTAAGAGCATAGAAATCTCTTTTATGCTTTGCTCGTTATTAAAATTTTTTAGTCTGGGAAAGATTCCCACATACCTACCTCTGCACCTTCCTTCCTTCCCTAACCCTGTGCCCCTCCCCCTTCCCTTCCCACACACACACACACACACTCTCCTGCACACCTTTCTCTTCTCACACCTACCCTAGACTTACATCTATCTTTTCTCATAACACTAAATGGTGTCCTTTCCTACATATTTAATATTGCTTTAAAATGAGAAAACCTGTGAGTCTTTCTTTTTTAAACTGAGTTTTGTGAAAATTTAATTCAGTGCACATGCCTATAATTTGGTTTGAGAATCTTTATTTGATTTCTATTGCATAATTGATTTTTAAATGTTTAATGACTGTCTCAAGCCCAAACAACAGTTGGTTGCTGAGTATTATGGAATTTGGTCCTTCCTAATAAATGTTACGTGGGTTTTGGCACTCGTCTGTGAACCCTTTTTTATATTTAAAGTAGTCTCTTGATTTTTTCTTTGCACTGTAGCAATTATTAAAATAAGATGTCAGTAGAGAATTAATGAGTATTGATAGAAGGGGGAAAATGTGTTTCATGGCTCTAACTAAAAGATGATAACATCTTGGATTCAGTTCATTGATGAGCCACTGCCAGTTAACCCCCAGGAGTCCCTGTGTTTTGACTTTGTGAGATGTTCCCAAATTCTTATCACCCAAAATATTCTCTAGGCTCTCATAATAAAAGCATATTAGCTAACTATTGTAGCTGTGCTGGGACAGGTTAAAATGCTAATTTTGCTTTTATCTTGGTATTTAAAACAAATACATCATGGAGTACGGAGGTCGGGCCTGCCTTGAAACCACTCATTGACTGACTGAAGAATCAAAAGTACAACCTGAAGGAAGAAGTTCTTTCCTTTGGACTACAGTATTGATTTTATGCCAGGGAGGCAGCTTTTTGTTTCTTAAGTCAGAGTTCTCGGTTTTTAATTCTGATGTTCACTGTCAGATATTCTAAGCATGAACTTACAAAACAATTTTCCTCTGTATAACTGTTGAAATAATTTACTTAGTCATTCAACAAATACCTATTATGCATCTGTTTTCTGTCATTCACTGGACACAGAAGGATAGATTAGTAAGATATACAATCCTTACTCTCATGTTAGTTACAGCCTGGTGGGGGAGAAAAGACATTAATTAATTAATCACACAGATAATTATATTGTTGCAAACAAAAATCAGTAGTGGGAAGGAAAGATACAGGATGCCTTGAGAACATAAAACAGAGGATCTATTCTAGTAGCTGCAGAGTATGGGGTATTAGGAAAACTAATACTAGGCCGACGTAGAACATGCAGAGCCTAATAGGCTTTTTTTAGGGATTTGGGTCTTTATCCTGAGAGCAGTAGCAAGTCATCTAAAGGTTTCTGGAGGGTGTTTGGAGAAGGAAAGTGCTATCATCAGATTTTCATGTTGGAAGAGTCACTCTCTTGTTATATGGAGAACGACGTGAAGGCATGCTAAGATTGATACAATAAGGAGAGTATTTCAGTAGTATAGATGAAGATGTTAACTTGGCCTCCAGGGTGTTGGTGGAGATGGAACTAATTAAGTTAATGGATTCAAAAAGTATTTAGGAAGTAAAATTAACAACTTAATTCTACAAAAACTTTAAAATAACATTTTATAATACTTAAATTATTTTTAGGAAAATTACTTTATTTTTTGTGTTAAAAATCAGTGGATTAAAAGAACCTATTTATAGTTTTATAGATACATCAACCATTTATTATTGTCAGTGGTAATAACCTTGCCTAAAAAAGTACAGAATTACATATTTCTTACTCTCTTCTTATCAGTGACCAAGAACTTAAATGAGAAGAGATCAGCCAAATCATCAGAAATGTCTCCAGTGCCTACGAGGTCATCTGGCCAAGCAGCTAAAGCCCATTTGCATCAGCCCCACAGAGTAAGCCAGGTGCTTCAAGTGCCAGCTGTTAATTTGCACCCCATGAGGAAGAAGGGACAAGCAAAAGACCCTGCCACATTGAGTGAGTATTCACCATATTACATTCATTTAGTTGGAGTTTCCAGGGAAGTTAGAATGAAAAATAATTACAAATAGAAATATTCAGGAGAGCAGATATTGTAGTTTATGTAATATAATCACTCATTAATCAAAAAATGTTTAATTTTGCCTATTGGTATTTGATGACAGCATACATATTTTAAATACTGACGTTGGAATTCCTATAATCATGTCAACAGAAAACTTGCAGCAATACACTTGGGTATAAAGGGCTTATTGCATTCATAGGTGCATTTAATCAGTTATCTAATGTAAATGAAATCTATGAGAAAGAAGTTGCTCATTCTAAAAATAACTGTTATGTTGGTTTCTCATTAATGACCACTTCTGAAAACCTAGTTAGGAGATGAGAAGAGAGTATAAAGCATATAAGGTATATACTGTACTTTTTTTCCTCTGTTAGGCCGTGTGGACATTATCCAAATTACTTTTATTTGTTGTTTTAAGAGTATCACTATTTTAGCTTTCAGATGGGACGCTAGATTAGATTTGATTCCTAGCATTATTACTTAACCCATGCATTATACATAGGACATATTCAGTAGAACTTTTTGAATTTAATTTGATTTTGTTTTGAGATCCAAAGCTAAATAAGAAATGCCCCCTCCTTTACCAGATTTTTAGTCTGGTGATATAGACACACAAACCGATTGCTTCAGTATAATGTGTTTGCTGTTATACCACAGGTATGTACAGAACATAAAAAAGAAAGGAGAGCTTTTAGGGCAGACAGAGGTAAGGTAGAGCTTCAGAGAAGGCTTTTTGGAGAGAACAACTAATAGAGGTTGATCAGGAAGGAGATAATTAAGCAAAAATTCCAGAGAACTTGCTTCAGGCAGCAAAAGAGCTTGGTTTCTGCAAGGAGCTACAGACAGTTTGCTGCCTTTGAGTGCATGCAAAGCTGCAGGAAGAATGTTGAGAGACAGTAATAATTAAAGCTAACACTTATAGAGCACTTACTTTGTGTCAGACACAGGTCTAAGTGCTTTACTAACTTTATATATTACATTCATTTAATCTTCATAATAACCCTACAAGATAGGTAATATTCTCATTCTCCAGAGGAAACACAGAGGGTCTAAGTAACTTACCAGTAAGTGATGGAGCTGGGAAAAGAGCCCAGGCTAACTGATTTTAAAGTCCTTGCTTTTAACCACTGTACTAAACAGCCTCCCAGGATGAAGAGAAGTGAAGTCTTAGGCATGCCGAAATTATAACATGGCATGCTAAAGGAAAGTTGTCAGTGGGTAGCTCTTGAAGAGATTTGAGCAAGGGAAGGTTATGGTCCAGTTTATGTTGGGGAAGGACTGTAGTGGGGAGGGCAGTGAGACTAGAGATAAAACTCCCAATGGAAAGCTGATGTGACAATTAACTAGAAGTTGCTCAGAGCCTGAACTAGTTTGCTAGCTGTGGAAATGAAGAGAGGATTAGATGCGGAATTGGTGAAGCAGATCAATTTGCTGGTAGGAGTGAGAAAAGGGATGAGTATAGCTCTGGTTTCTTACTTAGATGTCACCACCCGAGAGGCACAATTACTTGTACCAGGTAGCCCTCTTCCTATCTTGCTGTAAGATTGTTGTTAGATGATAAATTTATTTTGTTAAAATGGCACTTAGGCGTAGTGTGAGTATACTGTGATTTAAATTTTTTCAGTGTCAAAGGGCTGCTTGTTACTATGCCAAATTCTCATCAAAATTGGGGTTATGTTACTGGTTCAGAATAATGTCAATAGCTCTTTGCCATTTCTTAGAGATGTATGTAAAAATGTCAGTATATTGAAACCATTGCTAAGTTTAACCTATACTGAACAGGACCAGCTCTTGGACAAGAGTAATAATAGAACTCTGCAGGAATGTTTCCAGTGGGCTCCATAGTATTTTTCTATAAATTCATGATTCTTTCTGTTGTCTACCTCTCTCCTATAGTGTGAATCTAGTGCTCTTGAAAAGGGCTGGACTGGCAGCCCTGCAGCCTCTTCTGTATACCCACAGCACAGATGCACCACAGGTAGTGACAGTGCCAACATCCCTACACTGCCCCTGCCACATGCCTCACCCTGATTTGGAGAGGCCACCTCTAGAGGGGAGGGAAGAGCTTGAACCCACGCCTTCTCCATTAAGACTTCTAACAAGTGTGTCAGTTTAGGGGGTGGGACACTATACTCAGACTGTTAAATCGATTTCCCTATGCCACAAAACAAACAAACAAAAAAGAACTGTTATAGTCTGGTCCATGCTGACTGGCTGAATTTGAACAAATGACCTAGAGGTGAGAATCTCTGTATGCCATTACCCAGTCATTTAGTCCTGTTTGTCATTTACACTTTTCAATTGACTACACTAGCCATTGTGCCTCGTGGCTTTAGTTATGTAGTAATTTAGGCAACTACAGACATTTTAATTGTTAAGTGATGCTTATTTGCTTCTTTGGTTTTATTTTTAGGTACAGGTTTACCTCAGAAGGTTTTAGGAACAACTGAAGAAATAAGTGGTAAGAAACATACAGAAGATACTATTTCGATGGCATCATCCTTGCATTCTAGTCCTCCTGCATCTCCTCAAGGTTCCCCTCGCAAAGGTAAGACAGAACAGTTCAAACTAGTTCTTGTTATACCAAAGAATACTTTGTGCCACGTATTTTGCTTTTTAATCTATGGTGATAATAGAAAGTAGGAAGAAAAATGTAACTCCTAATAATTCTTGAACTTTCATATTTTGGATTGAATTATTCAGATGCTTTCCAGGTATTATGCATCATATAACTAGAATTCCTGTATTCAGCGTATGGTCCTCCTTTGACAGGACAAGCAGAGATAAGAATAAGTGCAGAAATCACAGTCATTTTGTGCAGATTCTTGATGTTACTCAAATTTCCAATTATTTAAACATTTTTGTGCAGTATTTGAAAATAAGAATTTCTATAAGAAATTGTTTTTAACCAACTACAAGATTTAGGGAAAAAAACAAGTATTTAGGTTGATATGTTCCTTTCTTTCATGATAGAGTATTATTACCTTTTTAGTAATCAGAATTTAAATTAACCTATACTTTTATGGATTTTTACGTTTATACCTAATACAGAACCTCTTGAGGTAAAAAAAATCTGAAACTACCCTTGTTCATTGGCATATGTTTTCATAATTCAGACTGAAGCTTTTCTTTTCTTGACTAGTCTGGGTAGTGTGCATGTAGATGCCGTTTTATGTTAGCTGCACACATAGCATTCTTAATGGTGCATGTATTTCTTGCATGGGCCCCTCCACACTCTGTGTGTACTTTGGCAGAAAGGGGGCCTTAGTCCTGGCATTGTCTTCACAGATGTAAAAAAACTGCGTCTTTAAATAATCACAGTACAGGATGGTACATGGTCAGAGGGAAGGCAAGTTTACGAATTATAGCAGGAAGAACAATCTTTCAGAGCTTTCCTCAGCTTCCATGTTCTAAGTTTCATCTCACTTTTAAGGGCTGTTATTTTTGCCACCTATGGGGCAGCAATGTGGTACAGTGATGTCAGATCTGAATTTGAATCCTGACTCTGTCCCCCACTAAAGCCATGTTATTATAACCAACTGATTTAAAAGGTCATGTTTCCTGTCTGTAAGATGGGGAAAAGACCACTTATTTTAGGAGGCCCTTATAAGGATTAAACAAAATATTTCTAAAGCGTGATACACGGTAAGTGTTTAGTAAATTGAAGTGTCTCTTCTTTTTCCCTGCTGCCACCCCAGAGCAATGTAGCTCCATTACTGACCTGTGTTTCCCCCCTTCACATAGCTGAGACGGGCTAGAATTTTCATTCAGATTTTACTAAGAAAAGTTTAGTAAAAATCAAATAGGACGTATAAGCAGTATATATAAGAAGTATGTTTACAAAACACAGGTTTCTGATTTTGTCATATGTAGCTCATATGATGTTGTGAGGCACACACATCTGTTTCGTCTCTTCACTGTCTGTTTGGCCCTATCCAAAGTGCCGCTTATCAGATCACTCAAGGAGTGGGACTGACTATAGTGCCCAGTCACACAAATGGTCCTGATGAACAGTGCCCATATGCTCTTTCAGGGACACCTTTATACCCTCCATTCCTTTTGAAGGCTATTCAGAGGTCCCATTGTAGACTATTCTCTAATCAGGAAGCTAGTTGAATCAGATTTGGTTTTATGCCTGACTGTGACTTTTGGCAAAAGATATTAGGAACAGGAACTTCCCCATTGCTCTTACTCCTAATGGAAAATCTGCTCTCACCACTGGAATAGAGAAGTCTTCTTCATTGTGTTTTGCCATGTGTAGCCAACAATCAGTCATGATGTTTATAGATTTGTGAGCTGTGTTTAGAATCTTTAGAAACCTGAGAAAATTACTTTCTTCAAAACTTTTTCCAGTTGTTCTTACATATGTTCTATCAAAACCCCAACTGAACGTTATATTTCTTTTTATTTCTGTAAATATATTTTTGCCAATTGTCTGTGATTGAACAAAAATGTCCTTAAACTGAGAGTACATTATTAGTATCTGTTCTTAGTTCTTCCTAAACTTTGGAATTAGTTCTCTGTGTTCTGACAATTAAGAAAATAAACCTATCTCATGTTTTTCACAAGGAGAGTTTAAACAAGTAAGAACTTTTAAAAAGTGAGAAGTCAAGCGGCCTTAACCTTTGTCTTCCCCACTGCCCAAGGAAGGCAGCCTCTCCACCTTGGAGATACAACAGGATCCGAAATTGTGCTTTGTAAATACATCTATTGTATGTACTAGTTAGACGTCCTGTCTGGTTTTTGCTAAGCTTTTTCTTAGTAGAATCTGCCTGAAAATTCTAGACATAGTTACTTTTGACAAGTAATTCTGGTTATCTGATACTCTTGTTATATTTTTCCTTATGATTTTACCACCTTGACTTACTTTCAGCAGTTTTTTTAATTACTAACTTATTCTGATAAAGGTAATCTTTCTCCTGTGTTCTGTCTTGCAATGACTGCTGTGTTTATGCTATATAGTAGACTCTCCATGTTTTAAAAAATAGGTTTCTAGATATGAATTTTTTTAGATATTGTCAAGATGTTGGAATTTTTTAATAGAGAAATGTTATATAAGTCAGGCTAATTGTGATTAATTGGAAAGAATTAATTGACCGTGACAGGGTTTTTGCATCTCTCCCTCCAGTTGGCAGTATCATATCTGATCACAGCATCCTGCCTCGCCTCTCAGGGTCTTCCTCATCCCCTCCCTGTGAGTCCAGCACCAAGATCAGTGGCCAGAGCTGCCCCGGAATAGGTGGGGTTTACTTGCAAAAGAAAATCCTTCAGATTACCGGGAGCACAGCCAAAAGAACAGACAGGACCAAGAAGGCCACTGAGGAGAATAGAGACAGGACAAGTTGTGAGAACACAGCCAGAAAAAGAATGACATCCCCGTTTAGAAGATTTAGGGAAAGAACTCTTTCAAGGGAGAGACTAGCCAACAGCAAAAAAGAGGACGCAGATCACAATCAAGCTACAGAAAGCTGTGAGAAAGTGAAGGATGTTGGAAGCAACATCAAAGATGAGAAAGGGAGTGACATCTTCAATTCAAATAGCAGAGGCAACAGTAACAGTTTAAACTGCTTCTATACGCGATTCAAGTCTAAAAGGAGAAAGACACTCTGATGAAGTTCCTTACTTAATTTTAGTGTTAAATTTGTTTTCATTTATTAATGTCAATATAGCTTAAATTTAAGTCATTTGTCAAAGCTTAGACAAACAACTTAGTAAAATACAGTTTATAAGCGTTTTATGATTGGTGTTGCAGGTCCTCTAGCAACAAAATCATATTGATTTAAAGTGCCTTATTTGTACAATGTTATTTTACTAATGTTAGTAAACTTTATACTTTTGTTTTCTGTAGTTGGCTTTTTTTTCCTACTGATAGCAGCGGGGTCTGTGAGTGAAATAAGGAGAGGAGGCTTTTTAGGAACCAATATTTACATTAAAACCGCCAGTAACGATCTGATCAATCTGATCAGAACTTTTGCCTCTGAGAATTTTATTGCTATCTTACTGCTGCAACTACTTGCAAACTAAAGGAAAAAGAAGTGTTTGGAGGCAAGAAAGTGCATTGTGTCCACGTATACTTTTTGTATCACCCACTTTTCGTGTACCTCTGATCAGAGGAGGAGGAGATAGTCTAACATAGCAGGTTCACAGTCATCTGGGAAACTTGGTAAAAAATAGGGTTACTATGTCCTACTGCAGACCTCGTAAATTTGAATCGCCTGAAATGGGCCCAAGAATGTGTATTTTAATAAACTTTGCAGATGACTCTTAAAATTGGTTATATTTGAGAAATACTGATCTGACAGACATAGGGATGAAGTTATTTTTAAAACAGTAAAGCAAGCTTATCTCCTGGATAAAGGAGCGATGCTTTTTCTTTTTGAGGAAGAATTTATTTTATTGATTTTTTTAATTTATTTACCACATCCATTTTCTTAGTCCTCTTGAAGGCTTACCAGTCAGTTCATGAAGGGCATGAGAAATAGCAGTGATCACAAGATCAGGGGACTGGGCTAGGAGCCAAGAGACTGGCTATCTTGGCTTATTGTGTGCCAGGCCCTATAAGCCACAAATAAATCACACATTTTCTGGGTTTTGATATTTCTCTTTGAAATAGTTAATGAAACTACTTAATAAAGTTGTTGTTCCACAGATTTTTTTCTTTAATAACTTGAGTTGTATGTGAATATAAAGCCTATAGTTCTTCTTAATGAGATTTCTGGGGATTGATTTACCTACTGAAGCTCATTCTTTTGGTGAACAAGAAGAGAATTGCTTTTTTGAGACCTCTTTGTTGAGATTACTATGGCATTTTCTTTTATTTCTAAACAAAAGAAGTTTGGTTACTTTTCTAATAGTTATCAAAACAGACTATTATGTACATTTAACTGTCATGGTGCAGATTTGTTTTTGGATCTTTCCACCTCACTGTCTCCACCCTTTCTTTCCAAAGAATGCAAGAGAAAATCTCTCTAGCTCTGTCTGCTGTGCAGTAAGTTATAGAACAATTTAAAACAGGTAGATACTGATTTTTTCGTAACACGTTCTTATAAATCTGTCAGTTCAGCTGTTTAATGTAACATTCTGCCAAGTTGATGAAGAAAAAGGAAACTAGGTGTAAGACTAAATCCAAATCTAAAACAATTTATTTCAAAATACGAAAACAATGACTTTCATCTTGGGGCAAAGACTTCTTAGGTGACGTAAGCAGAATATCTGGGGTAAGTATATGTAGTTTGAAAAAGCAAAAATATAATTCTTTCCCTTGAATCCTGACTCCCTTCCCCCATCCCTACCTCAAGGTGGTATTTTGGACAGTCAGATCAGGCCATGAAATATTTATGTGAATCAAAGAAAGAGACATAGGATTAAAAAGAAGTAGAGAAACTCAAGATGTTTACTTTTTAATGTTTTGTAATATGTATAATACTTTCTTATTTTATTAAATGCTTGTAGCTGTGTGAGAGCCTAGAGCAGATATACCTGTGGACTAGTTTTCTCAGTAATACTCCATTTTGACTTCCTATTTCTTGAATTGAAGTTGGATTGATGTGATATGGGTAGGTAGGTGAATAGATGTATAGAAGAATCTGGATATAAAATTGGCACCATTTCATCTACATAGATGGATACTGAGATTGCTACTCATTTGTCTTTTGTTCTTTTTATGTTTTTCTTGTCCTCTCCCTGAACACATACCCCCACCTGTTTCCTTGTTTTGTAGTTTGATCACTTGTCTTCTCTCGTTCAGGTTATACACTTATACCATCAGCTAAATCTGACAACTTGTCTGACTCCAGCCATAGTGAGATTTCTTCACGGTCCAGCATTGTGAGCAATTGTTCCGTTGACTCCATGTCTGCAGCTCTACAGGATGAACGGTGTTCCTCCCAGGCTGTGGCGGTTCCTGAATCCACTGGGGCATTGGAAAAGACAGAGCACTCCTCAGGAGCAGGAGACCATAGTCATCTTAGCCCTGGGTAAACGTCCTTGCCTGTGTTCATATCACAAAACCCAAGTGGAGTGGCCACTGCAAGCAGTGCTCCACAGCTTGACCCTAGACCCCTCATCTTCAGCCCCCATAGGGTTGTTGCAGGGAGATCCATAAAAGAATGTGAGAGCCAAGCATGTATTCTCTATGCTGAATATGCAAATAAGTACTATTGTGGAAGATGTGTGGGTGCTCATTTTTAAAGTGTTACTGAATTCAAGTAACTTTCTGTCGTCATGTATCTTTCCAGTCAAGAAGAACTCAGAGTGAAGCTGCTATTGATATGGAGGGGGTTAGGTTAGAGATTGCTCAAAAAGATTGCATAATGGGAAGTAGGACCAGTACTTGATCCTTATTCTCTGAAAGTATGGCTAGTAAGAATTATCAGCTAGCAAAAACCAATTTTTGAAAAAATGTTAACTCAGTTTTTATTTAGATTCAAGCAAAATGGAAATCTTTGAGAAAGTTGATTCTAAACTGGTAAATATTGTTAAATCTGTTATACTTTATGGTAAATCTGATATGCTTTAATATGAAAAATTTAAGATATTGTAAAGTATTGTCATATTTGTAAGGGTTTCTAAACTATGATTCTCTAGCCTAGGGGTCAGCAAACTTTTTTTTATAAAAGTTAGATAGTAAATATTTTAGATTTTTCAAGCCATACAGTGTCTGTCGCAACTGTTCAACCCTGCTGTTGTTGTACCAAAACAGCCTTAAATAATACGTGAAGAAATGGGCATGCTGTGTCCCAATAAAACTTTATTTACAAAAAACAGGGCAAGGGCCAGATTTGGCCTTGGGTTCTAGTTTGCTGACTCCTGCTCTATACTATAAATCAAGGGTTCACAAAATTTTTTTTTTGGTAAAGGGCCTGATAATAACTTTTAGGCTTTGCAGGCTACATATGGTCTCTGTGTCAAATTCTTTGGAGTATTTTGTTTTGTCTTGTTGGACCCTTTAAAAATGTAAAAACCGTGCTTTGTTCCAGACCATGCCAAACATACTGTTGGTTGGATTTGGCCCATGAGCCTTAGTTTGGGGACCCCTGCTGTAAATGATAGAATTCATTTAGTAGTAGGTCGTTGGGGAAGTTGCTGTTTACTTGGCACTGTACTACGCTGACCTCAGAGGTACCTTGAAAAATAAAACATGGTTCCTGTAGTTGGGAGTTCTTAATTCTGTGTGCATGGAAAGAATCTACCCTTATGTTGACCAAGAACAAAACATATGCTTAATAGTATTCATTTCAAACCTCATCTTTTGTTTTCATTTAAAATCAATTCAAGAAAAATTCTGAGGTAACCTTGCTAAGTATTTGAGTTTCTTCAGTGTGTATTTCTAGCTAAGTATTAACATTAATGTCAATATAAGTTTAATGATGATTGATTATAGTATTTTTGCACAAGGTGGTTTTGGCACAAACACTTGTGACGCATGTTCTATAGTCTGGTAGGCAGTATTACTTGCAGTGGACAGACAAAAATTTTTCCATTAAGCCAGTAAATTACTTTTAATTGTGTATCTCCAATTTTAGGTGGACACTCTCAAAGCCATCTCTAGTCAAGAGTTTAGCTGTCTCATCTTCTATGAGCAATGAAGAGATTTCTCATGAGCATATCATTATAGAGGCAGCCGATAGTGGTCGTGGAAGTTGGACTTCCTGTTCAAGCAGCTCCCATGACAACTTCCAGAACCTTCCAAACCCAAAAGGCTGGGATTTTTTGAACTCTTATAGACATACCCATTTGGATGGCCCCATTGCTGAAGTTGAACCCACTGACTGTGAGCCCTATTCCTGTCCTAAAGGCTGCTCTAGAACTTGTGGTCAGAATAAAGGAAGCCTGGAGACAAATCAGGTGAGACAGAGTTGGGCCTCCTCCAGTTCTCTGTCTGACACTTATGAACCAAACTATGGGACAGTTAAGCGGAGAGTGTTGGAGAGCACCCCAGGTGAATCATCTGAAGGCTTGGAACTTAAGGATGGCACTGACTCAGTTTATAAAACTGTTACTTCAAGTACAGAAAAGGGCTTGATTGGTAAGTTGTGTGTTCTTAGTCTTATCTGTGGCCTTTAGATATTAAGTGGTAAAAAATGACATTGGGATATCTTGGCTCAGAATTTTATTCTTACAAAAATCCCTGCTCTCACTCCAACCTCTCTTTCCTTCCTCCACAAGTAAATTATTTTCAAAATGTTCATGATTTCTCAAGGGCTTTGGGGCAGGTATTCTATCCTATTAAAATGAAAAGGCTGGTATGAGGTATTTAATTAAGGGGACAGGTTTATTGGTCTTGTTTTCTTTTTGAGATGTTTTTGGTTTCGTTGAGGAAATATCATTGCATTACTATGCATTAGTAATAAAGGAATTATTCTCTGTCACCTCTTAAATTGGACCACACTTGCTCTGCATGCAGGATAGAAACGTTGAATCTGGTATTACTTTTAGGTAGTAAGAAAAAATGTGATAAAGAAATCCAAAACACTTTTCAGTATACCCTCCTGGGCGCATTATGGATGTGCCAACTCCTGCTTGTGGGTTCCATTCTAACCACACACAGTTTTCTTACTGTATTCCTTAAGTGTTTAGCCATTAAACACTTTGTTTTTCCATTTCTTCATTGAATTATGTAAACACTCAGGTATAATAGCCTCTGCTTTTCTATTTACATGGAATGACTGTACTTTGGATCAACTCTTAATTCTATAGCATATTCATGATGTCAATTTAAATTACTAAAAATGCCAAAGACAGATGTATTGATTTTTATAGCACATCTATAGCATATTTATAACACCTTTATTTTTTATTTGTCAAATTGCATTATAGATTGGATTTTTTTAGCTCCTTCATTTTTTTCCAAGGATTTTTTATTAAAGCCTGTAGGTAACCACAATATGGATATAAAAGCATGTGGTACAAGGATATAAGATCTTTCTCTTGTCCATTTGGGAAAATAGATTTTTTTAAATCTTTTATTTCTTTCATTTCTAGATGACTCTGGGCAAATCATTTACATTCTTTATTCTTACTTCTCTTGACAGCCTCTCCACCTCCTCACCCCATCATCCTCAGATGGGGATGGAGATCCTTTCTGACCTTGATACTACATGCAAATTTGACTGATAGAATTGTAGAAATTTCACTATGGGCAAACTTGATCCTGTAAAGAGAGAGTTAATGTTAAAATTATTTAATGATTCTTTATAATATATTCTGCTTGTATATAGGTAGTGTTTGTGTTTTAAGTCACTTACATGATCAAGATATTCAGAGCCATTCGTCCTATGAGTCCTATGGATTGGTCTTAATTTTATGGAACTTCCTCTTTAACCTGTTTCTGGTGCTTTTTGAAGCTTTGCCTTAGTCTCAGGGTTTGCAAACTTAGGGAAAAGGATTTTAAGTCACCATTATTTTTAATGTCCATGAAAATCAGAGAAACTTAATGTAAGATGGATTTCCTGAAATTACGGTTTTTTTCTTCTTCACTTAATCACAGAGCAGAAGTTAGAAGTGAGGCCGTTGAAGGAATTAGTTACTCTAGAAAATCCTGCCAGTCAACAGGGGATAGATGTTCAGGGTAAACTCTTAAATGTTTCTGACTCCATCACCTTTAGGGCTGGTGTTACCTGTGATATGAGGGCTGAACTGCAGAAGGAAGCTTATCATCAGTGTCATCTCCTTCAACTCTCTCTCATTCTATTTAATGTTTATAAAACCTAATGTAACTTATGTATTTTAAAAACAGGTTTAAAAAGTTTATTAAACTTTTAAAAAATTTTTTATCTACTGTCATAGTATTCAAATATATTCATTTTGTCTGTTTTTAAGTTGTTTTGTCACTGTAATAAGTTTCAGTATGGTTTTTTTAATCATTTCTTATATTTTTATTAACATTTCCATTGCTTATTTTTCATGCCAGTGTACTGTGTCACCTCACCCAAGAAGGAGGATAGGTATAGGGAGCCACCTCCCACTCCTCCAGGATACATGGGGATTTCTTTAGCGGATCTAAAGGAAGGACCCCACCTACACCTAAAACCTCCAGATTATAGTGTGGCAGTGCAGAGGTCAAAGATGATGCATAACAGCCTCTCTAGACTGCCACCCGCTTCTCTCAGTAGCAACCCTGTGGCCTGTGTTCCATCGAAGATTGTAACTCAGCCTCAGAGGCATAATTTGCAGCCATCCCATCCTAAAGTAGCAGCTGTGACTGACGCAGATAGCGAAGCAGATGGTATGTTGACAAACTACCTTAATGGCTCTTAAATGAATTGCTGAACACATTAAATGGTCTTTAGTCTGGTGTTTTACGTAATCAGTAATATTTTATTTAAATGCCTTAGAAAGCTCTGTTAAAAAAAAAAAAAGAAAATCTCTGAATATGATGGTGTGTTTTTTAAATGGAGAGGGCAAGCTGCTTATTTCTGTGTGCCCAGTACCTTTCTTCTGGGTCAAATGGAGTATTCTTATATTTGATAGATAGCATCTCAGTCTAATAGGATAATTTTTAAAGGAGGCACTTGACATTAGTAGAGTTGTGTTTTACATTAACGCGTGGAAACTTGAACTGTAGGTGTGAAAATGCCAAATTATCTGAAATAATGCTGTTGATACAGTTCCTCTTATTGGCAAAACTCTTGACCGACTTTGTAGCTGTGGCATTAGTTAAAAAAATGATTTGCTTTAGGCCAGCCCTGTGGCCAAGTGGTTAAGTTTGCGCTCTCCACTGTGGCGACCCAGGGTTTCACTGGTTCAGATCCTGGGCGCAGGCATCCCACGTGCCACAACTAGAAGGGCCCACAACTAAAATATACAACTATGTACTGGGGGGATTTGGGGAGAAAAAGCAGAAAGGAAAAAATGATTTGCTTTAAGAAATTTTATCCTTTTAAACAATAGAATAATAAAGTGACTAAAAAGCAGTTATGAAATTCCTGTTTTTTGTCAGCCTTCAATGTAATCAGAACTCCTAAATGTCATTACAATAAAATCTGGACTTTGGTGGGATATTTGAGAGAATTTCTTTGTTGAAATTGACTAATTCTGTAAACAGATAACTAGATTGTTAGTTGATCTTTATTAATATGCTGATCCACCACTTAATTGTGTTTTTATTATTTTCAGAAAATGAACAGGTTTCAGCAGTCTAGCCTTTGGATGACCTGTTTAAAGTCTACTGAAAGTCATGGCGAAGGAGTGGGCAGAACCACCTCATGATTCTGCAGGCCGTTGCCAACAAACAGCTCGCTGCTGCTCCCAACCCAGCAGTTTCATTCCCTGTACTCCGAACAGTGTGATAGCCCTGAATCCTACTTCCTTTCGTTTAACCCCCGCAGATGCCTAGTTTCCTCAGCTCTGGATGTTGTGCCTGGATACCAGTCTTCACTTTGCACACCACACCTGCCTTGGGACCACAGTTACTAGAACAAATTCAAACTCAAGAGTCCTCCCATGTCTATCACTATAGATTTTCTTTAACAAGTTGTTTTTTAGATAGTGGTAGTAGTATTTCTAAGCCATAGCTTAAGCTAATGGACAAGTTCAAAATGTCTGCCAATACCAAGGGTATTCATGTGTATTTGACAGTAATTTATTATTTGAAGTTTTGTGGTTTTGTTTGTATTTGGGAGCTCTCGTTAGCTGTTGTTTATGTTTGGGGCCATAAAACTGTCTCTGGTCTGACCAAACAGAAATTGTCTTGACAGGGCGATATGCTCCATCTGTACAGAGATGTAACTCGATTTGTAGCACCAGTGCAATGTAGGGTCTCAGTTTGAGTGGAATAGGAAGCCCTTGCGGTTGAGGTGTTAGGAAGGAAAAATACTGCCATCTGCTGGTTGTGATTGGGAAGGCCAAATGAAGCTGCCAGAGGGTTTCTTTGGGAAAAGGAGAAGGCTATGATGGGGAATTTCCAAAGAATTAAATTTTCATTTTAAATAACATGTATACCAATTCTTTCTGAAGTGAAAGTCATGCTGCATCTAACTGCAACTAAAAGTATAAATTCAGTAAATAGAGAATGGGTTCTAGAGAGTTCTACTCTGTAGAAACCCAAAAGTAAAATTTTTCACAACTCAAATATGTAGTTCATTTTTTGTAAAGAAAGTGTAATCATTGATGGTATAATCATGAAGATGAATTTAGCATTTTGCAGTGTTCTGCAGCACCTCCTCTCCTCATCTCCGACCCTGAGGCTATGTTCCATCTTGATACAGCCTGCAGCTCCCAGCTGCCTGCAATAAAGCTCATTAGCCCATAAGATGTATAATTGATTGAAACTTTTCTGAGGAAAGAGGAGCGAGAATTATGGGAATAGTTATCTCTTTGTTCTCAGTTGTAGCCCTTGAGGAAAAGGAGATATATACTTTAACAGCCTGTTGGGTATGGCGCTCTTAGTGTTTAATTAAAATTTCAGTGACTGTTTACTGGATAAACTAGACTTTCCACATTTTTACAAATTAAATGTTTTCTATATCCTAAGTTTAAATTTTTTCATTTTTTCTAGTGAAAAGGCAAGTGAAAGTTTAATAAACTTTTATGACTACCAAAAAAAAAAGCCAAAGCCATTAATGTGCACTACCCAGATCACAGTGGAGCCAAAATGGATTTACTTCTGAGTGGTTGTCCATATGTGAATTTACAGGATTTAGTTGGTCAGTGACTTCCTTTTCAAGAGCTTGTTCTCTTTTTTTCATCGCTATCTCTTCCCTCTCTCTGTCTTTCTGCCTGTGCCCTTCATTTTAAAATTATAAATCAGTTCCAAGTGGTAAATGGCAGTAGTCCATCTTTTCCATCAAAATGATTGTCTCTTCATTTCAGGAAAAATGGCATGTCTGAAAAATCCACCTGGGGAAAAAGTGTTTATGTGAAACTTAAGCCTTAGAAATTAACCCCCGGTATGTTAGAATGAGGCTACTTGGCTCCATAGCTTTCTTGGTCCATTGCAATGAAAAGTAGCCTGGATCAGAAATCCTGGTTTGAAAGTCACACTAGTGATTTGACCTATTAACAGTGGTCCTCTGATCACAAATTTTTCCTTCACTGATTTACACAATATTGTTTTTATGTGTAGAGCAAAACAAAGAAAATGGAAGATATTTTTGCTATAACCCTCTTTTTATCAGGTTTGGGTATTTATTCTCACTATTTTATATCCATTACCCCAGAAAAATGTGCTGTTTGCACAGTATCTATTTATTTGCAGGTCTTTCTAACCGAATGGGAGCCTTACCCATCTTTGTTGTTAGTGGTGTCAGTAATGCCTTGCACAGAGAGCTGGAGGCTTGTGATTGAGGCTGCACCTTGTAGCTGCCTTTGTTTCATCTAGCTTGAACTGTGAGTGTTTGGGTCGGCCGATCACATTGATCAGGCACTAAAGCCAAATGCTTTGTAGTTTGATATGTATGTATCCCTTAAAAATCATGGAGTGTGATCTTTCCATTTTAATTTAGGGTACATTTCTGCCTTCTCTTAGTTTGTCATATGACCAGAACAAGAGAAGCCTTAACCTGTATTTGCTCCAATTCTAAATCCTCATTTTTTTTTTGTTTTTATTTTATATATTTATACCTTTGACAAAGAGACCAGTGCCCACATCCCACCACAACTCTGAATCTATCAGGACTGTTGAAGCAGTAAATCCTCAGTGCAAACTTTTGCCAAATAATAAGTATCAACAAAATAATCTCTTCGTAATGAAAGGTTCAGAGAATTAGTAAATCTAATATATACTTCCATAAAAGTTTATTGTAATTAATAGGTTTTTACTTCTTCCAAATGATTACTTTCAATATGATCTTCAGGGAGAAAAAAACTTAAATGGTTTTCATGAGGGTGATAAGTCACAATGTCATCATGTGCATGACCTCCTCGAGAATCTCTCCCAGGCTGGAAATGTGGCAGTAATCATGGGAGTTTTCAAGAAGAAACCTACTTTTTATAAAGTGTTGTCTCCCCTACAAAAAGATGGGGAGAAAGTTTCCTTGTATATTTAAAACAATGATTATTCTAATATATTTTGTTTCTAAAAATGTGATATTAAAGTAGATATATCCCTTTAGCATTACCTTAAAGGCTAGAACAAAGGGGTAAATCTTCAGAAAAGTGTCACAGTACATTTTCAAGTTTAGACTTGAATCCCAGTTCATCTTTAGCTTTCGTTGTGCTTTTTTAACGCTTCTTTATTTTTGATACACAGACTGCAGTCGTACTTGATTTTTTAAAAATTAAAACATGAGCTTATCAGCAAAAGACAAAAACAGAACTGCACAGTCCTAATAATCAAATAGCAATTATACTGCACAATTCAGTGATTGTAAAGTATCCTGTAACAAGCAATGTTTGTTTCCTATTTTTTGATACCTCTTAAACTTATGTCTTTTAGAAAGACAGTGCCTCTGTATGCTTTTTGTATTTTTACTGAGTGTAAATATTTGTTATATTTTTGGTTAAGAGAATGTAAAAGTACCATTATTATTAGCATATCTACTAATACATTGGTGGAATCAATAAAGAATCTACAATAACCTTCTCTGCGCTTTATTGCAAATGTATGGAAGCAGACAAAATAATTACACCCAGTCAAGAGAGCCAGTCTGGGACCCATGTTGGTGTGATGTCCTTATTTTTTAAGTCTACAGAGAAATTGAAATGGTCCATTTATTGTTGACTTTATAGTATCTGTAAAACACCTAGCTATTGTTTAGTTTTTTAAAAGTGTGATTATAAGCCAAATAACAGTGGCTTGAATCCCATTGGGGCCTGTTTTTGTCTTTTAACAGAAAAGTCTACAGCCCTGTCCAGGGCTTATAAGGCGACTCCACAATGCTGTCAAGGACTCAAGGCCCTGACGTTTACACCTCACCTCAGGGCATCACCTTTGTGAAACATCAGGTGTTTCACAAAGGAAGGGGAGGGAAAGGTGCAAATGTGTGCCCCTTTTTATTAGCAAAACAACAGCTTTTCCAGAAGCTTCATTTGAGTGTTTCTGCTTATGTCCCACTAATCAGAACTGTGTCACATGACCAGTGACTACAAGGAAACCTGGGAAATGAACTTTTTGAGCTGAGCAATTGATGGCCCTAAATAAAAGTGGGATTCTTTTCAGCGAAGAATGAAAGAATGGATATTGAATGGGCAGCTGGCTGGGTCTGCCACAGCATGCCTGTTGTCCACTTCTTTAGAAAGTATATGTAAATGCAGCAATTTCTTTTATGAGATCAGATCTCAGAACCCTGGCAAAGAAGGAAGAAATTCTGCTTTAGCACTCCTTTCTAAAATCCTTCCAATCTCCCCTCTGCACCCAGAGAATGTTACTCCCATGATAGGTAAGGCTTCTGCCTCCTCCTGACACACACACCTGGTTTTCTCAGGCCATTCCTCCCCATGATCATCTCTCTGCAATGTCACTAAACGAACTAGTTTGTTTAGAAAATATTAAACACAAGTGTAGTGGGTTGAATAATGGCTACCCAAAAATATCAAGCCCTAATTCCTTTAACTTATAAATGTTACTATATTTGAGAAAAGGGTATTTGCAGATGTAATTAAGCATTCTGAGTTGAGGAAGATTACTTTGGTTCATCTAGGTGGGCCCTGAATGCCATCACAAGGGTCCTCATAAGAGAGAGGCAAAGGAAATAACAGACATATAGAAGGAGGCAACGTGAAAACAGAAGAGAGATGCAGCCAGAAGTCAAAGATGTTAACAGCCGCCAGGAACTAGAAGAGAAGAGACTTCCTTAGACCCTCCAGAGGAGTTCCGCTCTGCCAACTCTTTGATTTGGACTTGTGGCCTGTTGCTTTACGCCACCCAATTTTTGGAAATTTGTTACGGCAGCCCTAGGAAGCTAATACATGTCATTGTATTTGATGTTTAGGACCCAGAATTTGCAATTAAAGGATGTGGTGATTCAAACGTATACCTCAGGAATGCCCCCTCTCTCTACCCCAAAGAAGCATTTGGTAAAGATTGGAGAGGGACCAGCCACCCTGGAGGCCTCCTTTTCAGCAGCCTAGTCAGCCTGTTGTGTTTCCAAGTGTTCACAGAAAGGACACACATCACCCTGGCCAAACTTGGTATTTTTCATTTTTCTCATTTCAGACATTCTGGTGAGTGTGTTGTACTGGTATTTTACTGTGGTTTTACTTTTAATTTCCATAATGATTAATATTGCTAAGCATCTTTTCAAATTGGCCATTTGGATATTCTCTTTTGTGAAGTGTCTTTTAAGTCTTTTGTTTGTTGCTAGAATATTGGAATATAGTTGTTTTATAATGACCTTGTATCTAGCAACATTGCCCAATTCATTTATTCTAACAGTTGGTAGATTCTTTTGAATTTTCGTATATACTCATATCTGTTCATAATGACTTTTATTTCTTTCTAGTCATTTTGCATTTCATTTCTTGCCTTACTGCACTGGTCAAAATGCCGGTACAATGTTGAAGTGCTCAGGGTGGAATTCCTTCCTTTGTTCCTGACCTCAGGGGGAAAACTTTTTGATTTCAAAATCCGTAGGATTTTTGTAGGTATTTTTTAAGTCTAAGGATATTCCCTTTTATTTATGGTTTGCTAAATGGATTTATAATGTTGAATTTTGTCAAATGCTTTTCTCGAATCTATTGAAGATATAGGATTTTTTTTAATCTGTTAGTGTGGTGAATTAGTTGATTTCCTAGTGTTTTGGGCATATAAAATTATATATACACACATATATATTTTTAAAGATTGGCAGCTGAGCTAACAACTGTTACCAATCTTTGTGTGTGTGTGTGTGTGTGTGCTTTTTATCCCCAAATCCCCCCAGTACATAGTTGTATATTTTAGTTGTGGGTCCTTCTAGTTGTGGCATGTGGGATGCCACCTCAACATGGCCTGACAAGCGGTGCTATGTCCGTACCCAGGATTTGAACTGGCAAAACCCTGGGCAGCCAAAGGGGAGGGCGTGAACTTAACCACTCAGCCATGGGGCCGGTCCCTAAAATTATATATTTTAATCTCATGTTTTCCTCTTCCATAAATATTACCCTTCTTGTTTCATGAATTATTGCACTGCTCAGAATTCTGAAGCAACGTTAAAGAACAGGAATGAAAGTGAAAATTTTGTGTTGTCCACAAATTTAATTGGTGGAGAGTGTTTTCAGTTTTTCATCTTTTTTTTTTTAAGTAATTTTAGTGAGATCATAATGGTTTGTGACATTGTGTAATTTTGGGTGTACATTATATGTATCAGTTTCTTTTTTGTTGTTGTTTTTTTTTTTTGAGGAAGATTAGCCCTAAGCTAACTGCTGCCAATCCTCCTCCTCTTCTCTGAGGAAGACTGGCCCTGAGCTAACATCCGTGCCCATCTTCCTCTATTTTATATGTGGCTTGCCAGGCGGTGCCATGTCCACACCTGGGATCCGAACCTGCGAATCCCAGGCCACTGAAGTGGAATGGGCGCACTTAACCGCTGTGACACTGGGCTGGCCCCTATGTATCAGTTTCTGAATACACTTCATCATGCTCACCCCTAGGAGTCTAATTTTTATCCATCACCATACGTTTGTGCCCCTTTATCACTTTCGCCTACCCTCCAACCCCTTTCCCCTCTGGTAACCACTAATCTGTTCTCTTTATCCATGTATTTGTTGTCTTCCACATATGAGTGAAATCATGCAGTACTTGTCTTTCTCTGGCTTATTTTGTTTAACATAATACACTCAAAGTCCATCCATCTTGTTGCAAATGGGATGATTTTGTCTCTTTTTATGGCTGAGTGGTATTCCATTGTATATATATACCACATCTTCTTTATCCATTCATCTGTAGAAGGGCACTTGGGTTGCTTCCACATCTTGGCTATTGTGAATAATGCTGCAGTGAACATAGGGGTGCATAAATCTCTTTGGATCATTGATTTCAAGTTCTTTGGATAAATACCCAGTAGTGGGATAGCTGGATTGTATAGTATTTCTATTTTAAATTTTTTGAAAAATTTCCATAGTGGCTTCACCAATTTGCGTTCCCATCAGCAGCATATGAGCGTTCCCTTTTCTCCACATCGTCTCCAATGTTGGTTGTTTTTTGTTTTGGTAATTATAGCCATTCTGACCACTGTAAGGTGATATCTCATTGTAGTTTTGATTTGCCTTTCCCTAATAGTGATGTTGAACCATCGTTTCATGTGTCTGTTGGCCATCTGTATACCTTCTTTGGAAAAATGTCTGTTCACATCCTCTGCCCATTTTTTGATCTGGTGGTTTGTTTTTTTCTTGTTGAGTTTTATGAGTTCTTTATATATTTTGGAGATCAACCCCTTGTCTGATAAATGATTTGCAAATATTTTCTCCAAGTTGGTGAGTTGTGTTTTCATTTTGTTCATGGTTTCCTTTACTTTGCAGAAGATTTTTAGTTTGATGTAATCCCATTTGTTAACTTTTTCTTTTGTTTCCCTTGCCCAGGTAGCTCTCAGAAAAGGAACAAGACAAGGGTGTCCACTCTCACCACTCCCATTCAACACAGTACTAGAGGTTTTGGCCAGAGCAATCAGGCAAGAAAAAGAAAGAAAAGGAATCCAAATTGGAAAGGAAGAAGTGAAACTTTCGCTGTTTGCAGATGAGATGACTATATATACTGAAAACCCTAAAGAATCCACCAGAGAACTATTAGAAGTAATCAACAACTACAGGAAAGTTGCAGGGTACAAAATCAATTTTAAAAAATCGGTTGCATGTATATATGCTAACAATGAACTAGCAGAAAGAGAAATCAAGAATACAATCACAACAAAAAGAATAAAATTTCTAGGAATAAACTTAACCAAAGAGGTGAAAGACCTGTACACTGAAAACTATAAGACATTATTGAAAGAAATTGAAAAAAACAAAGAAATGGAAAGATATTTCATGTCCATTGGCTGGAAGAATAAACATAAAGTGTCCATACTACCTAAAGCGATCTATAGATTCAATGCAATCCCAATCAGAATCCCAGTCACATTCTTCAATGCAATCCCAATCAGAATCCCAGTCACATTCTTCACAGAAATGAACCAAAGAATCCAAAAATTTATATGGAACAAGAAAAGATCCCAAACAGCTGAAGTAATCCTGAGAAAAAAGAATGAAGCTAGAGGCATCACAATCCCTGACTTCAAAATATACTGCAAAGTTATAGTAATCAAGAAGCATGGTACTGGCACAAAAACACACACACAGATCAATGGAACAGAGTTGAAAGCCCAGAAGTAAAACCACACATCTATGGACAGCTAATCTTCGAGAAAGGAGCCAAGAACATACAATGGAGAAAGGAAAGTCTCTTAATAAATGGTGTTGGGAAGACTGGACAGCCACGTGCAAAAGAATGAAAGTAGACCATTATCTTGCACTATACACAAAAATTAACTCAAAATGGATTAAAGATTTGAATGTAAGACCTGAAACCATAAAACTCCTAGGAGAAAATATAGGCAATACACTCTTTGACATTGGTCTTAGCAACATCCTTTCGAATAGGTTTTCTAGTGTTAACCCTCACTATATACCCCTGCTCCCTCACTTCACCTTCTGCTTTCCCAGAACAAACCCCACTTGGTCATGATATGTTATTTTTATATATCTCTAGATTTATTTTGCAACATTTTGTTCCAGATTTAAGAGATGGTCTATAATTTCCTTTTCATGATTAGTGTTAAACTGGTCTCATGGAAAGATCTGGAAATTGTTTCCTCTTTGTCTGTTCTCAGGAAGTTTATGAAGGATTGAATTCTAGCCACTTTCGCCTTCCTGGCCTCCCACCTCCATCTCTTTGGCCCTGGAACACTGCTGAGCTCTGTGTGAGTTTCCCCTCCCCTGTGTTATGGCCTGTAAATTTTCTGCAGGCAGTAAACTGGGGCAGTGATAGGGCTCGCTTCTTTTCTTTCTTGTGCTCTGAAGAATTACTGTCCTTCAATGCCTGATGTCCAGTGTCTTAAATGGCACCGTTTTATACATTTTGTCTATTTTTTTAGTTGCTTCAGACAAGAGGGTAAAGGGCCAGTTGTTCCATCTTGATCAGAAGTGGAAGTGCATATATAAAATTTTAATACAACTCTCAGTAAATAACAGAAGCAGATACACCCTCTTCCACCAAAGAAAATCAGTAAGGATATAGAAGATTAGAACAACACAATTAGCAAACTTAATCTAATGGACCTATATAGACCACTGAATCAACAACTACAAAATACATGTTATTTTTAGGGGAACATGGAGCATTTGTCAAAGTTGACTAAATGTTAAGCCATAAAGAAACTATTAACAAATTTCAAAGAGTTGAACTTACATAGAGAGGGTTTTCTGCAGCAAAATTAAAGTAGAAATTGGTAACAAAAACTACATAATTTAGGGGTGCTAGCCTGATGGTGTAGTAGTAAAATTTGCACACTCCACTTCGGCAGCCCAGGGTTCCCAGGTTCAGATCCTGGGCACAGACCTAGCACTGCTTGTCAAGCCAAGCTTTGGTGGCATCCCACATGAAATAAAGGAAGATTGGCAACAGATGTTAGCTCAGGGCCAATCTTCCTCACACACACACAAAATTACAAAATTTGGAAGTAAAGAAATGTACCTCCCAATAAACCAGTGGAGAGTAGAAATTATTTTGAACTGAATGAAAATGAAAATATGAATATCAAAACCTTTTGGATGTGATTAAAGCCATACTTAAGGGGAAGTTTATAGCCTTAAATGCACATATTAGAAAATAGGGGCTGACCGATGGCTCAGCAGTTAAGTGCGCACGTTCCGCTTTGGCAGCCCAGGGTTTGCCGGTTCGGATCCTGGGTGCGGACACGGCACTGCTTGGCAAGCCATGCTGTGGCAGGTGTCCCACATATAAAGTAGAGGAAGATGGGCATGGATGTTAGCTCAGGGCTAATCTTCCTCAAAAAAAAAAAAAAGTAGAAAAGCTAAAAATGAATTAGCTAATCATTCTCCAGGAACCAAAATAATAACTAATTAAATTCAAATAAATGAAAGAAAATAATAGAAATTAATGAAATATATAACATGCAAAAAAGATTAACAAAACAATAAGTTAATTTTTAAGAAGAATGATAGCATTGCTAAACTCTTGGTGAGAATGATCAAGGAAAAAGAAAAAGGGCAAAACCAATGTTAGGAATGCAAAAGAATCATAATTATAGTCACTAAAGAGATAACAAGATACTTTGAATAACTAAAATGTACATGAAATAAATTCATGAAAACACCACTTACCAAAACCATAATGAGAAGGAAAATTCAGTAGTCCTAGAACTGTTAAAGAAGTTGAATCTGTCATTTAAAAGCCTTTCCACAAAGAATATTCAAGTCCTGGATGGCCTTGCCTGTAAGTTGTATGAAAAACTTGAAGTAACACTCATATAACAAAATCTGAACAATGGTAGGGATTTCTTAAATAAGATCCTCGTAAGAAAACACTATCAAGGAAATGATTGATATTTGACCAATTTAAAATTAAAAAGCTATTCATCAAAAAATACCTTTTAAAAGAGCAAAATGCCATAGAGTTGGAAAATATATCGTAATTCATACACTCTTCAAAGGACAGGAATCCAGAATATATAAAGTACTTCTATAAACAGAGAAAGAGCTTGCAGTAGAAAAATGGGCAAAAGAGCTAAAGAAGCACTTCATAAAAGAGGAAATTGTCCAATAAACATATGAAAAGGTGCTTAATCTTATTGTGAAAAACTCCACATGGGTTTTGTTTGTTTGAGGGAGATTAGCCCTGAGCTAACTACGCCAATCCTTCTCTTTTTGCTGAGGAAGACTGGCCCCGAGCTAACATCCCTGCCCATCTTCCTCTCCTTTATGCGCGGGACGCCTACCACAGCATGGCTTTTGCCAAGCCGTGCCATGTCCGCACCTGGGATCCGAACCGGCAAACCCCCGGGCCACCAAGAAGCAGAACGTGCGAACTTAACCACTGTGCCACCAGGCTGGCCTCTCCAAATAGGTTTTTAATTGATGATGGGGAAGTGTTAGCTGTGCTGCCCTCTCTTTGGAGTGTGGTGGCAGATGATCATGGACAGAAAACTTTCTTTGGAAGAAACAAGAATATGGACTAAAACGGGGAAGTTGTGGTAAAAATACTCTGGAACCACCAGATGGCACCACGCTACAGTGTGACTCCTCTTGGGGGTGGAGGGCTGGGCTCTTTGTCTTTAAAAATCTAAGAGCAACGCAATTTCTTAGCCATCTCTCTAGGTTATGTCTACAGTCCATAGTGAGGTATTTTGGGATACTCCTCCTTCACAGAGGTAACGAAGCTGAAGCATTTCCGACCAAAAAATATAAAATTTTAGATTCTGTTTCGATGATCTTCAGACAGTAATGAGTGGACAGTGTGGATACAGCTATTTTCTAATGCAGTGTGTGTACATTTGGACATAGGATTTGGAAGACTTAATGAGTGTGTCTTTTCCAGGGCTCCTGAGGGAGATCTTCCAGAAAATACACATGGCCCGCCTCTGAATAGGAATGAAGAGTAGGTGATATATATAAGAACCAAACTTTTAACAGTCTACAGTGAACAATGGCATACTGCGAGACTCCTGGCAGCTGCTTATCTGTTCTGACCGCTTGGAATTTAAGTTCTTTTTAACTTTGGCCATTTTGGTGGGTATGTAATGGTATTTTATTGTTATATAACTATATGGCTATACATTTATATAAACATACAGTTATAGAAACACATTTTATATATATGTATAAAACATATAAACATGTTATATAAACTATATGGCTACAGTTTTCATTTCTCTGATTATTAGTGGGCTTGAGCTCCTTTTCATATTTGTATGGACCATTTGATTTCCACTTTTATGAAATGCCTTTCTTAGTCTATTTTTTTTCTTATCAATTTGTAGGTATTCTTTATATATTCTGGATATGACTCCTTTATCAGTTATGTCTATGGCAAATATTTTCTCCCAGTCTGTGGCTTGCTTTGTTATACCCTTAATGATGGCTCTTGATGAAGAAAAGTTCATAATTTTAAACTAGAGAAACGTATTATTCTTTTCCTTTATGATTACTGCTTTTTTTGTGATTTAAAGTCTTTCCCTACTCTAAGTTCATTAACATATTTGTGTTATCTTTTAAATACTCATGAAGTTTTGCCTTTTAAATTTAGCTCTAAAATATATCTGTAGTCGATTTTTGTGTGTAGCATAAGATAGAGATCAGGTTTCATTCTTTCGCCTACAGATTGCGCCTGCACCACTTAGTGAAAAAGACACGTCCTTTGTTCCACTGACTTCAGTGCTGTCTTTCCTGTAAGTCAACTGCCCATATATGTTTGAATTTATTCTGGGGCTCATATTCTGTTTAATTGGCCTATTTGTTCTTCCATCCCCCAATACCATACTGTCTTAATTTTTCTAGTTTTATAATACATATTGATATTTGGTAGCAAAGTTCTCTGACCTTGTTCTTTTTCAAGTATATGATAGCTATTCTAGTATGTTTCATTTCCAAGTAAATTTTACAACCAACTTATCGACTCACACACACACAATTGCAATTTTGAATAGGATTTTCTTGAAATTATAAAACAATTTGAAGGAAATGAATATCTTTGTAAAATTGTCTTCCAATTTGTGAACCCACTATATTTCTCCATTTATTTAGACTTTTTTATTGTTCTCACTGTTTTATTGTTTTGACTTAAGAACCTTCATATTTTTTATATAAGATTTACTTTTAAGTGTTTGATGTGTTTCTTTTTTTTCCCTGATTTATTGAGATATACGAGACAAAAAATGAATATATTTGAGGTGTATGTCTTAGTCCATTTGAGCTGCTATAACAAAATACCATAGACTGAGTGGCTTATAAACAGCAAATTTATTTCTCACAGTTCTGAAGCCTAGGAAGTCCAAGATCAAGGCACCTGCAGATTCAGTGTCAGGAGAAGGCCTGTTTCCGGAGTCATAGTTGCACCTTCTCACTGTATCCTCACAGAGCAGAAGGGGGTGAGAGATCTCTCTGGGACCTCTTTTATAAGGGCACTAAACCTATTCATGAGGGCTCCACCCTCTTGACCTTATCACCTCCTAAAGGCCCCACCTGCTCATACCATCACCTTTATGGATTAGGATTCCAGCAAATGAATGGGGGACGGGCACAAACATTCAGTGTATAGCAGTGTACAACTAGACAGTGTGATGATCTGATATATGTATACATTGTGAAATGATTACCACAATTAAACTAGTTAGCATTTCCATCACCTCACATAGTTTCAATTTGCGTGTGTGGTAAGAACATTTGAGATCTACTCTCTTAGCAAACTTCAAGCATACAATATAGCATTAGTAACTCTAGTCAAATCTGTATACTACTACTCCAGAACTTATTTATCTGCATAACTGAGTCCTTGTAACTTCTGAGCAGCATCTCTCCGTTTCCCCCACCCCTCAACCCTTGGCAACCCCCAGATTCCACATGTAAGTGAGATCATGCAGTATTTGTCTTTCTGTGCCTGGCTTATTCTGCTTAGCATAATATGGTCCAGGTTTATCCATATTGTCACAAATGGCAGAATTTTCTTTTTTAAGATTGAATAATATTCCTGTATGTGTGGGCATGCATGCATGAGCACGTGTGTGTACGTATTCCACATTTTCTTTATCCATTCATCTGTCAGTGGACAGTTAGGTTGTTTCAAGTCTTGGCAATTGTGAATAATGCTGCAGTGAAGTGCAGATCTCTTCAGCCAACAGTCAACAAGAAGCTGGTGCCCTCAGTTCTACAACATGAGTTTTGACTTCTACACGGATATTAATTCTGCCAAAACATGAGAGTGTTTAGAAGTGGCTTCTTGCCTTGGTAAGCCTCCAGATTAGAGCAGAGCCAAACTGACACCTTGACTGCAGTGTTGTGAGACCCTAAGCAGAAGACCCAGCCAGGCTGGCCCCAAACTCCTGACTCACTGAAATTGTGCTATTTTAAGCTGCTGAGTTTATAGTAATTTACTATAAAGCAACAGATAACTAATATGTCACTTAGCTGTATGACCTTGGAGAAGTCGTGTTTATTCCCTGTGCTTTAGTTCTCACAATCTCATAACAGGTTAACAACAATAACCTATCTCCTATTAATTGTTGCTATGAAGACAAAATGAGTTAATAAATGTATAATCCTTTGTCAATGCCTAGCCACCTAGAAAGTGCTCAGTAATTGTAAGCTGTATTATCACTGCCTTAGTGATTATATGCTTTTTCTTCTTTCTCTCTCTCCCTCCTCCTTTTCCCTCATCACACCTCTATAATTTCCTACTGTAATTCTTCCATCTCACCTCCTTTTCTAGAATTTTATTTCTTTGCTCAATATAGTCTTGGCTGGCCAACAGCTCCTTTTCCTAGTGGTCATTTATCTGACAATGTCAACTGTTCAAAATATAAGCAAGATGCCCCAAAAACTAAAAATGATTCCATGTAGAACATGCACTAAAATTATATTCTTGACTTGTTGATGAGACTTTAGATATTTCTTGTTTCCTAAGTTAAAACGCACTAGAAGTCAAAATTTAAAACAGTGAGTTTCCAGGAAACTAGAAGGAAGAATATTTATAGCAATAAGAATGTGATTAAGACAACCTGAGAGGTAGGGAACCTGAAAACTGTAAAAGGCAAAGAACTCACGAAGCAGCTGGAGGCAGAGACAGGCTGCACTGCAGGGATCTCTTAAGTTATCACTGGACAAATATAACGTGTTCTTGGATGAGACGCTTATCCTCTCTCAATTTCAATTTCCATGTTTGTTTATAATGACAATATTGTCATCAAGAGGGCCTCAAAATCCATTCTACTTTGATTAGGAGAGCAGAGTGTATATTTTATATTTCCATACTTGAAATGTATATAATATTAGAAATATATTTCAAAAAAAATTTTTTAATTATTAAATAAAGGATCTCTTGTTCAATAACAAAATACAATCCAGTTAAAGGATGGTCAAAGACTTGAATAGACATTTCTCCAAAGAAGATATACAAATGGCCAATAAGCATATGAAAAGATGCTCAATATCACTAATAATGAGAGAAATGCAAATTGAAACTACAATGAGATATCACCTCACACTCATTAAGATGGCTCCTATCAAAAATAAAAAGACAAGTGTTGGCAAGGATGTGGAGAAACTGGAACTCTGTACATTGTTAGTGACAATGTAAAATGGTGCAACTGCCATGGAAAACAATATGTATGTCCCTCAAATAGTTGAAAATCATACTACCTTATGATCCAACAATCCCACTTCTGGGTGTATATCCAAAAGAATTGAGAGCAGAGTCTCAACAAGATCTTTACACACCTATGCGTTATTAACAATAGCCAGGAGGTGGAAGCAAGCCAAACGGCCATTGATAGCTATAGAAAAATAAAATGTGGTATATACATACGATGGGATATTATTCAGCCTTAAAAAGGAAAGAAATTCTGACACCTGCTGCAACATGGATGAACTTTGAGAACAGACATTATGCTAAATAAAACAAGCCAGTCACACACACAAAACATGATTATGTGAAGTATCTAGAGTAGTCAAATTCATAGAAAGTAGAATGGTGGTTACCAGGGACTTGGGAAGGGGAATGGGGAGTTGTTCAATAGGTATAGAGTTTCGGTTTTCCAAGACGAAAAAGTTCTGGAGATTGGTTACGCAGCAATGTAAATGTATGTAATACTACAGAAATATACACTTAAAAATGGTTAAGATGGTAAATTTTATGCTTGTGTATTTTTCCAGAATTTTCTATAATACCCCCCCCCCCCAAAAAAAATCCAATTCAAGAAAGATTAACAAATGAAATATCTGTGGTGGGCTGCAGCTAGAGAAGGAGGGGAAAACCAATAGGCAGCGATGGAGAATTTCATCTCTCATGAGATCAGGAACACATTTAGGACAGTTACACCTAAAAAACCCAAACTCCAGAGGATCTCTCCTGTGTCTCATCATAGAATCCCCTAGGGCACTGGAGGCCAAGTAGCTAGTCAGCACTGAGCAAAAATTCACAGGAAAACTTGACCTTGGGTTTTAACTTCAGCATGTCAAGCTCTTCATTTCACTAAAAACCTGGAGCTTCATCATGCTGAGGAGCTAACAAGCTTGAAAAGTAGTTATTTTTCTATCATCACCAAGGTTAGACATTTAAATTTTATTTGAGCTCATGGCTTCCTTTGAGAGGCAGAGAAATAGAAGAGATGGGCCAGAGAGCGCTTTCTGTTCCAGGCGGTGCAGGGAGGGGACAGGTATGGGGTTGTGCTCTGGAGATCTGCTGAGGACCCAGGTGCTGAGGATGCCAGGAGTTCTTCAATCCTGTGTGGACTCACCATTCAGAGCAGAACATTGAACCTTCTCCCTGGCTTCTGACCTCCCCAGAGCCAGGAAGCCCACTGTGGCCTGGACCTCGGGGGAGGTACTGCTGCTAGATTGTTACTGGCATTCTGGGTTACTGCTTATGTTCTTTTCAGTATTTTTTGTTTATTTTCCAATTTAAGAAACATTTTGCACTGATTTGTCTTGAACCCTGTCCTGCCAACACCTTTTGGTTTAAAGAGTACAGCGTCCTCTCAGGTTAACAGGGCCTGGAATGCAGTGTTGGATCTGGGCTTCTGATGAGCAAACGTTTTGAGGCTTCAGAGCCAGGTTTTCTCCCTCCATCCAGAGGACAGGGAAGGAGAGCCGCAAGTCTAGCAGAGAATAGGCTGAGCATCCTCCTCTCTTCTCTGTCCTGTTGTCTTTTTCTCTCATCTGTAAAAGCCTGCCCCCTTTGACTCAAGCACTGGCTAGCAGGCTATGTGGACTTCACCCCAGTTCTGCATTCTGCTCCACAAGCTTTCCTGCCTTCCCTGAGCTAACATCTGTTGCCAATCTTCCTCTTTTTGCTTGAGGCAGATTGTTGCTGAGCTAACATCTGTGCCAATCTCCCTCTACTTTATGTAGGATGCAGCCACAGCGTGGCTTGACAAGCTGTGCTAGGTCTGCACCCAGGATCCAGGGAACCCCGGGCCACCAAAGCAGAACATGTGAACTTAACCACTATGCCACCAGGCTGGCCCCTCAATCCCTTTTTTAAGGTTACTATTTCATCCCCAATCCATGGGGTTCTGGTGGGACTTCGAGTCACAGTAGCATGCCTCCTCACACATCTGTGCACACACTCGTGTGTGTATTGTGTACATGACTGCAGGCAGGCCAGTGTGAGGCCTTCCCTGGAATTCCTAGCATGTGGATGGAGGTCAGTTCCTGTATGACCCCAGGCCATTTC